TAAAACAGAACCTGATGTAATGAATGTCAGTTGGTCATTGTGGAGTGAGTTGCTCTGTTTGAACTAATTTACCTGGTAATGTAGATGTTTTGAATATTTTGATACAATGAAAACATACAGTTAATCAGATACAAACCAGTTTCAGTAAGACAAAAAACCAGTTCAATATTTTCAAACAATGACGTCCCTAGTTCATTTCTCTGGCAATATTGTTTTTCTCGTCAATTCTTTGACAAAATGGTCGAGTATTGTTTCTAAGGTATTTAGTAATTGAAATGCATTTTTGTTGTTGCTGATCATTAATCGTTGTGTAATCTTTAGCTCACCAGATCTGGTAGAATAGGAATGGTTTTGCTTAAGATTTCTGCTAAGTGCATATGATGTCATCATTTCCATATTTAATATGGGTTCAATCTCATTAAAATCAGATCTTAGTTCTCGCTACCGCTAAACAAAGATCTGAGGACATCCCATTAGGGGTCACGTCAGAACGACCTTTCAGCCGACCAATCAAGGCGTCGCTTACCAGATCATGAAAGTGACAGTCGGAATGTGATTTCTAATCATGCAGCCTCGAAAACTTTAAAACAGGGTATTCCGAATGATAATTACGGGTTTAACGACTGAATCTATACATTCTAGACCATATATTAGCCATTCGAGAAAGTTCTTTTGTTCAGGTTACAAATTTTTAAGCGTGATTGTCAAAATATGTTTCGAAGCATAGTCGCCAATTTGAAATTAGTGCCGTAAAGCACGAGAAAGCTGCCTTCTGATTGGCTAAAGATGAGAATGAATGGTCCTGCTCCTGATTAGAGGTGGGAATGAATGGTCCTGCTCCTGATTAGAGGTGGGAATGAATGGTCCTGCTCCTGATTAGAGGTAGGAATAATGGTCCTGCTCCTGATTAGAGGTAGGAATGAATGGTCCTGCTCCTGATTAGAGGTAGGAATAATGGTCCTGCTCCTGATTAAAGGTGGGAATGAATGGTCCTGCTCCTGATTAAAGGTGGGAATGAATGGTCCTGCTCCTGATTAGAGGTAGGAATGAATGGTCCTGCTCCTGATTAGAGGTAGGAATGAATGGTCCTGCTCCTGATTAAAGGTGGGAATGAATGGTCCTGCTCCTGATTAAAGGTGGGAATGAATGGTCCTGCTCCTGATTAAAGGTGGGAATGAATGGTCCTGCTCCTGATTAAAGGTGGGAATGAATGGACCTGCTCCTGATTAGAGGTGGGAATGAATGGTCCTGCTCCTGATTAAAGGTAGGAATAATGGTCCTGCTCCTGATTAGAGGTAGGAATGAATGGTCCTGCTCCTGATTACAGGTAGGAATAATGGTCCTGCTCCTGATTAGAGGTAGGAATGAATGGTCCTGCTCCTGATTAAAGGTGGGAATGAATGGTCCTGCTCCTGATTAGAGGTAGGAATGAATGGTCCTGCTCCTGATTAGAGGTAGGAATGAATGGTCCTGCTCCTGATTAGAGGTAGGAATGAATGGTCCTGCTCCTGATTAGAGGTAGGAATGAATGGTCCTGCTCCTGATTAGAGGTAGGAATAAATGGTCCTGCTCCTGATTAGAGGTAGGAATGAATGGTCCTGCTCCTGATTAAAGGTGGGAATGAATGGTCCTGCTCCTGATTAGAGGTAGGAATGAATGGTCCTGCTCCTGATTAGAGGTAGGAATGAATGGTCCTGCTCCTGATTAAAGGTGGGAATAATGGTCTTGCTCTTGATTAAAGGTGGGAATGAATGGTCCTGCTCCTGATTAAAGGAGGGAATGAATGGTCCTGCTCCTGATTAAAGGTGGGAATGAATGGTCCTGCTCCTGATTAAAGGTGGGAATGAATGGTCCTGCTCCTGATTAAAGGTGGGAATGAATGGTCCTGCTCCTGATTAAAGGTGGGAATGAATGGTCCTGCTCCTGATTAAAGGTGGGAATGAATGGTCCTGCTCCTGATTAAAGGTAGGAATGAATGGTCCTGCTCCTGATTAGAGGTAGGAATAATGGTCCTGCTCCTGATTAAAGGTGAGAATGACTGGTCCTGCTCCTGATTAAAGGTGGGAATGAATGGTCCTGCTCCTGATTTTCCATGCAGACATCTTTCTCATCAGTTAATAACAGTTTCAAGTACAAGGTAGAAAATACTAGGGCATACTTTCTTCTACAACCCATAGAAACTGAATGATAGCCCAGGACAGAGGGCAAGGCTCACACATTCTTGAAAAGGCCTTGAACTTGCAGTCAGATTTTGGTTGTTGTTTAAAGCTGCACTCAGCAATAATCCTGCTTTATGGTGGCGGTCTGTAACTATAATCGGGTCTGGATATATTTCTAGTGGGAAAGTTTTGGAGAATTGAGGGAAAAGCTACTTCTGATAGTGCATGTAATTCAAGCGACAATATTAATTCCATAATAATAAGAAATCTTTTCTAAAAGCAGTTGGTTGTATGATTACGACTTTATCATAAGCATTTCTTTATGGATCACAATACTAAATGAACACCAGGGCCCACTTGCACAAAGCGATCTTAGCGCTAAGATGATCTTAACTCCCATACTTTAGCATAGGCTTACAATAGTCTTAGCGCTAAGATCGCTTTGTGCAAGTGGGCCCAGGTGTTTTAGAAAAGGTGAGCGTATCCTGCCCCACCAGTGGCACCTTGAATCAGGGATTTATCAAGGATTCCAAAATAAGTTTCTTTGGCAGGCAAACTTGGGAAAAATTGGGTGAATTTGTTCAAAACTTGATTATTTTTTGCTGTTCATATTTTCGTAAATTCTGAGGAAATAAGAAATGTTTAATTCAAATTGGGTCATTTTTACTGTCATTTTCTGCAGATTTGGAACAAAAAATTGGCATCTGAGCAGGTCTTGCTAAATACCCGACCTATTACAAACACATGCAAACGCATGTCAATTGTTCACCTGAAACACTGGCAGACAACTTTCTTATGTGTTCTAACTATCCTCAAGAAAACTATATAATACAAATTTGAAGGAACTCATATAGGTGAGCTACAGAGATTCTTCAGTCTATATGTGTTTTAGAGTTGTTTTAATGACATTACTTAACATACAAAGTAATTGTTACATGTTTTAACATTTTATGTATTTTGTTATTCACTCCTCAAAAACCTTCAAAACACTCAACAATTGGTGTTCCTTGAGTGCATTTCTGCACAATTATCAGAGTACATTGTCGAACAAAGAAACAATGCATGGCTCAATAGTGGCACCAGCAGAGCGATTCTTGCTGCATTAACACTATCGATCAGGGTCACAGTCAGAGGCATTTTGCATATCGGTCGAAGTGAAATGTTCACAATGTACATTGACTGTCTTGCAAACAAAAAGGATAAAACATAATTATTAGTGCCCACACATGCATTTTGTTGATTTTCAATGCTGATTGGTCAGTTGAAGTAACATGACGTCGCACTGCTGGATTGTTCAGTACAACTAACAGAAAAACTACCCGTATCTCAAATAGGTTTCCACAGTATGTTTAACTGTAGATTAAGTACCCCTTATTCTAATTCAGATCTGAGCGCTTTACCTCAAGTTTATCTCCATTCTACCATGACGAAAATACTATGAAAATGGTGCTCTTTTGGAACACATATGTTGGTTGGTTGGTTTGTTGTTTTACGTCGCACTCAGTAATATTCCAGCTATATGACGGCAGTCTGTAAATAATCGATTCTGGACTAGACAATCCAGTGATTGATATCATGAGCATCGGTCCACGCATTGGGATCAATGACATGCATCAACCAAGTCAGCGAGTCTGACCACCCGATCCTGTTAAGTCGCCTTTCACGACAAGCATAGTCGCCTTTTACGGCAAGCATGGGTTGCTGAAGAGGGAACACATATGTACCATTGAGGCATGGTTGTTCCAGTAAATGGCAAGTAAGGGCAAAGGCAAGTAAAGTCAACATAGAAACTTTGCAAATACTTCACCAAAATAAAATTTGAAAAACGGAAATAGTGTAAAACAGACGATAAAAAATGACAGCCCATATCATCCCCAAAACGAAAGATTCTGCCACTGAGGGGATTCCCCTTACTGGGGTTAAAACGGGTTCCCTGCGTTGATGTCCTGTGCGATTTCAACAAACATGACGATCTGACTGCTGCCCAGTTACATCTTTTTTCAGTCTCCTCATCCATTTGATTACTGTGTCCACACCTTATGTCACCTTGGTAACAACACTGACGATGCCTTCAGTTGTATACTCAGGGGATTAATCCCTGACAGGCATAAATTGTGTGGATTGTGTGGCAGAGGGCAATAGTGTTTTATTTCTCAAACAAGATGTTAGTACGCTATAGAACGCTAGTTACCGCTTAATTGTTATTTTAATTATTAACAATGTCAAGATCAAAGGTCATTTCACACATTTAGCAACGTATGCTATAATGCAATGTTGTTATTTTTGTTGGATTAACAGAAATAGCAGAAACAGTATGTGCATAGTTGCTGAGAATCACAAGATAGATAAACATGCCAAACCTATCAGCCAATGAAAACAGTTGAAGTGCAGGTAGCTTGCAAATACATTTGTTTTAGAATCCGAATACGGAGCTTGTGATTTCAGCACTTCCCCTTGGACATTTAAATACTTTCTACGATTATTATGATTTCTCTCTCTCATGAATTGATTAAATCTGTCTAGGAAAACCGCAATCATTTTTTCCCCTTTACTTGCCCTTAAAGGTACAATTCTTTGTGCACAGATACATCCCATAAACATGCCACAAACCTGTTGTCATGAGTTTGAATCCTGGTAAAATCGCCCTAAAATATGTTTCTTGCTTTATCTTTTCAATTCCAGTTCTTTTGGGTTTATCACAGTAGTAAACATCTAAGATCCACATCACTTCAAGCTTTACTCCTACATAAAGCTGACTTTGTGTCATACGACTCATATACTTCAGTGTTAAACCCATCTCACTCACTCACTCACTCATAATGGCCTTGTTCTGTGTTTCAGGTGCAGCTTCTTTCAGAAGCATGATGGATGTACCCAATACACAGGAATAGGACTGCTATGGAGTCATGAGAAAGAACTGTCATCAGATATGTATGTGTCTTCATTTCCATAACCCAAAGGATTTGTGGATGAACAGGTTCCAAGTTCCCCATGTTCTCTCTCATTTGGAACAGAATACCGGTAGATCTCAAGTACCCCCTGGGTGATGTCTCAGTGGGGATTCTGAGGTAGAGAATATCTGCAGTACACATGCTTGTCTCCTCATGCAATGACAGAACAGGTCCCCAGTACCCCATGCTTGTCTCTGTGTGGGTATACCAGGACAGAGTAGGTCCCCAGTACCCCATGCTTGTCTCTGTGTGGGTATACCAGGGCAGAGTAGGTCCCCAGTACCCCATGCTTGTCTCTGTGTGGGTATACCAGGGTAGAGTAGGTCCCCAGTACCCCATGCTTGTCTCCTCATGCACTGACAGAACAGGTCCCCAGTACCCCATGCTTGTCTCTGTGTGGGTATACCAGGGCAGAGTAGGTCCCCTGTACCCCATGCTTCACTCTGTGTGGGTATACCAGGACAGAACAGGTCCCCAGTACCCCATGCTTGTCTCTGTGTGGGTATACCAGGACAGAACAGGTCCCCAGTACCCCATGCTTGTCTCTGTGTGGGTATACCAGGACAGAGTAGGTCCCCAGTACCCCATGCTTGTCTCTGTGTGGGTATACAAGGACAGAGTAGGTCCCCAGTACCCCATGCTTGTCTCTGTGTGGGTATACAAGGACAGAGTAGGTCCCCAGTACCCCATGCTTGTCTCTGTGTGGGTATACCAGGACAGAGTAGGTCCCCAGTACCCCATGCTTGTCTCTGTGTGGGTATTCCAGGACAGAGTAGGTCCCCAGTACCCCATGCTTGTCTCTGTGTGGGTATACAAGGACAGAGTAGGTCCCCAGTACCCCATGCTTGTCTCTGTGTGGGTATACCAGGACAGAGTAGGTCCCCAGTACCCCATGCTTGTCTCTGTGTGGGTATTCCAGGACAGAGTAGGTCCCAAGTACCCCATGCTTGTCTCTGTGTGGGTATACCAAGACAGAGTAGGTCCCCAGTAACCCATGCTTGTCTCTGTGTGGGTATACCAGGACAGAGTAGGTCCCCTGTACCCCATGCTTGTCTCTGTATGGGTATACCAGGGCAGAGTAGGTCCCCAGTACCCCAAGCTTGTCTCTGTGTGGGTGTACCAGGGCAGAGTAGGCCCCCAGTACCCCATGCTTGTCTCTGTGGGTATACGAGGGTAGAGTAGGTCCCCAGTACCCCATGCTTGTCTCTGTGGGTATACAAGGGTAGAGTAGGTCCCCAGTACCCCATGCTTGTCTCTGTGTGGGTGTACCAGGGCAGAGTAGGTCCCCAGTACCCCATGCTTGTCTCTGTGGGTATACAAGGGTAGAGTAGGTCCCCAGTACCCCATGCTTGTCTCTGTGTGGGTATTCCAGGGCAGAGTAGGTCCCCAGTACCCCATGCTTGTCTCTGTGGGTATACCAGGACAGAATAGGTCCCCAGTACCCCATGCTTGTCCCTGTAGGGATTCCAGGACAGAAAAGGTCCCCAGTACCCCATGCTTGTCTCTGTGTGGGTATTCCAGGGCAGAGTAGGTTCCCAGTACCCCATGCTTGTCTCTGTGTGGGTATTCCAGGGCAGAGTAGGTTCCCAGTACCCCATGCTTCTCTCTGTGGGTATTCCAGGGCAGAGTAGGTCCCCAGTACCCCATGCTTGTCTCTGTGTGGGTATTCCAGGACAGAGTAGGTCCCCCAGTACCACATGCTTGTCTCTGTGTGGATATTCCAGGACAGAGTAGGTCCCCAGTACCCCATGCTTGTCTCTGTGGGTATACCAGGACAGAGTAGGTCCCCAGTACCCCATGCTTGTCTCTGTGTGGGTATACAAGGTCAGAGTAGGTCCCCAGTACCCCATGCTTGTCTCTGTGTGGGTATACCAGGACAGAGTAGGTCCCCAGTACCCCATGCTTGTCTCTGTGGGTATACCAGGACAGAGTAGGTCCCCAGTACCCCATGCTTGTCTCTGTGTTGGTATTCCAGGGCAGAGTAGGTTCCCAGTACCCCATGCTTGTCTCTGTGTGGGTATACCAGGACAGAGTAGGTCCCCAGTACCCCATGCTTGTCTCTGTGTGGGTATACCAGGACAGAGTAGGTCCCCAGTACCCCATGCTTGTCTCTGTGGGTATACCAGGACAGAGTAGGTCCCCAGTACCCCATGCTTGTCTCTGTGTGGGTATACATGGACAGAGTAGGTCCCCCTTTACTCCATGCTTGTCTCTGTGTGGGTATACCAGGACAGAGTAGGTCCCCAGTACCCCATGCTTGTCTCTGTGTGGGTATACCAGGACAGAGAAGGTCCCCAGTACCCCATGCTTGTCTCTGTGTGGGTATACCAGGTCAGAGTAGGTCCCCAGTACCCCATGCTTGTCTCTATGTGGGTATACCAGGACAGAGTAGGTCCCCAGTACCCCTTGCCTGTCTCTATGTGGGTATACCAGGACAGAGTAGGTCCCCAGTACCCCATGCTTGTCTCTGTGTGGGTATACTGGAACAGAGAAGGTCCTCAGTACCCCATGCTTGTCTCTGTGTGGCTATACCAGGACAGAGTAGGTCCCCAGTACCCCATGCTTGTCTCTGTGGGTATACCAGGACAGAGTAGGTCCCCAGTACCCCATGCTTGTCTCTGTGTGGGTATAGCAGGACAGAGTAGGTCCCCAGGACCCCATGCTTGTCTCTCTGTGGGCATAGCAGGACAGAGTAGGTCCCCAGTACCCCATGCTTGTCTCTGTGTGGGTATTCCAGGACAGAGTAGGTGCCCAGTGCCCCATGCTTGTCTCTGTGGGTATTCCAGGGCAGAGTAGGTCCCCAGTACCCCATGCTTCTCTCTGTGTGGGTATTCCAGGACAGAGTAGGTCCCCAGTACCCCATGCTTGTCTCTGTGTGGGTATACCAGGACAGAGTAGGTCCCCAGTACCCCATGCTTGTCTCTGTAGGTATACCAGGACAGAGTAGGTCCCCAGTACCCCATGCTTCTCTCTGTGGGTATACCAGGACAGAGTAGGTCCCCAGTACCCCATGCTTGTCTCTGTGTGGGTATACCGGGACAGAGTAGGTCCCCAGTACCCCATGCTTGTCTCTGTGTGGGTATACCAGGACAGAGTAGGTCCCCAGTACCCCATGCTTGTCTCTGTGTGGGTATACCAGGACAGAGTAGGTCCCCAGTACCCCATGCTTGTCTCTGTGGGTATACCAGGACAGAGTAGGTCCCCAGTACCCCATGCTTGTCTCTGTGTGGGTATACAAGGACAGAGTAGGTCCCCCTTTACTCCATGCTTGTCTCTGTGTGGGTATACCAGGACAGAGTAGGTCCCCAGTACCCCATGCTTGTCTCTGTGTGGGTATACCAGGACAGAGAAGGTCCCCAGTACCCCATGCTTGTCTCTGTGTGGGTATACCAGGTCAGAGTAGGTCCCCAGTACCCCATGCTTGTCTCTATGTGGGTATACCAGGACAGAGTAGGTCCCCAGTACCCCATGCTTGTCTCTGTGTGGGTATACTGGAACAGAGAAGGTCCTCAGTACCCCATGCTTGTCTCTGTGTGGCTATACCAGGACAGAGTAGGTCCCCAGTACCCCATGCTTGTCTCTGTGTGGGTATAGCAGGACAGAGTAGGTCCCCAGGACCCCATGCTTGTCTCTCTGTGGGTATACCAGGACAGAGTAGGTCCCCAGTACCCCATGCTTGTCTCTGTGTGGGTATACCAGGACAGAGTAGGTCCCCAGTACCCCATGCTTCTCTCTGTGGGTATACCAGGGCAGAGTAGGTCCCCAGTACCCCATGCTTCTCTCTGTGGGTATACAAGGGTAGAGTAGGTCCCCAGTACCCCATGCTTGTCTCTGTGGGTATACCAGGGCAGAGTAGGTCCCCAGTACCCCATGCTTCTCTCTGTGGGTATACCAGGACAGAGTAGGTCCCCATTACCCCATGCTTCTCTCTGTGGGTATACCAGGACAGAGTAGGTCCCCAGTACCCCATGCTTGTCTCTGTGTGGGTATAGCAGGACAGAGTAGGTCCCCAGGACCCCATGCTTGTCTCTCTGTGGGTATAGCAGGACAGAGTAGGTCCCCAGTACCCCATGCTTGTCTCTGTGTGGGTATTCCAGGACAGAGTAGGTGCCCAGTGCCCCATGCTTGTCTCTGTGGGTATTCCAGGGCAGAGTAGGTCCCCAGTACCCCATGCTTCTCTCTGTGTGGGTATTCCAGGACAGAGTAGGTCCCCAGTACCCCATGCTTGTCTCTGTGTGGGTATACCAGGACAGAGTAGGTCCCCAGTACCCCATGCTTCTCTCTGTAGGTATACCAGGACAGAGTAGGTCCCCAGTACCCCATGCTTCTCTCTGTGGGTATACCAGGACAGAGTAGGTCCCCAGTACCCCATGCTTGTCTCTGTGTGGGTATACCGGGACAGAGTAGGTCCCCAGTACCCCATGCTTGTCTCTGTGTGGGTATACCAGGACAGAGTAGGTCCCCAGTACCCCATGCTTGTCTCTGTGTGGGTATACCAGGACAGAGTAGGTCCCCAGTACCCCATGCTTGTCTCTGTGGGTATACCAGGACAGAGTAGGTCCCCAGTACCCCATGCTTGTCTCTGTGTGGGTATACAAGGACAGAGTAGGTCCCCCTTTACTCCATGCTTGTCTCTGTGTGGGTATACCAGGACAGAGTAGGTCCCCAGTACCCCATGCTTGTCTCTGTGTGGGTATACCAGGACAGAGAAGGTCCCCAGTACCCCATGCTTGTCTCTGTGTGGGTATACCAGGTCAGAGTAGGTCCCCAGTACCCCATGCTTGTCTCTATGTGGGTATACCGGGACAGAGTAGGTCCCCAGTACCCCATGCCTGTCTCTATGTGGGTATACCAGGACAGAGTAGGTCCCCAGTACCCCATGCTTGTCTCTGTGTGGGTATACTGGAACAGAGAAGGTCCTCAGTACCCCATGCTTGTCTCTGTGTGGCTATACCAGGACAGAGTAGGTCCCCAGTACCCCATGCTTGTCTCTGTGGGTATACCAGGACAGAGTAGGTCCCCAGTACCCCATGCTTGTCTCTGTGTGGGTATAGCAGGACAGAGTAGGTCCCCAGGACCCCATGCTTGTCTCTCTGTGGGTATAGCAGGACAGAGTAGGTCCCCAGTACCCCATGCTTGTCTCTGTGTGGGTATACCAGGACAGAGTAGGTCCCCAGTACCCCATGCTTCTCTCTGTGGGTATACCAGGGCAGAGTAGGTCCCCAGTACCCCATGCTTCTCTCTGTGGGTATACAAGGGTAGAGTAGGTCCCCAGTACCCCATGCTTGTCTCTGTGGGTATACCAGGGCAGAGTAGGTCCCCAGTACCCCATGCTTCTCTCTGTGGGTATACCAGGACAGAGTAGGTCCCCAGTACCCCATGCTTCTCTCTGTGGGTATACCAGGACAGAGTAGGTCCCCAGTACCCCATGCTTCTCTCTGTGTGGGTATACCAGGACAGAGTAGGTCCCCAGTACCCCATGCTTGTCTCTGTGGGTATACAAGGGTAGAGTAGGTCCCCAGTACCCCATGCTTCTCTCTGTGTGGGTATACCAGGGCAGAGTAGGTCCCCAGTACCCCATGCTTCTCTCTGTTGGTAAACCAGGGCAGAGTAGGTCCCCAGTACCCTATGCTTCTCTCTGTGGGTATACCAGGACAGAGTAGGCTTACGGTATCTCATGCTTGCTAAGTCCCAGGAAAGAGTTGCAGAAAATGTAACTTAACCGAGAATTGCCAAAAAAAAAACTTTTTATTTGGGATCTGTTCTGTGTAAATGCCTAGGTTTGAAAACAAGTGATGAAGCTTCATGGGGAAGAAATGAATTGTATTCTAACATTTTGCTTCGTCAATGTGCCCATGTCATATCTGTACTTCCAGAAGTAATGGAGCCCTAAAGTTAAGCTTGAAAGATTATTGGGTTCCCCAGAAGCAAACTTCCAGGACCCCTTCACTTTGAAACACTGCAAGCCAAACTGATCTAGTTCATCAACTATCTTCCACTTGTAGTGTTCACAGACTTTATATTTGTTTAGTCAGGCAGACATGCTTGATCGCTGAGTAACATAAACACATACAGGAATCATGTCAAATATTCACCAACACCCACACCAAACATGTATGCAGTATTAGACTTGAAGCCAAACTGATGTATTTCATGGAATACCAATCTTCCATTTATAGTATTCACAGACCTGATATTTGTTGAGTCAGTTATGTATGTGTTGGTCGGATCAAATGAGAGTGAATGAATATTGTGTAGAGAAGCAGTTAATTCCTGAAACAGGGAATACCTGAACTATCTGGGATTTCAAACTAAGTGCTGTCGTCTGCTCTTAAGACCCAAAACTGCTTGTCTTCCTAACTTGTTAGTCTGTCTCACCATGCTCACAGTCCCTGAACCATACTATTTTCTTTCCGCCCAGCCTTTACTGTAATGCTTTAGCCCTAAATGAAGCAAGTCTAGATTTTGCACAGGTTCAGGTCTGATTCTTGCTTCTCACTGGTCTCCTTATTAATTTAAATGTAGTTGCTTGTTTCTATCAAAATGATGTATTTTCAGAGACTAAGCGTTAGTCTACCCAACTTGATTGCAACTATAGTTAATGTTAACATTATATTAAACATGTTCAGTATGTTTATTAAGTTGCTTAACACATTTAACAATATAACATTGAAACAGAATAGAACCTGGTAGAGTGAGTGAGTGAGTGAGTCGGGTTTAACGCCGCTTTTAACAGTATTCCAGTTATATCACGGCATGTCAGCTTAATGTGGGAGGAAAGCCCGAAGTGATGCAGGTTTCAGACGTTTACCACTTCGGTGAAACCCACGAGCACGGGTATAGTGCTGACAAACCTAGAAACATAATCGGGGCGAACCAGGATTCGAACCCACAATCATAGGTTTCTGGCGTGCCCAAGGGACACAACTCTGCACAGCGAATCCCGGCGCCTTAGACGACTGGGCCACCCGTGCCCCCAGAACCTGGTAGATCAGCTCGTAGTAGACAAACAAGAGTTGGCATAGACAGTGTCACATGACCCGACTGCTGTTTGTTTAATTGCCCATCAGACCTTGGCACAGTGTTTTTGTTAATGATTGTCAACTATTTTGTTAAGTGCAGACAAAAGATCACTTTTTAAATCTGACTAGGGTGAGATGCTTCTAGTGTCTGCAAAATTATAGACAATTCTGGCGACCAGTTTTTGAGCTTGCATGTAAAATACGAGTTGCCCTTCATTGCCTACCAAAACAGTGGCAGCAAGTTGGGAAGAAAAGCAGTTTTTGGTTAAGACTTTTAGCAGGTTATTTTCCAAAACTAAGATGTATTTTAACATTGCTGAAAGTTTTTGTACACAACTCACTAGACTGCTGAAAGTACTCTGTACATCCGACAAATGATACATGTACGTATATATCAAGAGCATCTCCAAAGGAATGACCCTAGGTGGTATGCATTGGAACAAAACATATAGCACATGTACTGTGTGACCTGTTATCACTTGTCATATATATGTAATCAAATTATATAACTACATACATAAAACTTTAAGACAGCTGCAGAAGGCATCATAGTGAAAATGGCAAACACCTAATATGTAGGTCACTCACTGCTTCTTCTGATCTTGGCTCTGCCCTGAGGAAGATGTATACTCTCCAGGTTGACCATGACCTATTAAAGAGTTGTGAAGCTTATTTAGACCATATTGGAAATATGCATATTATATCCCTATGATGTCCAAGCAGTGTGTGGTTTCAATAACGGAGTGCGGCAGTGGTAGTGAAATCATAGACAAACCATAGAGCATCCCCATTTACATGGGGCTGCTTTAGTACTGCCACAAATCCTGATGAATTAATTCCATATTCTTGTTTGCCCAAACATTATACCACTTCCAATGTTTTGTAATTAATATACACTCTGAAATGTACAATAAACAACAAAAGCTTACAATTCTTTCATATCTTTTATCGTCATTCATATGTGTCCAAATGTACATCACCAAGATCCTTTGGACTATTATACATGCACTTAGAGTATGTACACATAAATACACATGGACCTCCAAGTCTTCAGTTGTCTAACTTGCTGTCTATGTCGTTCAACCTGCAGAGAACCTGAATGAGTGAATGGGAATTTAACACCACCTAGAACCATATATCATGGAGTGTCTGGTTGCAGACATTTATGCTGATCAAAATCAGCAGATCCTGCCATGGCCTTAGGGACACCAATCTGCACAGCAAAATTGCAGTTTCCTTGACTGCCCCTGGTCACTCATTTGGCTGGGTAGAAATAGTATGGTTTTTTTGTGAGCAAATCATTTCATTCAAGTAAACAGTAATTCAAACTGTTTGACAAAGGTCTGGCGAATAAAGAGGTTTCATTGATCAATCTTATTCCAACTTTATGATGGCGGTCTGTAAATAATCAAGTCTGGACAAGACAATCCAGTGATTAACATCATAAGCATCGATCCACATGCATCAACCAAATCAGTGAGCCTGACCACCACTGAATCCCTTTAGTCGCCTCTTACGACAAGCATAGTCGCCTCTCATGGCAAGAATGGGTGGCTGAAGACCTATTCGAACCCAGATCTTCATGGATCGCTTGTCATAGGAGGCCCCTACTGGTAAATTGGATTGGGGCATCAGTAAATTTGCGTGTGATCATACCCTGATCAAGCTGATGGGGCTGGGCGTTGCTCTGAGTAGTCTGATCAGATTTGATTACCCGATATTACGGCCTCCATGATCCACCAGGAATATTATTGACTGGCGTAAAACAACATTCACTCACGACAAAAGCTATAATAACTTTCATTGGAGGAAAAAATTGAAAGTTTAGTTCAAGGATCAGCAAAGGTTTCATCTTACACAAGTCTCATGATTCACTGTGCCAGCACTGTGTCCAATGTTTCTAAACCTTCAATATGTTCAACTAACACCAAGTTTGAGCTTAATGTTCATAGCAGCCAGCTCGGCCACGAGGTAGCGGAAGACGTAGGGGACAGCGACTGTCTGTATGGTGTCCGACCTCTGACACACCTTGCAGGACCACACCCGGCGGGACTCCACTGATGCTGCTGCAGTGGACACGGGGGGCTTGTCCAGACACGGAGACAGCAGACTCCCACACGACGTACAGATCCGGGCCTGGAACACAAACAGAGTAACTGACAGAAGTACACAGAGACAGCAGACTCCCGCACGACGTACAGATCCGGGCCTGGAACACAAACAGAGTAACTGACAGAAGTACACAGAGACGGCAGACTCCCGCACGACGTACAGATCCGGGCCTGGTACACAGAGTAACTGACAGAGCTACACAGAGACGGCAGACTCCTGCACGACGTACAGATCTGGGCCTGGAACACAACTAGAGTAACTGACAGAGCTACACAGAGACGGCAGACTCCCGCACGACGTACAGATCTGGGCCTGGAACACATACACACAAACAGAGTAACTGTCAGAGCTACACAGAGACGGCAGACTCCCACACGACGTACAGATCTGGGCCTGGAACACATACACACAAACAGAGTAACTGTCAGAGCTACACAGAGACGGCAGACTCCCACACGACGTACAGATCCATGCCTGGAACACATACACGCAAACAGAGTAACTGTCAGAGCTACACAGAGACGGCAGACTCTCACACGACGTACAGATATGGGCCTGGAACACATACACACAAACAGAGTAACTGTCGGAGCTACACAGAGACGGCAGACTCCTGCATGACGTACAGATCCGTGCCTGGAACACAGAGTAACTGACAGAGCTACACAGAGACGGCAGACTCCAGCACGACATACAGATCTGGGCCTGGAACACATACACACACATACAGTAACTGACAGAGCTACACAGAGACGGCAGACTCCCACACGACGTACAGATCCATGCCTGGAACACATACACGCAAACAGAGTAACTGTCAGAGCTACACAGAGACGGCAGACTCTCACACGACGTACAGATATGGGCCTGGAACATATACACACAAACAGAGTAACTGACAGAGCTACACAGAGACGGCAGACTCCAGCACGACATACAGATCTGGGCCTGGAACACATACACACACATACAGTAACTGACAGAGCTACACAGAGACGGCAGACTCCCGCACGACGTACAGATCCAGGCCTGGAACACATACACACACATACAGTAACTGACAGAGCTTCACAGAGACGGTAGACTCCAGCACGACATACAGAACTGGGCCTGGAACACATACACACACATACAGTAACTGACAGAGCTACACAGAGACGGCAGACTCCCGCAGGACATACAGATCTGGGCCTGGAACACATACACACACATACAGTAACTGGCAGAGCTTCACAGAGACGGCAGACTCCCGCACGACGTACAGATCCAGGCCTGGAACACATACACACACATACAGTAACTGACAGAGCTTCACAGAGACGGCAGACTCCCGCAGGATGTACAGATCTGGGCCTGGAACACATACACACACATACAGTAACTGACAGAGCTACACGGAGACGGCAGACTCCCGCACGACGTACAGATCCAGGCCTGGAACACATACACACACATACAGTAACTGACAGAGCTTCACAGAGACGGCAGACTCCAGCACGACATACAGATCTGGGCCTGGAACACATACACACATACAGTAACTGACAGAGCTACACGGAGACGGCAGACTCCCACACGATGTACAGATCTGGGCCTGGAGCACGTACAGACGTAAAGATCCCGGCCTGGAATATACACACACATTAACTGACAGAGCTAGGAACATACACACATTCAGTAACTGCTATAGTAAAATTGAGACACCAATTTTTAGGCCTTTTAAACAAATCAACATACTTTTCAGCACCATTAGGTCATGTTGACCTGCCATCAACTAGGTCACAGAGCCTGAGTATCTGATCAATAAAGATCAATTGCGACCAGCAAGGTTGCTAGGGACCGATTCTAACTCCTCATAGGTTCCCATAATCTAGTAACCTCTTACGAGCAATGCTGGGCAAACCAAAGGACAAAAGTAATGTGTGCCACAGACTTTCCGGGTAACATGACACACACACTCTCTTAAGCCCTGTGATAAAGCTGATTTACTTCACACCTCTACCTGCCTGGGACAACTCAGAAGGGCTCCTGGGATACATGGATCCTAGTAACTCCTGGTGCCTTCAACCAACATGCTTCCCATACGCCACAGAACCATGAAGGTCTGGGGTAGAATGGGTCTTCAGCAACCCAATCTTGCCATAAAAGGCGACTATGCTTGTCATAAAAGGCGACTAACGGGATCGGGTGGTCAGGCTCGCTGACTTGGTTGTTGCATGTCATCGTATCGTGTGGATTGATGCTCATGATTTCGATCACTGGATTACCTAGTCCAGACTCGATTATTTACAGACTCCCGTCATATACCTGGAATATTGCTGAGTGCAGTGTTAAACAACAAACAAACAAACAAACCCTTACGCCACAAAAGTAAAATAACCGACAGCTTAATTAAGTTACAGAGGCTGCTTACTAGTACTGTAGCACATCAAACTTGTTACCAGGAAAGAAACCCATTAGTTTAAATCTTGAAATAGTACTTTGAAAGAAAGTAATACAGATTTAGAAAGTCCTGGGTGTTACAAAATCAAAAAGTTCTTTTAGAGTGAATCTGCTATGTATAATACTGACCCTGGTCCCATCAGAGCAGTTGAAGAGTCTGTCATGGATGAGGAAAGCTGCGCCATGAGCTATCAGGGCGTCTCTCTCCATCTCTCCGAACCTGATCCCTCCGGCCTTCTTCCTCCCCTTCACAGGCTGGTGAGTCAGGGGATCAACAGGACCTGTACTCCGCACCTGTAACAACACTAACACACTGTGTCACACCCTTCATTATCAGGGTCAACAGGACCTGTACTCTGCACCTGTAACAACATCCACACACTGTGTCACACCCTTTAATATCAGGGTCAACAAGACCTGTACTCTGCACCTGTAACAACACTAACACACTGTCACACCCTTTAATATCAGGGTCAACAAGACCTGTACTCTGCACCTGTAACAACACTAACACACTGTCACACCCTTTAATATCAGGGTCAACAAGACCTGTACTCTGCACCTGTAACAACACTAACACACTGTCACACCCTTTAATATCAGGGTCAACAAGACCTGTACTCCACACCTGTAACAACACTAACACACTGTCACACCCTTTAATATCAGGGTCAACAAGACCTGTACTCCACACCTGTAACAACACTAACACACTGTGTCACACCCTTTAATATCAGGGTCAACAGGACCTGAACTCTGCACCTGTAACAACACCAACACACTGTGTCACACCCTTTAATATCAGGGTCAACAAGACCTGTACTCTGCACCTGTAACAACACTAACACACTGTCACACCCTTTAATATCAGGGTCAACAAGACCTGTACTCTGCACCTGTAACAACACTAACACACTGTCACACCCTTTAATATCAGGGTCAACAAGACCTGTACTCCACACCTGTAACAACACTAACACACTGTCACACCCTTTAATATCAGGGTCAACAAGACCTGTACTCCACACCTGTAACAACACTAACACACTGTGTCACACCCTTTAATATCAGGGTCAACAGGACCTGAACTCTGCACCTGTAACAACACCAACACACTGTGTCACACCCTTTAATATCAGGATCAACAGGACCTGTACTCTGCACCTGTAACAACACCAACACACTGTCACACCCTTCAATATCAGGATCAACAGGACCAGTACTCCGCACCTGTAACAACACCAACACACTGTCACACACTTCAATATCAGGATCAACAGGACCAGTACTCCGCACCTGTAACAACACCAACACACTATATCACACCCTTCAATATCAGGGTCCACAGGGCCTGTACTCCGCACCTGTAACAACACTAACACACTGTGTCACACCCTTCAATATCAGGGTCGACAGGACCTGTACTCTGCACCTGTAACAACACCCACACACTGTCACACCCTTCAATATCAGGGTCGACAGGACCCGTACTCCACACCTGTAACATCAACACACTGTCACACGCTTCAATATCAGGGTCGACAGGACCTGAACTCTGCACCTGTAACAACACTAACACACTGTCACACACTTCAATATCAGGGTCGACAGGACCTGAACTCTGCACCTGTAACAACACTAACACACTGTGTCACACCCTTCAATATCAGGGTCGACAGGACCCGTACTCCGCACCTGTAACAACATCCACACACTGTGTCACACCCTTCAATATCAGGGTCGACAGGACCCGTACTCCGCACCTGTAACAACATCCACACACTGTCACACCCTTCAATATCAGGGTCGACAGGACCTGTACTCTGCACCTGTAACAACACCCACACACTGTCACACCCTTCAATATCAGGGTCGACAGGACCCGTACTCCACACCTGTAACATCAACACACTGTCACACGCTTCAATATCAGGGTCGACAGGACCTGAACTCTGCACCTGTAACAACACTAACACAGTGTCAGACACTTCAATATCAGGGTCGACAGGACCTGAACTCTGCACCTGTAACAACACTAACACACTGTGTCACACCCTTCAATATCAGGGTCGACAGGACCCGTACTCCGCACCTGTAACAACACCAACACACTGTCACACCCTTCAATATCAGGGTCAACAAGACCTGTACTCCACACCTGTAACAACACCAACACACTATATCACACCCTTTAATATCAGGGTCAACAGGACCTGTACTCCGCACCTGTAACAACATCAACACACTGTGTCACACCCTTTAATATCAGGGTCAACAGGACCTGTACTCTGCACCTGTAACAACACCAACACACTGTGTCACACCCTTTAATATCAGGGTCAACAAGACCTGTACTCTGCACCTGTAACAACACTAACACACTGTGTCACACCCTTTAATATCAGGGTCAACAGGACCTGTACTCCGCACCTGTAACAACATCAACACACTGTGTCACACCCTTTAATATCAGGGTCAACAAGACCTGTACTCTGCACCTGTAACAACACCAACACACTGTGTCACACCCTTTAATATCAGGGTCGACAGGACCCGTACTCCGCACCTGTAACAACACCAACACACTGTGTCACACCCTTTAATATCAGGGTCAACAGGACCTGTACTCTGCACCTGTAACAACACCAACACACTGTGTCACACCCTTTAATATCAGGGTCAACAAGACCTGTACTCTGCACCTGTAACAACACTAACACACTGTGTCACACCCTTTAATATCAGGGTCAACAGGACCTGTACTCCGCACCTGTAACAACATCAACACACTGTGTCACACCCTTTAATATCAGGGTCAACAGGACCTGTACTCTGCACCTGTAACAACACCAACACACTGTGTCACACCCTTTAATATCAGGGTCGACAGGACCCGTACTCCGCACCTGTAACAACACCAACACACTGTCACACCCTTCAATATCAGGGTCGACAGGACCCGTACTCCGCACCTGTAACAACACCAACACACTGTCACACCCTTCAATATCAGGGTCAACAGGACCTGTACTCTGCACCTGTAACAACACTAACACACTGTCACACACTTCAATATCAGGGTCAACAAGACCTGTACTCTGCACCTGTAACAACACCAACACACTATATCACACCCTTCAATATCAGGGTCGACATGACCTGTACTCCACACCTGTAACAACACTAACACACTGTGACACACACTTCAACATCAGGGTCGACAGGACCTGTACTCTGCACCTGTAACAACACTAACACACTGTGTCACACCCTTCAATATCAGGGTCGACAGGACCTGTACTCCACACCTGTAACAACACCAACACACTGTGTCACACCCTTCAATATCAGGGTCAACAGGACCCGTACTCCGCACCTGTAACAACATTCACACACTGTGTCACACCCTTCAATATCAGTGCCACATGTCAAACTGGGAATTGTTGGACTGTAGAATGTACTCATTGTAAGATTTGATCAACAGACGTTTGAACAACGTGTTCTGAGTGCCATGACCAGCCCCATCTGTCTGTACCTGGAACTTGTCGGACACCATGTGTCGAAGTCTCTGGTAGTACACGATGCCGCAGAAGATGCTGACCTCCATCTCTCGGCCGTCCACGCCGCTGTACATGCTCTCCGTGCCGTAGTAGTTGTAGCCAGCTGCAAACATACAGTCACACTTGCTCAACAATCTACAACAACTGTCAGGTCTTTTGCATTTGACTAACTATTACATAAATGATTTGTAAAGCAATTGATTCAACATCACTTTGAACACCTTCCCGATGCAAGGGTGATAACTGACTATAAATGTCCAGTTTCCTCTCTTGCCAAACTAGGCTGGAATTTCTGGGCTTGATCGTAGAGCCACAAGTGGCTATTACGAGTTATGTCCCTTCTATGTCCCTACTACTGACCAATCAGATTCCACCTCTCATGTTACTTGCATTTGCTTCAAACAAAATGGCTGTACCAAGTGAAGATGATCTGATAGATAATCAAGATCTATATTGTAATCAAATGGGTCTTATTTCATGAAGAGCATCATATCATGTGAGCACCGTGATTAAAAACATGAAAAGATTTGGAAAATATCTCTTGACGCTAACTGGACGGTACATATGCTTTGCAAACAAACCGTAATCTGCATGGCAATTTACAAACCTGATTTCGATTTTGTTACACGATTTTGATGGGACTATGCATAGACTCGTTAAACATAACTCCATAATTCCAACCTAGTTCAGCAAGGGTTGAAACTAGACTTGTTGTCTGTAGCCAGTTAAATCCCTTGCCTTGGAAAGATGCACAATATTTTTCTTACATCACAGCTCTTCAGCTTAACATGGGAGGAAGTGAAGCATGGCGTAGACCTACAAGCACAGGTATGCTTCTGACAAAGCTAGAATCATAATCAGGGCAAATCTGGAATTCAAACCCACAATCATAATGTAGTATAAGGGGAGGTAACTTGTGTTATATACATGTATTGGCAGTGTAAGGGGGATAACTCTAAAAATATATAGAACGAATATCGCGGACGAAGGGAATGCGTTGCTAGGTAAGCAGGAGCATGGTAAGAATAGAAGGGAGGAGAGGGCAAGAAGACCGTCAGCACAGTTGGATTTGATCATCGCATGCTCCTAGGACGACTGGGTCACTTGTACCCTTTTGAAGAGACGCAGCAGGAAGAAATTAATGTTGGCTTAGTTTTGGTCAACAGATACGAAAACCAATGAAATAACCCTGCCTACATTTCAATTTGCACAATATTGAGGAATGAAGAAGTTTTGGAATCGTTTTCCTTGGCATATTCTTGTTGTGAAAAATTAACAGGAAAGCTGTGAGTAGAGCACACACCTGCAGTCAACATGTTCCCAAAGTGGTCGATGGCAGGCTGTTTTTCGGAGAAAGTGAAGGGCGTGGCATCGTGGCAGAGTCCGTGGAGAGCCGAGGACTTCCCCGCCATAATCTCGATCATCATTCCTGCATACAAAACATTAGGTGACAATTTGACAAATACTTGCTTACCAGGATGAGTGACCAATTTATACTGCTATTAGCAACATTCTAATATCACAGTTGGGAATACATGCTCATGATATCAATCACTGGATTGTATGGTCCAGACTCGATTATTTTTCAGACTGCTGTCATATAGCTGGAATATTACTGAGTGTGGCTTTGAACAAAAAACAAACACAGAAACAAACAAACAAACAAACGAAACAAATCCCTGATCTGAATGGAGTCACACTGTCTGATGGCTCCTGACACTGCCACCTACCTATCGTCATCCTGGAAGGGAAGCCATGAGGGTTGAAGATGATGTCGGGCGTCATGCCACTCTCTGTAAACGGCATGTCCTCGGCCGGCCAGAACATGCTGGAAACAGCAATACATGATTAATTACCTCTCTGCATCTCCAGGCAGCAGGAATCAATGAACAAATCAATAACAAACGCTGAAAGTTAGCTGCGATTCTGGGGGACTATATGATTTATGTGTATATTGTAATGGCATGCAATACAAAAATGACCATGTCGTAATGTTTGTGTGTTTGTTGTTTAACACCACATTCAGCAATATTCCAGCTATATAACGGTGTATGTAAAAAACCCAGTCTTGAACAGACAATCCAGTGATTGACATCATGAGCATTGATCCAAGTAATTGGGATACGATGACATGCATTCTCGAGTGAGTGAGTGAGTATGGTTTGTATGCCGCTTTTAGCAGTATCCCAGCAAGATCATGGCTGGATACAACCAAAATGGGCTTCACACATTGTACCCATGTTGAGAATCGAACCCAGGTCTTCGGTGTGACCAACATATGTTTTAGTCACTAGGCTACTCCACCACCCTAGTCATGCTTGACTGATGTTAGAGAAGAAGTTAAACAGTGAATGTTTCATGAAAGGGTGGAATGATTAACTGATGGTGCACTGTAATATCAACCAATATGTGATACATTCTGAATCAAGATCAAAATTGTTACCTTGATCTGGTACCTTCAAATATTGGTGCATATTGGACAGTTTGGATTCAGTATATAAAGTCCATAACTCAGTCCTATTGTGTTTCCTTTTGGCTTAAATAACACGAACATCACAATGTGATTTTGAAAACTGAAGATTTTGATTTTCTGAAAAAGGATAATAATTTGAGATTTGAATCCACAGTCCATCTGGTCACATGAAGAGTATTGCAGCTGCAGTTTATCATTACATCATGTACAACAGTTCAGGATATTTCTCAAAGATTTAATTCCAAATGATACAAATATTTCCAGACTCACCTGCAAATTCCTTTCTGGCCATGGCGTGTTGCAAACTTATCACCGATGATGGGGTTTCTCTGGAAGGTGTGATGTTATACTATGAGTATGGACAGTCCACAACCTTCAACATACTGACACTACGCACAGAACACATTACAGAATCATTAATGCAGAGCTCAAACTGCTCCACTTGGAACAAGACAAGTATGGATACTCTTCTACTCTAGGACCCAATTAGAATTTGGTTTTATGCTGCTGTTAGCAATATTCCAGCAATATTACAGCAGGGAACACCAGAAATAGGCTTCACACATTGTACCCATGTCAGGAATCAAACCCGTGCCTTAGGCGTGATGAGTGAAAGCTTTAACCACTAGGCTACCCTACCGCCATCAAATTAGTAGTGAGTGAGTGAGTGTGTATGGTTTTACGCCGCTTTTAGCAATATTCCAGCAATATCACGGCGGGGGACACCAGAAATGGGCTTCACACATTGTACCCATGTCGGGAATCAAACCCGGGTATTCGGCGTGACGAGCGAACGCTTTAACCACTAGGCTACCCGACCGCCCCCATCCAATAAGTAGATAAGCATGGCGACTATTCTATTAAAAGGGGGACATCTTACCTGCACCCTCAACATCAGGACGGCTCGCTGCAGCAGCCCCGCTCCATGGTCGTCTGACGGGTTCTGGACAATCTTCACACTGTCAACATACGCAGCCTCCTGGCTCTTGTATTTCTCCACGGTCATCGCACCAGTCTGGATGTTCACATAACTAGAAAAACAAGGACAAATATACAACCAGTCCCTCATCAATATCCAATCAGAGTTCTCTCCACATTATTATTATTATTATTATTATTATGATTATTCCATTGCAAACTGTCATCTTCAATAACAACAAATCAAATCAAAACACGGTTACAGAAGTGGGACACCAATGTTGGGTTTCACAAGCAGCACCCATATAATCGAACCCTGATCATTACTGTGACAAACGAACACATGAACCTGTGGGCCACCCTAACGTGTCATTCACAAGGTAAAACATTTCATAGAATCCATTGGTAATTTCAAGTAATTCTCCCTTTGAGCTTCCACTGATATTGCCAACGTAGGTGTAAAGTGTTGGTAAAAAATGCCTCACTATACAGTAAACAACGTTTATAACGAACACGCTTATAACGAACTGATGGATATAACAAATGTTTTTTTGGCTCCGTCCATTCGCTGTAATTATGCTGTATATGTCGTGTTCAAGAGTATTTCACTTATATAGCCACATGCATCTACGTGTGTGTGTCTCCCTGTACGAGTCCGGACTGGAGTTGATTTCATAGTGCTGGCTCACTGAGATACCATGCTGCAGTTTAACATGAATACCCCACTCAGACACAGTATACTGACTCCGAGAGGACCAGTCCCTTTAACCCTCAATGCTGAGCTCCAGGCAGGGTAACAACAAGCCCCATCTGTTAACATCCTTTGGTATGACGTGGCCAGGGATCAAACCACCCGCTACCCGGGTAGATGCTCCAACCACTACACCACGGAGTCTGTCTCCAGAACATATAACCGGACACAGAATTAATGGGACGTAGTCTCCTACCGGAGATCAAGTGAACCTTGTAGGGCTGGGATGAGTAACTCGGGTACTCAGGCCGGGTGGGTACTGAGTAGGATTCGGGTACCCACATGTCAACCCGGACCCGTCGTCAGTCACATGATATATTGTTTAATGACGAAAATTATCTGTAACTCCGTTGTTACACATCAACTTCACGGTATGCATGACCAGATCGTTTTATAGAGTAAGCAAGTGTATCTAAATAGGTTTTGTTAGAGCTCTGTTTAAACAATTCTTAATCAGACATTTGGACTCATCTCTGTCAAGTAATAGGGGGTCGGGTACCCAGGTAGCACATTTGGACACATCCCAGCCCTAGAACCTTGCTATGTTTAGTTCTGAACCACACACAACTATCATGATGTCACTGTGCTCACTGGGATACAACAAATGGCTGGTCACAGTTGGAGATTCAAATTCAAATGGATATAACAAATGGTTTTTTGGCTCCGTCCATTCGCTGTAATTATGCTGTATATGTGCTTATAACGAACTACGGTTATTATGAACTAAATTTAGTGGTCCCTTTAAGTTCGTTATAACTGTAGTTTCCTGTATTGTCAAATAACCGCCGGTAATTTCTGATAAGTTGAAATGTGGTTTAATGTTGTGTTCAAGGTTACTGCACTTATATAGTGATGATTAAGCATCTGTGTGTGGCTGCTTGTACTAGTCTGGATTAATGCAGGTTTTGTAGTTCTAGTTCACTCAGATAGCATGCAGCAGTTTAACATGGTTTCCCCACTTAGACAGAGTACACCAACTACGGCACAGACTAGTTAATTCCCTCTCTACCAGTTCCCTTATTCATTCCCATGAGCATATGTCCCATGTTGTTTGTAAGTTGTTTAACGCCGCACTCCGCAATATTCCAGCTATATGATGGCAGTCTGTAAAATAATCGAGTCTGGACCAGACAATCCAGTGACTGACATCATGAGCATCGATCCACGCAATTGGGAATGATGACATGCATCAACCAAGTCAGCGAGCCTGACCACCCGATCCCGTTCGCCTTTTACGACAAGTATAGTAGCCTTTTATGGCAAGTATGGGTTGCTGAAGACCTATTCTACCCCGGAATCTTCACGGGTCATGTCCCATGTCTTACCTGTAGAGGGCGTCCCCTTCCTCCAAGTAGGCACCGACAGGGGGCAAACCATCGGAGTCAAGATTCCATTTCTGTTTTGCCTTGCTGGGAACGTAACCTGACAACAGGAATGATTGAGACACTTGGTACCAGTTGGTTTCGCACAGTATAGAATTGTGTTTGGTCAGAGACATTTACCACATAGAGGAAACCCACTAGCACGGGTCTGATTACAATCAGACTAAGTATGGGATGTTACTCTGATTCTATAATAATAATAATAATAATAATAATAGAGCTGCCCATATAAATAAATACTGCCCATATTTGCAAACCGCAAAAGGCATGTTCAAAGTTTTATTATTACCCCGGTCAATAGATCAGCATGCATGTACTCAACAATCATTCTGAACTCCCTGAGGAGAATACAACCCAACCTGCCTGTGAGGCGCAAGAAGGTTAACAATCACAGCCATCTCATCCTACTGGGTACCCATTTACTGCTGGGTAAACAGAGGCACACTTCAACCATAGTCACTTGCCCAGGTGACACCACATGTGTTACATGTGCTTCAGTGGGGGGCAGGACCGAAGCCCTGTAAACTCTCAGGAGCCAAGCAACCAAAATCACAATTCTTATATAGACACCACAACCATTCTCAGTTTGTCAGAACCATACCTGACTCAGGGGTCTGACTGATGTTGTAATTGAAAAGACAAACAGTTTAAAACAGATATAACCCACCTCACTGACGTCTATGCAAGGAAATGAGGTCAGTTACTATTTTAGTTTACAAATGTTTTGCTCAATATTTAATCCAGGTGGTTGTACGTGAAACCAAAAATCTCAGCTTCTTAAACTTACTGTTGATGATGAAAAACAAACAAGTTGTATCTTTGGAGATCATTGAGTTTTATGTTGTAGTCAATGTGACACTTTATTTTAAAGAACTGTCAGTATATGAAGGAGTGAGTGAGTGAGTATGGTTTTCGACGTTTTTAGCAATATTCCAGCGGGGTACACCAGAAATAGGCTTCACACACTGTACCCATGTGGGGAATCGAACCAAGGTCTTCGGCATGACGAGCGAACGCTTTAACCAATAGGCTACCCCACCACCCGAATATGAACGAATATGCAATTGATGCAAATGTTTGGCTTCACATTAATCTCTTCTGAACATATATGGCAGCTTACTGAGAATGCAGGAATACTTTGTGTTGGTTGCTGTCTCGGTCTGGAGAGAAATAAACTGAAAAACAAAGAAAGAAACTGTACAACTAGGCCACAAGCTGAGCTGAGCTGAGCTGAGTTGAGCTGAGCTGAGCTGAGGTGAGCTGAAATGGGGTTTAACGTAGTGTTCAAGAGTATTTCACTTATATAGCCACATGCATCTACGTGTGTGTGTCTCCTTGTACGAGTCCGGACTGGAGTTGATTTCATAGTGCTGGCCCACTGAGATACCATGCTGCAGTTCAACATGAATACCCCACTCAGACACAGTATACTGACTCCAAGAGGACCAGTCCCTTTAACCCTTAATGCTGAGCTCCAGGCAGGGTAACAACAAGCCCCATCTGTTAACATCCTTTGGTATGACGTGGCCAGGGATCAAACCACCTCCTACTCAGGTAGATGCTCCAACCACTACACCACGGAGTCTGTCTCCAGAACATATAACCGGACACATAATTAATTGGACGTACACTCCTACCGGAGATCAAGTGAACCTTGTAGGGCTGGGATGAGTAACTCGGGTACTCGGGCCGGGTGGGTACTGAGTAGGATTCGGGTACCCACATGTCAACCCGGACCCGTGGTCAGTCACATGATATATTGTTTAATGACGAAAATTATCCGTAACTCCGTTGTTACACATCAACTTCACTGTATGCATGACCAGATCGTTTTATAGAGTAAGGGAGTGTATCTAAATAGGTTTTGTTAGAGCTCTGTTTAAACAATTCTCAATCAGACATTTGGACTCATCTCTTGAGACCTACAGGGTAGGGTCAGGTAATAGGGGGTCGGGTACCCAGGTAGCACATTTGGACACATCCCAGCCCTAGAACCTTGCTATGTTTAGTTCTGAACCACACACAACTATCATGATGTCACTGTGCTCACTGGGATACAACAAATGGCTGGTCACAGTTGGAGATTCAAATTCAACATCTCTGTTCTGCTACATTGCCCCCCAAAATCTGACTGCACTTTCCTAATTGTTTTTATTGATAAGGAGCTGCAACTCAGGATTTTGTAACCTACATTTGTGTATTTTCTTATTCGAAAGTACCTACTGACTTTTACTAAAGTTCCTTCCTGTGAATATATGGTTACACACAGATGCGTCCATCAAATCAGAGGTCATCACTGTGATTAGAAACACCTGATTGTCCAACCGTCTTTTACGAAAGTGCCTTTCAATAAGATGTGTCCATCAAATCAGAGGTTATTACTGTAAATTGAAACTTATGATTGACCAACAGTCTTTTATGAAAGTTCCTCCTTTGAATATTTGGTCACACACAGATGCGTCCATCAAATCAGAGGTCATTACTGTGATTTGAAACTTCTGATTGTCCAACCGTCTTTTACGAAAGTGCCTTTATATAAGATGTGTCCATCAAATCAGAGGTGGTTACTGTAAATTGAAACTTATGATTGACCAACAGTCTTTTATGAAAGTTCCTCCCTATGAATATTTGGTCACACACAGATGTGTCCATCAAATCAGAGGTTGTTACTGTGATTTGAAAAAAACATCTTTTACGAAAGTTCCTTCCTATGAATATTTGGTTACACACAGATGCATCCATCAAATCAGAGGTCTTAAATCAGAAGTTGCTATTGTGATTTGACCAATCAGGAAGGAGTATTTTCCAAAGTTATGGTGGAATGTTCTACCTTATTCATGTAGATACAGCCGTGGGCCAGGCCTCTCTCTGCTGATGACTTGTTGATGATCATAGCGTCTTCCATGTCATAGCCCTGAAACAACAACACAACAGGTACAGATACACAAACACTATGTATTTAGCTCGTCAAGGCTCGCTAAATACAATGTTTATTCCTAATGCAGGATATTTACCATCCCCAAACACACTCGCGTGATAACCTCTATATACAAATCTGATGTAGATTTGGGACATGGCAGTATATACTTACTGGTTGGTTTGTTGTTTAATACCGCACTCAGCAATATTCCAGCTATATGACGGTGGTCTGTAAATAATCAAGGCTGGACCAGACAATCCAGTGATTAATATCATGAGCATCGATCCACGCAATTGAGATCGATGACAAGCATCAACCAATTCAGCGAGCCTGAACACGCAATCCCGTTAGTCGCCTCTTAAAGAAAGCATAGTCGCCTTTTACAGCAAGAATGGGTTGCTGAAGACCTATTCTACCCCAGATCTTCACGGGTCTAAATACTTACTGTATAGGATATGACAGCTATCACAGCGTTGGTGCCTGGAGGGTAGTTGTCGACGGCGAGGTCAGAGTAATACTTAGGCCTGACCAGCGGAGACTGCGGCGTCAACAGTCGGTAGAGCTTGTTGTCGGCGCGGTGGGTGATGTTGTGGCATGCTGTGCCCAGTGTCTGCTTGGCCATCTGGAACAGGAGACCCGATCTCTCACATCACCATCATCTCACACTTATATCTCATAGTAACTTACAGTTGTCTCACTGGTGGGAAAATATCTGGTAAATATCATGGCAATCTGCTCGGTGTAAAGATGCTAAGAAATGTATCAGCAATATCATGTCAACCTGCACATATTATATTCTACCTGTGACTAGGTGGGGACTTCTGACAGGAACACTGACTGACCTGACACTGGTGCATGTTCCTGACGCTGGTTGTTCTCCCAACTCACCTGACACTGGTGCGTGTTCCTGACGCTGGTTGTTCTCCCAACTCACCTGACACTGGTGCGTGTTCCTGACACTGAGTGTTCTCCCAACTCACCTGACACGGGTGCGTGTTCCTGACACTGAGTGTTCTCCCAACTCACCTGACACTGGTGCGTGTTCCTTGCAAGAACGCTGGTTGTTCTCCCAACTCACCTGACACTGGTACATGTTCCTGACGCTGGTTGTTCTCCCAACTCACCTGACACTGGTGCGTGTTCCTGACACTGAGTGTTCTCCCAACTCACCTGACACTGGTGCGTGTTCCTGACGCTGGTTGTTCTCCCAACTCACCTGACACTGGTGCGTGTTCCTGGCAAGAACGCTGGTTGTTCTCCCAACTCACCTGACACTGGTGCGTGTTCCTGACGCTGGTTGTTCTCCCAACTCACCTGACACTGGTGCGTGTTCCTGACACTGAGTGTTTTCCCAACTCACCTGACACTGGTGCGTGTTCCTGACAAGAACGCTGGTTGTTCTGCCAACTCACCTGACACTGGTGCGTGTTCCTGACAAGAACGCTGATTGTTCTCCCAACTCACCTGACACTGGTACATGTTCCTGACAAGAACGCTGAGTGTTCTCCCAACTCACCTGACACTGGTACATGTTCCTGACAAGAACGCTGAGTGTTCTCCCAACTCACCTGACACTGGTACATGTTCCTGACAAGAACGCTGGTTGTTCTCCCAACTCACGTGACACTGGTACATGTTCCTGACAAGAACGCTGAGTGTTCTCCCAACTCACCTGACACTGGTACATGTTCCTGACAAGAACGCTGAGTGTTCTCCCAACTCACCTGACACTGGTACATGTTCCTGGCAAGAACGCTGAGTGTTCTCCCAACTCACCTGACACTGGTACATGTTCCTGGCAAGAACGCTGGTTGTTCTCCCAACTCACCTGACACTGGTGCGTGTTCCTGACGCTGGTTGTTCTCCCAACTCACCTGACACTGGTGCGTGTTCCTGACACTGAGTGTTCTCCCAACTCACCTGACACTGGTGCGTGTTCCTGACAAGAACGCTGGTTGTTCTGCCAACTCACCTGACACTGGTGCGTGTTCCTGACAAGAACGCTGATTGTTCTCCCAACTCACCTGACACTGGTACATGTTCCTGACAAGAACGCTGAGTGTTCTCCCAACTCACCTGACACTGGTACATGTTCCTGACAAGAACGCTGGTTGTTCTCCCAACTCACGTGACACTGGTACATGTTCCTGACAAGAACGCTGGTTGTTCTGCCAACTCACCTGACACTGGTACATGTTCCTGACAAGAACGCTGAGTGTTCTCCCAACTCACGTGACACTGGTACATGTTCCTGACAAGAACGCTGAGTGTTCTCCCAACTCACGTGACACTGGTACATGTTCCTGACAAGAACGCTGGTTGTTCTCCCAACTCACCTGACACTGGTACATGTTCCTGACAAGAACGCTAAGTGTTCTCCCAACTCACCTGACACTGGTACATGTTCTTAACAAGAACGCTGGTTGTTCTCCCAACTCACCTGACACTGGTACATGTTCCTGGGGCTCTGGTTGAAGTCGGAGAACGGCGTCATGTTGGCCAGGGAGCTGAGTATACTGGTGGGGGCAAGCTCCTGATGTGTGGTCACCTGGGCAACAGTTACCATGGTTACTCACATTGGTCACAACCAAATCAATTCTGATTCTTAGAAACACAAGTGACGTACAGACTTGTATGACCAGCAGTATAAATATCATAGGAAACATTAGTAGGCGTATGCTGTGATGTTTAGTCATCATTATCCACGGACTACTAACAACCTACCCCTGGGTGGAATTCCTCCTCTGTGATGCAGATGTCGAGGTAAACCTGCTCAAATGTGCCGATCATCTCCACCATCCCTAGGCTTAGGTTCAGGACGGGCCGCATCATCCGGGCGGGGCCAAGGAACAGGTAGACCGCCGGGTACTGGCTGGCAAACTCCGTCTTGGGAACCAGGCAGATCTCCAGGATAGCCGGTACCTGGGGGAGGAAGGGTTCAAACAGATGAGTGAGTGAGTGAGTGAGTGAGTGAGTGAGTGAGTGAGTGAGTTAGTGAGTGAGTGAGTGAGTGGGGGTGTGGGGATGTGGGGGTGTGGGGGTGTGGGAGTGGGTGGGTAAGCGAATGAGCAAGAGAGTGAGTGAGAATAACAGGTTAGAAAGTGATTGTTTTGGTGAGTGGGTGAGTGATGTGAGAGTTTGGGTGAGTGAGTAAGTGAGAAAGAGTGAAAGAGAAAGTGAGTGAGCGTTTGGGTGAGTGAGTAATTGGGTGAGTGAGTAATTGGGTGAGTGAGTGAGAGCGAGCGAGCGTATGTCGGTCTTTCTCACCAATATTGAATGCATTCATGAAGCAACACAATCTATCAAGTCGCACATTTGACCAACCAATCTTCATTTCATCCATTACAACAAGCAATTCTGGTACAGGTGTACTTAACTATCAAGCCCAAGGATTGTGTGCCCAGGGTTGGGTGTGGACCTTCCTACCAAAGGAAACCTCACCATTTGTCTCATAGCAACTGACCTTATCGATGCTCTTGACCTTCATGACCCGTAGTCTATCACAGAAGTTTTGAGCGAGGTTGTCGGTGATGTAGCCAACAGGGATGCCGTCCAGGAAGACGGGGTAGCTCTCCTTCACCTTCCCTGGGGGACTGTCGTCCAGCCGACACAACCCCGCATTCTCCATCACAGTCAGTAGATGTGTTGTGTTATGCTGCACCGTCACAACCTGCAACAACCTCACAGTTTACAACTACACAGCTTTCACCCACTGTAAACAACCACAAGAACACAGCGTTATCACTATCCCCCGCCAGGGTCCATTGGGATTTTGTTTGTTCATATAGTAGCGAAGACAAAATACACAAAATGAGTCCTTTCAAGCTTTAAGAAGAGATAGAAAGAAATATCTTATGGCACTAATTCTCGAAACTCAGTCCTGATAAGTATCTCTTAGATACGCTAACTTCAGTAGTTTCTGAGAAAACTTGTCCCCACAGCAGACACTACGCACTTTGTAAAATAACATGGATTACGACCAAAACTGTGTACGCTCAAAATGTAAAAACATGTAGCAGGGGAAGCAACTCTGGAAAAACTCAGCCTTAATCAGTATCTCTTGTAAAATTTCATTCATGTAGCTTCAATAGTTTCTGGGAAAACTTGTCCCTGTTGCACTATGCACTAAGTTGAAAAGCATCGAGCAAGGGCTTGTAAAAATAGTGAGTGAGTGAAGTGGGTTTAACGCAGCGTTTAACAGTATTCCAGTCATATCACAGCGCGTCAGCTTAATGTGGGAGGAAAGCCCCAAGTGATGCAGGTCTTAGACGTTTACCACTTCAGTGAAACCCACGAGCACGGTATGGTGCTGACAAACCTAGAAACATAATCGGGGCGAACCGGGATTCGAACCCACAATCATAGGTTTCTGGCGTGCCCAAGGGACGCAACTCTGCACAGCGAATTGCGGTGCCTTAAACGACTGGGCCACCCGTGCCCCCTTCTGTAAAAATGATTTAAGACACCAATTTTCGAACTTGGTCTTGACAAGTATCTCTCAGATAAGCATGCTAACTTTCATTCATGTAACTTCAGTAGTTTGTGAGAAAACCTGTCCCCATTTCACGCAGTATGCACTCAGTTTAAAAGCATGGAACAAGGGCCATAACTCTGAAAAAAATAATTTAAGACACCAATTTTCAAACTCATCTGAGATTGCGACCAGTATTATATCAGTGTGTAAAATTTCATTCTCTAACTTGAACAGTTTTTGAGAAAATTCCCTTACACCCACCTGACAGCTGTGAGCGAGATGGTTCATCAGTCCGCACGGAGCGCCATCTGGTGTATGGACAGGGCACATGAATCCTGATGGAAAGAATTCATGTATTTTGAATTGGATTCAACACATCAATCTGTTCATTTGTTCATCTTTATAACAACCTGCAAATTGTTTAAAACACAGTTGATGACTTTCCTTCCAATACGATAACATGCATCAACCAAGTCAGCGAGCCTGGTCACCCGATCCCGTTAGTCGCCTTTTACGACAAGCATAGTCGCCTTTTACAGCAAGAATGGGTTGCTGAAGACCTACTCTAACACAGGTCATATAGTAACGTGCATTCAAGCTTGTATGTGTGTATGGCTGCTTGTACTAGTCTGGACTACTGCAGATTTTATAGTGCTAGCCCACTCAGATGCTGTTCCACAGTTTAACATGAATACCCCACTCGGACACAGAAAACTGACCAGCCAACCAGTCCTTGTTTTAGCCCCTTAATGCTGAGCACCAGGCAGGGTAACAACAAGTACCACCTTTTAACATCTTTTGGTATGACGCGGCCGGGGATCTAACCCTGAACCTTCCACTCTCCAGGCAGATGCTCTACCACTAGACCACAGAGGCGGTCTATGTAGAGTAGAGATTAGCACTATTCCAGCATAACTCACGATGGGGGACACCAGAAATAGGCTACACATATTGTAGCAAGGTGGAGAATCAAACCTAGTCTTTTCGCATGAAGAGTGAACACTTCAACCACAAGACCATCAACCCCCCTAATCATATCATATCAGGCTGGTGTAAAGTGATGTTTCTGGGAGGGGGCGGACATAACATATTGGGAATGTCCATAGCATATTCGACCTGTGAAGATCCGAATTAGGTCTTCAGCAACCCATGCTTGTCACAAAAGGCGATTAGTCTTATCATAAGAGGCAGAGGAACGGGATCGGGTGGTCAGGCTCGCTGACTTGGTTGATGCCTTTAGCCATATCTCAAATGCTTTGACCGATGCTCATGATATCAATCACTGGTTTGTCTGGACCAGACTCAGTTATTTACAGACCACCATCATATAGCTGGAATATTGCTGAGTGCAGTGTTAAACAACAAACAAACAAATAAACAGAAAAACAAAATCATTCTACATTCACAGCTACATGACACAGACCAGGGACAAGGGTGTACTGACAGCTTGGCATGGGGACACTCCCCGAGGCCAGTGATACCACGAGGGTATCGACGATGGACTCACCCCAGGCTTCTGGGCGGAGCTTGCGGACTCCTGTGGACCTCATGGTGGTGAAGAACGCTCCTCGGTGCACACACCGGAAGTGGGACAGGAACCGGCAGAAGTTGAGTCTGTCGGCCACAATGGCGAAGCCAGAATACTGGAATTGGAAATTACAAGGTCATTAGTTTGATGTCTGAGTGAGTAACATCCACATAGTGACAGTGATCACCAAACTAAATGTACAAACCAGGGCTCAATGGTGCACTCCTACAAATAACTCAGCTCTTCAGACATCAACCTCCCAAAACCTGCACAAGCCCCACACCCTGACCTCCATACCTGCACTCCATACCTGCACAAACCCACACCCTGACCCCCGTAACTAGAAGAGCCCCACACCCTGACCTCCATACCTGCACAAGCCCACACCCTGACCCCTGTAACTAGAAGAGCCCCACACCCTGACCCCCATACCTGCACAAGCCCACACCCTGACCCCTGTAACTAGAAGAGCCCCACACCCTGACCTCCATACCTGCACAAGCCCACACCCTGACCCATGTAACTAGAAGAGCCCCACACCCTGACCTCCATACCTGCACAAGCCCACACCCTGACCCCTGTAACTAGAAGAGCCCCACACCCTGACCTCCATACCTGCACAAGCCCACACCCTGACCCCTGTAACTAGAAGAGCCCCACACCCTGACCCCCATACCTGCACAAGCCCACACCCTGACCCCTGTAACTAGAAGAGCCCCACACCCTGACCCCCATACCTGCACAAGCCCACACCCTGACCCCTGTAACTAGAAGAGCCCCACACCCTGACCCCCATACCTGCACAAGCCCACACCCTGACCCCTGTAACTAGAAGAGCCCCACACCCTGACCCCCATACCTGCACAAGCCCACACCCTGACCCCTGTAACTAGAAGAGCCCCACACCCTGACCCCCATACCTGCACAAGCCCACACCCTGACCCCTGTAACTAGAAGAGCCCCACACCCTGACCCCCATACCTGCACAAGCCCACACCCTGACCCCTGTAACTAGAAGAGCCCCACACCCTGACCCCCATACCTGCACAAGCCCACACCCTGACCCCTGTAACTAGAAGAGCCCCACACCCTGACCCCCATACCTGCACAAGCCCACACCCTGACCCCTGTAACTAGAAGAGCCCCACACCCTGACCCCCATACCTGCATGAGCCCCAGGCCAGATCGAGATGTCAGGTTGCCAGTGGACAGGAGATACTCCACACTCCTCGTCACTTCACATTTGTCTCCACCACAAAGTGTCAGTGCGCGCTGAAATGCAGCTGAAATACATTTTTCACATTAGTGTTTCCAAGGAAACATCACAATAGTCTACTATAAGAGATTTTGCAATCAAATATTACAGGGGATACATTTAAAGGATTAAATTACAAAAATTCACAAGGGTCAGACAATTTGTTTTTTAGATCCTACTATACCCCACCTGACCCATTTATCCAACCTTACTCTGTGACCCATATCCCGCCCTACTCTGTGACCCATATCCAACCTTACTCTGTGACCCATATCCAACCTTACTCTGTGACCCATATCCCACCCTAACCTCTGACCCATATCCAACCTTACTCTGTGACCCATATCCCACCCTAACCTCTGACCCATATCCCACCCTAACCTCTGACCCATATCGCACCCTAACCTCTGACCCATATCCAACCTTACTCCATGACCCATATCCCACCACTAACCTCTGACCCATATCTCACCCTAACCTCTGACCCATATCCAACCTTACTCTGTGACCCATACCCCACCACTAACCTCTGACCCATACCCCACCCAACTGTGACCCACACTCCCTGCCTACACTGTGTCCCAAATACCACTCTACTCCCAATTCTGTGACCAACATCCTGCTCCTCTTCACTGAATCACTACACCCCAACCCTCAATGTGTCACAACAACCCAACCCTCAATGTGTCACTACACCCAAACCCTCAATGTGTCACTACACCCCACCCCTCAATATGTCACTACACCCCAACCCTCAATGTGTCACTACACCCCAACCCTCAATGTGTCACTACACCCCAACCCTCAATGTGTCACTACACCCCAACCCTTAATGTGTCACTACACCCCACCCCTCAATGTGTCACTACACCCCAACCCTCAATGTGTCACAACACCCCAACCCTCAATGTGTCACTACACCCCACCCGTCAATGTGTCTCACTCACCAGGTGTCAGCTCAAAGACATCGGCTGCTTCGGCAGCCTTCATAATCATCATCTTTACCCTGATGAGGAAGTCATTCATCTTCTCCTGGAACACACATCCATCACATGTCAGCAAGATATCCACCATGTCAGTCACACATGCGTCACACGTCCATGTCAGTCACACAACCATGTCAGTCACACATCCATGTCAGTCACACATCAGTCACACATCCATGTCAGTCACAAATCAGTCACACATCCATGTCAGTCACACATCAGTCACTCATCCATGTCAGTCACACGTCCACCATGTCAGTCACACGTCCACCATGTCAGTCACACATCAGTCATACATCCACCATGTCAGTCACATGTCCACCATGTCAGTCACACGTCCACCATGTCAGTCACACATCAGTCACACATCCATGTCAGTCACACATCAGTCACACATCCATGTCAGTCACACATCAGTCACACGTCCACCATGTCAGTCACACGTCCACCATGTCAGTCACACATCCATGTCAGTCACACATCAGTCACACATCCACGTCAGTCACACATCATTCACACATCCACCATGTCAGTCACACATCCGTCACACAGCCACGTCAGTCACACGTCCACCATGTCAGTCACACATCCGTCACACAGCCATGTCAGTCACACATCCATGTCAGTCACACATCAGTCACACGTCCACCATGTCAGTCACACATCAGTCACACATCCATGTCAGTCACACATCAGTCACACATCCATGTCAGTCACACATCAGTCACACGTCCACCATGTCAGTCACACGTCCACCATGTCAGTCACACATCCATGTCAGTCACACATCAGTCACACATCCACGTCAGTCACACATCATTCACACATCCACCATGTCAGTCACACATCCGTCACACAGCCACGTCAGTCACACGTCCACCATGTCAGTCACACATCCGTCACACAGCCATGTCAGTCACACATCCATGTCAGTCACACATCAGTCACACGTCCACCATGTCAGTCACACATCAGTCACACATCCATGTCAGTCACACATCAACGTCAGTCACACGTCCATGTCAGTCACACATCATTCACACATCCACCATGTCAGTCACACATCCGTCAGACAGCCACGTCAGTCACACGTCCACCATGTCAGTCACATATCAGTCACACATCCATGTCAGTCACACATAAGTCACACATCCATGTCACTCACACATCCTTGTCACTCACACATCTGTCACATCCATGTCAGTCACACATCCATGTCCGTCACACATCCATGTCAGTCACACATCCATGTCCGTCACACATCCATGTCCGTCACACATCCATGTCACTCACACATCCATGTCCGTCACACATCCATGTCCATCACACATCCATGTCACTCACACATCTGTCACATCCATGTCAGTCACACATCAGTCACACATCCATGTCACTCACACATCCATGTCACTCACACATCTGTCACATCCATGTCCGTCACACATCCATGTCCGTCACACATCCATGTCAGTCACACATCCATGTCACTCACACATCCATGTCCGTCACACATCCATGTCCGTCACACATCCATGTCCGTCACACATCCATGTCCGTCACACATCCATGTCCGTCACATATCCATGTCACTCACACATCTGTCACATCCATGTCCGTCACACATCCATGTCACTCACACATCCATGTCCGTCACACATCCATGTCCGTCACACATCCATGTCCGTCACACATCCATGTTCGTCACACATCCATGTCAGTCACACATCCATGTCCGTCACACATCCATGTCACTCACACATCTGTCACATCCATGTCAGTCACACATCCATGTCAGTCACACATCCATGTCCGTCACACATCCATTTCAGTCACACATCCATGTCCGTCACACATCCATGTCAGTCACACATCCATGTCACTCACACATCCATGTCACTCACACATCTGTCACATCCATGTCAGTCACACATCCATGTCAGTCACACATCCATGTCCGTCACACATCCATGTCAGTCACACATCCATGTCCGTCACACATCCATGTCAGTCACACATCCATGTCACTCACACATCCATGTCACTCACACATCTGTCACATCCATGTCACTCACACATCCATGTCAGTCACACATCCATGTCCGTCACACATCCATGTCAGTCACACATCCATGTCCGTCACACATCCATGTCAGTCACACATCCATGTCCGTCACACATCCATGTCCGTCACACATCTGTCACATCCATGTCCGTCACACATCCATGTCCGTCACACATCCATGTCCGTCACACATCCATGTTCGTCACACATCCATGTTCGTCACACATCCATGTCAGTCACACATCTATGTCCGTCACACATCCATGTCAGTCACACATCCATGTCCGTCACACATCCATGTCACTCACACATCTGTCACATCCATGTCCGTCACACATCCATGTCAGTCACACATCCATGTCCGTCACACATCCATGTCCGTCACACATCTGTCACATCCATGTCCGTCACACATCCATGTCCGTCACACATCCATGTCAGTCACACATCCATGTCACTCACACATCTGTCACACATCCATGTCAGTCAACTGCCATGTCAGTCACACATCCATGTCAGTCACACATCCATGTCCGTCACACATCCATGTCAGTCACACATCCATGTTCGTCACACATCCATGTCAGTCACACATCCATGTCCGTCACACATCCATGTTAGTCACACATCCATGTCCGTCACACATCCATGTCACTCACACATCTGTCACATCCATGTCAGTCACACATCCATGTCAGTCACACATCCATGTCAGTCACACATCCATGTCACTCACACATCTGTCACATCCATGTCCGTCACACATCCATGTCCGTCACACATCCATGTCAGTCACACATCCATGTCACTCACACATCTGTCACATCCATGTCAGTCAACTGCCATGTCAGTCACACATCCACCAAGTCAGTCACACACGTCACATGTCACACACTGGTCAAATAATAGGCCACATCTGTCACATGACACACGTCAGGTACACATTTTTCATGCCATAGTTCAACTCTTTCTACTGATACCGGCGACGGGGACTGTCGGCCATGTTTCACTACCTTGATGACCATCAGCATGAGGTGGCCGGACAACAGCAGTTCCTGGTTCATGGGGTTGTCGGGGGAGTCGGCAGCACACTCGCCCTTCGCGAACGCGTACAACTTCCTGGTCATGTGACTGCAGTCAGAGACAGGCGAGTGTCACAACATGAAAACTACAGTTTGTGTCAAAAACAGTCTATTGGCCCGAACATGTCTCTTGACATCATTTTCAGTAGATCTTAGCGTTAATGTACAGACTTTTAGGAGCAAATATTACAAGACTGAAAGAAATATTGCTAGACTCTGGCAACAGACTATTGGCTAAAGTCCCCGACTGTAACTGTTGACAATGCTACAATCTTGGATTATACTAAAACTGATACACTAAATTAAAGCTCTTATAAGGACTTCTGTTGGTCTGAATTCAGAGTATTTAACTTTTTCAAAGACAGGTGTTTTTCAAACCTGGACAACCTTGTCTAATTCTCTAAGGATAGTGTCCATTCTAATATTTAGCTAAGTAAAATTATAAATCACAGTGCAAACTCATCCTTTACGATGGACACAGAGGAAAATTACTCGCTGTGTCTTTACAATTTTGCATAAATATTGAAATAATAGAATTTATCTTTCTAAAATATTCTAACCAGATATGGATAAAAAGTTCAGCAACAAAGAAAACATCCTGATTGTTGAATATTTGGGTGCTTATGGTGTAGCTGATGGATAGAAACCTGTCCACTGATATCAGGCAATACTCACACGAGGAAGTCAAACTTTGCCCTGTTGGATTTGAGATGAAGGCAAACAATATGTCTGAAAGTATGAACAGAAACTACATTGACTACATCACATGACAACAGAACACAACAGATGGGGGAGTGGGTGGGAGGTGAGGTTAACGGGGCCAGAGGGGGGCAGACAAAATATGAAAGACCTAAGACTTGACCGCTTCCAAACCCTTCACTGAATTGTACGTCCTTCTAACTCCTCACTGAATCTCACGTCCTAATTCTTCACCGAGTTGCAGGTCTTATTAACTTCACCAAGTTCACTGAGTGATGTGTTTTTCACACAGAGTCATACATCCTACTAACTGAAGAAAGGCATACATCTTACAAACTTGTCACTGAATCTTACATCCTTCTGACTCTTCACTGAATCTTACGTCCTTCTGACTCTTCACTGAATCTTATGTCCTTCTAACTCTTCACTGAATCTTACATCCTTCTAACTCTTCACTGAATCTTACGTCCTTCTAACTCTTAACTGATTCTTACATCCTTCTAACTCTTCACTGAATCTTACATCCTTCTAACTCTTTACTGAATCTTACGTCCTTCTGACTCTTCACTGAATCTTACATCCTTCTGACTCGTCACTGAATCTTACATCCTTCTAACTCTTTACTGATTCTTACATCCTTCTAACTCTTCACTGAATCTTACATCCTTCTGACTCTTCACTGAATCTTACGTCCTTCTGACTCTTCACTGAATCTTACGTCCTTCTGACTCTTCACTGAATCTTACGTCCTTCTAACTCTTCACTGAATCTTACATCCTTCTAACTCTTTACTGAATCTTACATCCTTCTGACTCTTCACTGAATCTTACATCCTTCTAACTCTTCACTGAATCTTACATCCTTCTAACTCTTCACTGAATCTTACATCCTTCTGACTCTTCACTGAATCTTACGTCCTTCTAACTCTTCACTGAATCTTACATCCTTCTGACTCTTCACTGAATCTTACATCCTTCTAACTCTTCACTGAATCTTACATCCTTCTGACTCTTCACTGAATCTTACGTCCTTCTAACTCTTCACTGAATCTTACATCCTTCTGACTCTTCACTGAATCTTACATCCTTCTAACTCTTTACTGAATCTTACATCCTTCTGACTCTTCACTGAATCTTACATCCTTCTAACTCTTCACTGAATCTTACGTCCTTCTAACTCTTTACTGAATCTTACATCCTTCTAACTCTTCACTGAATCTTACATCCTTCTAACTCTTCACTGAATCTTACGTCCTTCTAACTCTTTAGTGAATCTTACGTCCTTCTGACTCTTCACTGAATCTTACATCCTTCTAACTCTTCACTGAATCTTACGTCCTTCTAACTCTTTACTGAATCTTACGTCCTTCTGACTCTTCACTGAATCTTACGTCCTTCTAACTCTTCACTGAATCTTACATCCTTCTGACTCTTTACTGAATCTTACATCCTTCTAACTCTTCACTGAATCTTACATCCTTCTAACTCTTTACTGAATCTTACATCCTTCTAACTCTATACTGAATCTTACATCCTTCTGACTCTTCACTGAATCTTACATCCTTCTAACTCTTCACTGAATCTTACATCCTTCTGACTCTTTACTGAATCTTACATCCTTCTGACTCTTCACTGAATCTTACATCCTTCTGACTCGTCACTGAATCTTACGTCCTTCTGACTCTTCACTGAATCTTACATCCTTCTAACTCTTTACTGAATCTTACATCCTTCTAACTCTTCACTGAATCTCAGTCCTTCTGACTCTTCACTGAATCTTACATCCTTCTAACTCTTTACTGAATCTTACATCCTTCTGACTCTTCACTGAATCTTACATCCTTCTAACTCTTCACTGAATCTTACATCCTTCTAACTCTATACTGAATCTTACATCCTTCTGACTCTTCACTGAATCTTACATCCTTCTAACTCTTCACTGAATCTTACATCCTTCTGACTCTTCACTGAATCTTACATCCTTCTAACTCTTCACTGAATCTTACGTCCTTCTAGCTCTTCACTGAATCTTACATCCTTCTGACTCTTTACTGAATCTACCATCCTTCTAACTCTTCACTGAATCTCAGTCCTTCTGACTCTTCACTGAATCTTACATCCTTCTAACTCTTTACTGAATCTTACATCCTTCTAACTCTTCACTGAATCTTACATCCTTCTAACTCTTTACTGAATCTTACATCCTTCTGACTCTTCACTGAATCTTACATCCTTCTGACTCGTCACTGAATCTTACGTCCTTCTGACTCTTCACTGAATCTTACATCCTTCTAACTCTTTACTGAATCTTACATCCTTCTAACTCTTCACTGAATCTCAGTCCTTCTGACTCTTCACTGAATCCTACATCCTTCTAACTCTTCACTGAATCTTACATCCTTCTAACTCTTCACTGAATCTTACATCCTTCTGACTCTTCACTGAATCTTACATCCTTCTAACTCTTCACTGAATCTTACGTCCTTCTAGCTCTTCACTGAATCTTACATCCTTCTGACTCTTTACTGAATCTTACATCCTTCTAACTCTTCACTGAATCTCAGTCCTTCTGACTCTTCACTGAATCTTACATCCTTCTAACTCTTTACTGAATCTTACATCCTTCCAACTCTTCACTGAATCTTACATCCTTCCAACTCTTTACTGAATCTTACATCCTTCTAACTCTTCACTGAATCTTACATACAAACTCTTTACTGAGTCATACGTCTTAATAACTTCACAGTCATAGGTCTTACTAACTTACTTATTCTTTACTATGTCATAAGTTTTATTATAACTCTTCATTGAGTCGTACGTCTTACTAATGCTTTACTACGTCATATGTTTGACTATAGCTCTTCATCTTACATCTTACTAATTCTTCTCTTCACTAAGTCGCACATCAAACAAACCTCACAGAATCATACGTCTAACGAACTCTTTACCCAGCTTTACGTCTTACTAACTCCTCTCCCTGAGTAGTGTACTAACTTGTTGAAGAGTTCCCCGGCCTGTCTGTCGGTGTACCATGGAGGGCAGTATCTGTTGGCCAGCTTGGTGCGGAAGTGTTGGCCGATGTACTTGAGGATGTCCGACCTGGTGTACAGTTGGTCTGACAGCGTCTCCTGCAGCATGTTCACTATACACCTGGAAGCAGTCACGCCAGAGATAAACCTGCTGTGTTTTCAGTGTAGAGCTATGTCACCCTCAGATTTAACCACGTCAAATTGAATTTGAAACCTCACGTGCAGGCTAAATTTTACATTTGAAACTTAAAGTGCAGCGTGAGGTTTCAAATGTAAAATTTAGCCTGGAATAATCTAGAGGTAACCTATCTCTACACAGTATATTTTTCTCCATTTTACCAGTACAAAATGTTACATTAACTCGTTGGTACTGGCGAAGATATCAAGCTACAGATTTACCTTGAAGACATTGGATTTCCTATGATACATTCACCAAAAGAGGTAAGATAGCTAACCCTAACTCAAAACTCAGTCTTTTTGGCATGTTAAACTTTTCGGGAATCAGAGATAATTATTTGTTGTGTACCTTCCGTTGGGTGCATATTTCTATACTTTGTTTGTTTATTGTTTAACACTAAACTCGGCAATATTCCACTACATGATGGCGGTCTGTATATTATCGAGTCTGGGCCAGGCAATCTAGTGATAGTTATCATGAGCATCAATCCATGCAATTGGGATACGATGACATGCATCAAACGAATGCAGCAACCCCTACCACCAAATCCTGTTAGTCGCCTCTTACGACAAGACTAGTCTCCTATTACGGCAAGCTTGGGTTGCTGAAGGCCTATTCTACCCCGTATCTTCACGGGTCTCATATATTTGTATAGAAACACAGTCACTATTACTACTGAACAAGGAGGAAACAGATACTTGATGCGAAACATACTTTTGACAGAGTTTACCCTTTATAGAATGAATCCTCCTCCTTCCCTTTTGTGAGCTCGTCAAAGATAAACTTGTCAGAACAGTCTATCAGTCCCTGGAACAAACACCTCCAGACTATACATTTTACAATGAGTGCAAGAATGAGGTAAAAATATCTAAAAGAGTTCAAAAATATCATGCCCCTATTAACTCTATAACATAATAAACAAGCATGATATACTCCTATACCCTGCCAACATGACAAACATATCTGGTTGTGTGCAAGGGCATTAGCCCTCCGGAAACGAGCACTACCACCATTTTCAGTCAAAGTTGTTAACATGGAAACTTGAAAAAAATATTTTTCAAAAATCCCCAACTATCAAAAGGCACCAGTTCACCACTAGACCTATACATGTACCAAGCTTGGTTAAGATATCTATCATGGTTTTTGAGTTCTGCTCCAGAAACAAAATGTCATGAATGAATGCATGGAAGGACGGACGGACATTAACAATACTGCTTCCCTGCAACAACTCTCAATCACCAGCATTATTAGCAATACTGTTTCCCTACAACAACTCTCAATCACCAGCATTATTAACAATACTGCTTCCCTGCAACAACTCTCAATCACCAGCATTATTAACAATATTGTTTCCCTACAACAACTCTGCATCACAGGACTAGTAACAATACTGCTTCCATGCAACGACTCTATCACCAGCATTATTAACAATACTGATTCTCTACAACAACTCTGCATTACTGCATTACAGCATTATTAGCAATACTCTTTCCCTACAGCAACTCTGTATCACCAGCATTATTAACGATACTGTTTTGATGCAACAACTCTGCATCACAGCATTATTAACAATACTGTTTCCCTACAACAATTCTGCATCACAAGCATTATTAACAATACTGTTTCCTGACAAAAACTCTGCATCACCAGCATTATTAACAATACTATTTCCCTACAACAACTCTCCATCACCAGCATTATTAACAATACTGTTTCCCTACAACAAGTCTCCATCACCAGAATTATTAACAATACTGTTTCCCTACAACAACTCTGCATCACCAGCATTATTAACAAGACTGTTTCCCTACAACAACTCTGCATCACAGCATTATTAACAAGACTGTTTCCCTACAACAACTCTGCATCACCAGCATTATTAACAAGACTATTTCCCTACAACAACTCTGCATCACCAGCATTATTAACAAGACTGTTTCCCTACAACAACTCTGCATCACCAGCATTATTAACAAGACTGTTTCCCTACAACAACTCTGCATCACCAGCATTATTAACAATACTGTTTCCCTACAACAACTCTGCATCACCAGAATTATTAACAATACTGTTTCCCTACAACAACTCTGCATCACCAGAATTATTAACAATACTGTTTCCCTACAACAACTCTGCATCACCAGAATTATTAACAATACTGTTTCCCTACAACAACTCCCCATCACCAGAATTATTAACAATACTGTTTCCCTACAACAACTCTGCATCACCAGAATTATTAACAATACTGTTTCCCTACAACAACTCTCCATCACCAGAATTATTAACAATACTGTTTCCCTACAACAACTCTCCATCACCAGAATTATTAACAATACTGTTTCCCTACAACAAACCTTGAGGATGATCATGAGTGGTATGAAGAACATCTCCCGGTCGTAGATGAAGCAGGTCATCATGGCGCCAGTGGTCAGGTAGTGAAGATACATGTTCTGAGAAGAGGCGTACAAGGAAGGAATGTTAACAGACAAGCATCAATATGTACCATATATTACACCTTAAAAACTACGGGTAATAGACCACTCACCATTGATGGGGCTACTGAGATATGTGAGTGAGTGAGTATGGTTCTACGCCACTTTTAGCAATATTCCAGCAATATCACAGCAGGGGACACCAGAAATGGGCTTCACACATTGTACCCATGTCGGGAATCGAACCCGGGACTTTGGCGTGACAGGGAACGCTTTAACCAACCGCCCCTTACTGAGATATGTCATACTGTTATGAAACTAGAAGAGAAAAGTGTATCAAATTGTAAACTTATGATAAATTTACTTAAAAGGAAGCTGCACTTGAAGTTCCATAGCAATATTGAATACTATTTGTTTGCCAACATCTCTAAGCAATCAGTCACATTTAATACCAGCCTACAAATATCCATATCAAAAGTTGACTATTTCATGCCTCAAATTTAAACAAAAAAAGCATACCGTATTCGACGCAATAAGCATCCACAGCGATATTTCTTAATATATTGGCTAGTGAACAATCCCAATAAGCACTCCTTCCGATTTAATCAATGTACAAAAGACTTATTTATTCCCGTATAATACGCACTCGTGTGTTATATGCATTCAAACTTTTGGGCAATGAAATTCTGGAAAAATATTTATGTCGTATATAAACATTTCAAGGTGTCAGCATAAACCATGAAATTTATCTTTCAACTGTTTTTTTCCCACCAAAATATTATTCTAATAAGAACCCCCTATTTCTAATTTTGAGAGCGCCCTGGGCGCTTATTACGTCGAATACGGTACTGATTAAGTTTTTTGTGTGCATAATTGAACTGAATCAAATCAAGACATGTTTTATATTTGTATTTATGTTTGATATTCTCAGTTGCAGTCGGCAATATTCACAAAGTCATACACACAAAACATAAATGTATAATTTAGAGTTTTAGGGAAAAATTTTAAGTTTCTTGTAATGGCCACTTGCACATTGCTTGCATGTTAGTACCAGGAGGGTAACGAAGGAGTCGCAGTGGGAAGTAGAGGTGTAATGATACGGGAGGGTCGCGATACGATACTAATCGCGATACAGGGGTCGCGATACGATACGTATCACGATACAGTGTTTACTGGTACAAGCTAAGCCAAGTTGATGTCTTTAAAGTACAGTTGAAGAAGATATAAGGTGTATATTTACTGTTATAGCAAATTGTCAGCAATACAGTACGTTTTACTGAAACAAACTGGCTTTGAAACTGTTAAACGTATTTCATGTATTTTCTTGAGTATTGTGCGCACCCATGTATAATGCGCACCCCCCTCTAGCGGGTTCAATATTTTGGAAAAAAAGAAATTTGAATATTATGCGCAGAAAAGAATTCCACCGTACCCATTCAGCGAAGTCCGGCAAACGAACGGGCGATGAGAAACTCCGTCAGTACAAATTCGAAATTTGAGATAAAAAAATCACCAGACATGTTGATTTACCGTTTAAATTGTATTTTTTGTTCAGCTAGGCATTGTTTTATATCCAGGGATTAAGATTACCTTGTGAATTTTCTCGTAAACTAAGCCGGACACAGCAATCAGCTGTACACACGTTTTCTTGGAATCTACCGGTGATTCAGTCAAGACACACCCAATGATATAACTTTACAGGATTTTAATGCAAGAATCGGCAAAAGTTGCATCTGAAACTATTTTTTTTATCAGGAATAATATATTCCAATATCTTTCAAATTTAGATGCAGCTTTTACTAAACATATTTAAAATAATAATAACCCTAAGCGAAGCAGCTGATCGCTATTGCCGGGTATTATTTTTTACATGGAACCAGTCTGACCAGTCACCGTCAAGGCTCCCGTGCACGTGAGCGCGCAATCGCGAGAATTACATGTTGAAATAGAATCGTCCAACAAAAACAAATATGACTTTTAACGAATCAAAGTTTGCCATTTATGATATGTGTATCCATTCTCTGTCAACTAAAGTTCGTTTCAAGGCGTCAATAGCGGTAATCTGACCGTGGTTGCTGTTAATAACGGTGAGTTGTGCGATCTTCCGATCGCGTCACACACGATTTCGCCGAAATTAATTAAAACAATATTTAAAGGAGTTTTGAATAAGATTGATGAAATAAGTTACAAACATAAGTCCAGATATACAAAGAACACTTTTTATAGCCAGACAGCGTAATTACACGAATAATTTGCGAACTTCAGTATGGATCTGTTGACATGGTATTTCCGGTGTTACGTGCTCACGGTAATGTCTTTCCATGGGGGGAAAAACATCAAAACTCATTAATTCGTGTTTAATGCACAACCCCTTCTACACAGCTGTGATTTTTGGAAAAAAGTGCGCTCTATACTCAAGAAAATACGGTAATACGGTAAGTAAAACTGTGTTATGAAAATATCGTATGTATCGCGATACATGCTTTCCAAATCGATGCATCGTATCGGGGGCTGTGCATCGGGATACAATACTGTATCGCCGTATCGTTACACCACTAGTGGGAAGGTGCTTACCTGCCCCTCATGATCCTCCTTCGCACACCGACAGGTGGCGCCATACTCCGTGTACTGCTTCCCTCGCATCCGCCACCGCTCTCGCTTGAAGCACAGAGGCTGTTCCAGGACAAAAACACTCAATCATTTGCCACATGTTCATGATTATATTTCGTCTGGTGTTTCATGCTGCACTCGGCAATGTTCCAGCCATATGATGGCAGCCTGTAACAAATCGTTGTGGACCAGACAATCCAGTGACAGATATTATGAACAACGATCCAAGACGTCAGGGTCAACACACGGTCAACCAAGTCACCAAGCCTGACCAACCAATCGAGGTCGACTCTTGCCCATGGGGACCTAATTCCCCACAGGTAACAATAGCATGTAACTTATGTATACATTTATATCACTCAAGAGAACAATTCCACAAACCCATCCCCACTAAGTACTTCAATGGTTCTTCTTAGAGATTATTAATCGTTTCTGAACCGTATAATTTACAATATACTTACATGTCTTATGTTTCATCGCACACCACCCCTACTTTATAAACTTCCAGTGACATCTTCCCATTGTCCAACCCATGTTTTTCTGCTATCAGTAAGTACTTGGTCTCTAGCTGATAAATAACACCTGGGACCTATAGGCTCTTGGTCTCACTTTTTGACCTGTCTGCCTCAGTCTGTCTTTTTGACCTGTCTGCCTCGGTCTGTCTTTTTGACCTGTCTGCCTCAGTCTGTCTTTTTGACCTGTCTGCCTCGGTCTGTCTTTTTGACCTGTCTGCCTCAGTCTGTCTTTTTGACCTGTCTGCTTCAGTCTGTCTTTTTGACCTGTCTGCCTCAGTCTGTCTTTTTGACCTGTCTGCCTCAGTCTGTCTTTTTGACCTGTCTGCTTCAGTCTGTCTTTTTGACCTGTCTGCCTCAGTCTGTCTTTTTGACCTGTCTGCCTCAGTCTGTCTTTTTGACCTGTCTGCTTCAGTCTGTCTTTTTGACCTGTCTGCCTCAGTCTGTCTTTTTGACCTGTCTGCGTCAGTCTGTCGTTTTGACCTGTCTGCTTCAGTCTGTCTTTTTGACCTGTCTGCCTCAGTCTGTCTTTTTGACCTGTCTGCCTCAGTCTGTCTTTTTGATCTGTCTGCCTCAGTCTGATATTTTTGACCTGTCTGCCTCAGTCTGTCTTTTTGATCTGTCTGCCTCAGTCTGATATTTTTTACCTGTCTGCCTCAAGTCTGTCTTTTTGACCTGTCTGCCTCAGTCTGTCTTTTTGACCTGTCTGCCTCAGTCTGATATTTTTGACCTGTCTGCCTCAGTCTGTCTTTTTATCTGTCTGCCTCAGTCTGTCTTTTTGACCTGTCTGCCTCAGTCTGTCTTTTTGACCTGTCTGCCTCAGTCTGTCTTTTTGACCTGTCTGCGTCAGTCTGTCTTTTTGACCTGTCTGCCTCAGTCTGTCTTTTTATCTGTCTGCCTTAGTCTGTCTTTTTGACCTGTCTGCCTCAGTCTGTCTTTTTGACCTGTCTGCCTCAGTCTGTCTTTTTGACCTGTCTGCCTCAGTCTGTCTTTTTGACCTGTCTGCCTCAGTCTGATATTTTTTACCTGTCTGCCTCAGTCTGTCTTATTTATCTGTCTGCCTCAGTCTGTCTTTTTGACCTGTCTGCCTCAGTCTGTCTTTTTGACCTGTCTGCCTCAGTCTGTCTTTTTTTACCTGTCTGCCTCTGTCTGTCTTTTTGATCTGTCTGCCTCAGTCTGTCTTATTTATCTGTCTGCCTCAGTCTGTCTTTTTGATCTGTCTGCCTCAGTCTGTCTTTTTGACCTGTCTGCCTCAGTCTGTCTTTTTGACCTGTCTGCCTCAGTCTGTCTTTTTGACCTGTCTGCCACAGTCTGTCTTTTTGACCTGTCTGCCTCAGTCTGTCTTTTTTTACCTGTCTGCCTCTGTCTGTCTTTTTGATCTGTCTGCCTCAGTCTGTCTTTTTGACCTGTCTGCCACAGTCTTTCGTTTGGACCTGTCTGCCTCTGTCTTACTACTCCCACCAAGACTACTCTCACTCTCAGTCGTGAACCTTTACACAAATACTTTTCTATCTTGGCCTTTGTCCTTTCACATAATACATTATCATTGTGAGTATTATTTATTATACAAACAAGGAATCAACTCCATTTTGTCTATTTGATAATAGAGCTAGTCAATAAGTTTAAATTTAGCTACATGTAAAGAAACAAACACCTACCACATTTCTCCTGTTCAAAATTAACATTCGAATGACTTTTTCATTTCCATTGATCACAAAGTAGCCTCCGATTTCCTACAAGAGAAGAAGATGGAGACACCGGGTAAAGACATATCGGTACTTGCATCAACATCATCAACAACATCACACACAAAGGATGATGGCAAATGAACTGATACGTGGTCAGGTGAAATGGGGTTTCAGTTCCACGTGTGTGTATGTGGTGGTGGGTGGTTGTACCAGTCCAGACTTATGTCGGGAAGATGATATACTGTTTGGTTCCAGGTTACACAATTTAATCCGATGGGCAGGTAAAAATCACCTTAAGCACTGGATAAACAACATAAATGTTGACAACAACAAGCAATCAGTGCCGGTGAGAGATTGTCACATGTGCTGATAAGCTGATCACTTGCAGCCAATGAGAAGCAGTCTGTCACCAGCATACATCCCAGGACACAATGTTCCTGTCCGGGCAAGTGTCGTGTTAACAAGGTAAAGAGTGAGTGAGTGAGTGTGTATGGTTTTACGCCGCTTTTAGCAATATTCCAGCAATATCACGGCAGGGGACACCAGAAATGGGCTTCACACATTGTACCCATGTCGGGAATCGAACCCGGGTCTTCGGCGTGACGAGCGAACGCTTTAACCACTAGCCTACCCGACCGCCCCAACATGGTAAATAAACTTGCTCTACTCAATATATATGAATATCCATCCATCTGGAATTGAAGCAAAATAATTAATAACAACTCTATGTGATCAAAATGAAGAATTAATTAGGGATGTGTTTCTACTTCGATGACTGTGAGTCGAGCATTCACACTCTGGATGAGTAATAAATTCATGAACAACACCGAAGTGCAACTCGTGTATTACCGTATTTGACGTAATATGCTCAGGGTGTTCTCAAAATTAGAAAATATTTTTTGTTAGAAAAAACAAACAGATGAAAGATAATAAATTTTGTGGTTTATGACCACAGCCTCAAATGATACAAAAGAAAAGTCTGTGCGTATTATACACGACAGATATATTTTTCCAGAATATAATTGCCTATAATTAAGGATGCATATAACACACAAGTGCGTAATATACACGAATAAATAAGTCTTGTGTACATTGATCATTCGGAAGGGGTGCTTATTGGGATTGTTTACTAGCTGATATATTAGCAAATATCGCTGTGGGATCTTATAAGAGCAGGGCGCTTATTATGTCGAATACGGTAAGCCTGAGAGCATGACATCTTCTAGAGCTCACAAACCTCCTCATCTTCCTTCCGCTGGATCAGCTGTGCTGGGGTCAGTTTGGCCAAATTACACAGATCAGACTGAAACATGGAAAACATGTCAGGTATAACACACAACAAAAGCAGTCTGCGCTAAAAATTTCTGAGTCTACTGGTTCAAATTGTCTCTTTGCATCACTTTAGGTAGACTGTAACTTGCTTACATACTAAGCCCTGTTATCGAAGGGTCACCTAGGTATGTAGGGTGTCAGACATGAACATATGCCAACATGCACATGCAATACATGACAAGTAACAGTCAATGTGGGCATAAAATGGTTCTTTTAGATGCAACTGAACTGCAGTCTTGGAAGTTGAATATGCAACGTTTCTTAGAATACTTTTATTGCTTATATCCCCGTGACCCCTCCATGACGACTGAAGATCTATATGAACTATGACTAGATGGGTGTACTACGACAAGGCCAAACAAGATTTTCCTAGACACAGGCTTCCGACAAGTGACTGAAGTTGCAGACTGTTAAAGACATCATGTTTGCCTCTTCAGGCATGAAAGGCATTATATTCTATTTGATTACCACCGATCCTGAGAAATTTAATTCTCATTTAATCAGCCTCTAGCCATTTTGCATATCCCTTACCTTCACCATGATGGGCAGGTGCCCCAGTGACTGTTCCCTCTCCTCTATCAGGTGCTTCCCAACATGGCAGGATACCTGGATGTCCAGTGACCCCTTGTAGCTCGTCCGCCGCTGTCGACACTACACGCCAAACAACACACATTGATGCACTGTTCACAGAAAATACACACAATGGCTGACATGTCTGAAATGAGACCTGAAACCAGTTCCACAAAGCAATCTTAGTGCTAAGTTGGTCATAACTCCCATAATTATCATAGGCTTACGTTCAACATTGCACTAAGATCGCTTTGTGGAACAGGGCCCAGAACTCAGTCATGTGACCTAAAGTGTCTGAAAACACCAACATTTCTGTATGATGGTTTCTTTTGCATTGAACAAGCACAACCAAACACTTTACCCAAACCAAGTGTTTTTGTGTGTTTGCATGATCTTGGCAAAAATAATGACGATCAACGTCATCAAATATTAATGATGAGATAGCCCCCCTTCCACAAAGCAATCGTAGCAACACGGCAGTCGTAAGTCTATACAAAAATATGTGAGTTACTAACACTTTAGCACTACATTCACCCTGTGGAATGGACTGCATAACTGATAGCTGTAATGTAACTTAAGTATGTTTAATACCATAAATAGAAAGGAATAAAGAAGGGATACAATCAGCTGACAAGTTTTTGCTGACTACGTAGTTCTGACTCCATGTTGGACTGGACGCGTTACCTCGGTAGGGAACACTTGGAGAGTGCTGGCGTGCTTGTTGCTCTCCGACACACATGGCAGCCCCAAGGACGGACTCTGAAATCACAACAAACAATGTAGTCTGAGGACACATTTGAATTGCACACGATGAAAACATATGTTGGAAGGAAAGTTCACTGATATGTAGGCCCCTGACTCAAATTGGATTCAAAATTCAGGGTCGGACATCATGAACAAAATCTCATCCACAGCTCATTTCAGACTAGTGCTTTATTAAATGTAACACGCAGTCATTTCAGACTAGTGCTTTATTAAATGTAACACACAGTCATTTCAGACTAGTGCTTTATTAAATGTAACATGCAGTCACTTCAGATTTCAATTGGTCTCAGGACTTGTTGTTTAACGCCTCACTCAGCCATATATTCCAACAATTTGATGACTTTTTCGTCGAGATTCGATTTGTTGCAGACAATCAGAGATTGATATCCTGAGCATTGATCTACACCATTGGGACATGTTGTCATGTGTACCAATTCAACAAGCCTGAGCCTCCCATTTGTCACCTCTTATAGGTTGTGGGGAACCCATGTTCTCACCTGGAGTCAACACCAGTCCTAGGCACATGGAAGAGAAACATACTTACTGAGAGCCTCAGTGTTACTTGGTCATTGTTGGGAAGTTGAAACTGTAAAGGAGCAATATCCTGAAACAAAATATTCCAACTGAAAAGACATCCCAAAATTATATTTGCAAATGATCTCATCTTCCTGAGTCAAGGGAGATAACCAACTTTAACAGTCCAGTTTCAACCCTTGCCGAACTAGGCTGGAATTATGAAGTTACATATTGGCTGGACTGCATAGTCCAATCAAAATCCTGTAACAAAATCGACATCCAGTTCATAAATAAAATGGCAGCTTCCATGCCGAAGATTGCAGGATTCGCAAAGCATGTGTACCATCGACTGGGTGTTGACAGATATTTTCCCAATCTTTTCATGTTTTACTGAAGGTGCTCAAGTGATCTCATGCACTTCCCGGGGCAAAACATGTTTTATTACAAGAAAGATCTTAAATATTGATGAGATCGTCCTGACTTTGTGCCACCATTCTGTTTAAAGCCATGCAAGTGCTATGAGAAATGGAATCTGACTGGTGGGACATAGAAGGGATGTAACTCGTAAAAGCCACTGGTGACGCTAAGATTGAGCTCAGAAATTCCAGCCTAGTTCGGCAAGGGTGGAAACTGGACTATTAAAATGATCTCAGCCAAAACACTTATATATGTGAAATCTTCAACACAAATACAGCAATGTTTTCTTGAGCTGTTCGGTTTAACATCAACAAGAGATTCTCTGGGACACTGATGATAAGCAGTCTTCAGTTTCAAAACAAGGAATCTTCAATATTGGCACACTCGGTAATAGTATGTTTACAAGCACACGATTAGCTGTCTGAAAATGGCAAATTTTGATATCATATTTTGCCCTTATGTTTATCATGTATATGGGATTATCGAGAGGCATATCTACACCTGCTAGGAAGCCAATATTCAGCCCGAAGTCTGCAGCTAATCAGAGCAAAAGATAAGCTTTTGGTTATTTGGGTATTTTACCCATGAGTTTAATTTTTAGTGGGTATCCACAATTTTTGTGCATATTAAAGTTTTTGTTACCCTCATATTTCATAACAATCCCTGTAAATCATTTAAACCCAAAAAATAGTAGTACATAGCAGCATACACGTTTTACCGAATGTAACTGTTGGAAAATGAATTTCATGATCGGCTGATACGCAACCATTATCTAACAGTTGTAATATACGCATTAGATTTATTTCAAAAGCATTTTTTTATAGCTTTTGCTGCATATTTGATAGGCGAGGGATGTCATTTATCTGCATATTTCAGCTTATATGCAGCTTATCTACAGCTCTGCTGTTTATACACATACCTAACAACTCATTTTATGGCTTTGTAGGGATAACCTGTATTTCACTGACAAGAGGACCAATAAACATGATAAAAACAAAGTGATTAATGCCAGTAATGTTGCAATACATTAAAAAACGATCCCCGAAATAAAATGTCAAAATACCTCGTAAATTAAGAAAATAAGAACTTATTTATTATATGCTTAAAATTATTGAACAAAATAACCAACAATTTGTCCACCATTTGCCTTACCAACCTTGCCAATTTGTCCACCATTTGCCTTACCAACCTTTCCAATTTGTCCACCATTTGCCTTACCAACCTTGCACCACCCCTCCACCCACCCCCGCATTACTTACATCGACTGCTGTTTGTAGGCCTTCATGGATCAGATAGTTGAACGACTCAATGTGAGGTTTCAGCAGATCCTGAAGGGGCTGAAAGGTAAACATATGCACATGAGGAGCTTGATGAGAACTGACCATATCAGGTTGGGATTATTGCAGACTGGGGAAACATCGAAGAATTATAGTAATATATATATTTGTGTTTATACTTTTACTAAATTCAAAACCTGTGAAGATCCGGGTTCGAATAGGTCCTCAGCAACCCAAGCTAGCCGTAAAAGGCTTACGGGAACGGGTGGTCAGGCTTGCTGACTTGGTTGATGCATGTCATCGTATCCCAATTGCGTGGATCGATGCTCATGATATCAGTCGCTGGATTGTTTGGTCCAAACTCGATTGTTTACAGACCGCTGTCACATAGCTGGAACATTGCTGAGTGCGGCATTAAACAGCAAACAAAGAAACAAACAAAAAAAGTAGGGAGGAAATTCTCTCCACTCACATTACATCACAACAACACAACAGTATATCCAGTGTATTCGGTAACTTTCAGTGTGTTGAGGCACATGGAGCAGTCTCTCAATCTAGCTTCTCTCTCTTGCCTCTCACACACACTGTATCTCATTCCTTCCCTTGCTTTCTCCCTCTTATCGGTAGATCGATCTGTACCTCTGGACCAATGTTAGGCCTGTACTTGTCCTGAGAGTCTTAAGCTAACTTCAGATGACAAGTAATTTACTTTTCCATGTTTACATCACTATACTTTACTTCACTAAACTCATATCACCCGGTCACATCAATTTAGCGGGGTAAAATATTATCTGATCCTATGAGATGATCATATATGACATAAGGGCTGGTCAGGTAGCCTAGTGGTTAAAGTGTTTGTTCGCCACGCTGAACACCTGGGTTTGATTCCCGACATAGGTACAATGTGTGAAGGCCATTTTTGGTGTCCCCGCCGTGGTATTGCTAAAACCATACTCACTCACTCCACCAAGTCACTCACTCACTCATTATGACATAAACAGACCCTCCCCCAACAACAATTTTTAAACAACCAAAGTGAAAAGTGTCTCAACATAATCATCATCGCTCAGAACAAGTCCACAGTATACTAATTATGAAAGTAGTTTGTTCAATCAAAGACCATATACCCAAGAAATCGGTGTATGGTCTCTGTTTCAATCTAGTATTCTCTGATCTTCACGCCATCGTAGTGCGCGAAAACTAAGGGTCCAAATGCGAACATGCATATGTAACAAATAGCGACAGAGACACATCATCAAGCGTCTTCATAAATGGTTCACCTTGTGTTGTTGAGCCTTCGGATTTCCAAAATCTGGCACAGTCAGGTGTTTGAAGTTTAATTCCTCAACGAACGGTTCTGTATCACTTGCCATTTTGCCATGTGCTTATACTGTTTGACAACTTCCGCTGTAGAGCTCCGCACCTTGTGGATAAGAATCTAATTGTACCACCTAAAGAGGATACCGCTATGCGTAGAGCTTTCAATGTTCAGTTATCCCAACAGCGACACAAGTGAAGAGGGTTGTACAGAGCTTTATATGCATGGCCCTATTTCATGGGCGATATGACAAGTCGCAGGATTTCTTTTCGTATAGTGTCGTTGACTACACATAATTGTATCCCACTTTTTCTGAATGTTGATGTAGTCATTTTTTCAACTCTGTATTCGAATGATCGATGCAATCAGAAAAAAACTACTCAACAGCAATCTCACGATACAATTATTAATACACAAGAAAATAGGGAATTTTTTTAGTCTAAGCATGGAAACTAAATATCTATATTTAGGGTCCATGGTCTAAGCAATATACAGTAAGAAAGATTTTACTTTCTGCGAAATCATAAGTACTGAACAGGTTAATAAGCTTCCGCAAGCAGCACACGCGACACTTATGTAACGATCGCAGCGACCACCATCACGTGTAGGGAAAAAGATTCGATCATAACTGGTTTGAACTGACTGTAGAAAATGGCAACAGAAGTTTTTTCACGAAGCAACATTTCTGTGTGAAAATGAAATACTGCGGTACATGAAATGCCTTAATGTTGTTCAGAAACATGGAGATTTGCAAAACTAATCTCTTAAAAATAATTTAAAATGCAACTACCCTCATAGATTTATGATACTTTGTGATCATGGAAGACAACCCTTGCAACATAAAAGTATCCAAACGTAAAATATAGTTAATACTTACTTATAATAACAATTTCGAAGCCCGAAAACTTTCAAATCTCTTATATAACTATCTAATATTTCATTCTCAGAAAATGGTGCCAATTATCATTGGTTAGAATTAATGTATAAATTCAGGTTTTCAGTGACGTCGCAATACCGGAGGTATTCATATAGACAGAAAATAACTAAACGTAAAATAGTAATTATAAGGGCGAAAAGTGTAAAGATCGATGTATTGAAAACGTGTATAGGTAACAAAATTGGGAATAAATACCCTAAAGGATTTTGTGTAAACTGCATTTATTCAGTGGTTAATATATTCAGTGTTCATATGTTTTGGCGGAATACATCCGTGTAAACGTTGTTGTATTGGTGTGTGTGTGTGTTTTTTTCTAATTATCTCATGGTGGCACCAAACGCTTTAGACCCGTGAAGATCCGGGGTATAATAGGTCTTCAGTAACCTAGGCTTGCTGTAAAAGGCGACTATGCTTGTCGTAAGAGGCGACTAAGGTGATCGGGTGGTCAGGCTCGCTGATAAGGGAGGTAACTCTCACAGAGAAGTATGGTTCTTGGTTAAACATAACAAACGCACACGAAACCATGTGGGTTTCAATGTAAACAATATCTGCATGTCTCCACAGATATACTTCATTATAAAATAATATTACCACAATGTAGCTTTTACTTCGAAAAGATTACTTATGAAAACATATAACTATACCACTCTAGATATATCAACAGTATCACGTATACCACTACGATTGTGTCAACTTATACCCATGTTCCAAGAAAACGATAACAAAAGTTTCAGGAAGTCATCGTTGTGAAAGCATATTACTAGTTTTGTTTTCATAATATGTTTATTTTCTACTTTAATATTACATCAATATTTAAACTGAATTGTGCCATATTCTTATTCCTGATTCTGAAGGTACCACATGCAAATTACAACTTGTTCTTCTGGGAAACACATGCGCGCTTCATGACATCAGTAGGTAGGTATGCTACAAAATTTCTTTGCGTCTTGTTGATCCTCTGGTTAAAAGTTATCTTGTATAAGTAGTTCTCTGGTTCGTTTGAAATTCACTTACGTCAAAATCGTCCTTGTCAAGGTGCTCGAGCTCAGCTTTTGACCATTTAGGCACAGATGTTGTCACGTGACCGGAAACCATTGTTTATTACTTTCGTTTGGAGTTTGTAAGTACTCGTTTAAGCAAGGGAATGTATGTGTCCCATTATTACATATATACGTGTTGCATAACACGCTGGTATTTATAGATATGTGACGAAAAAAGCAGCGTGACAAAAATACTATTAATAAGACTGTGTGACTTCAACTTTCCAACGGTCAGCTTTCCCTTCATATCGAGCAATACTGCAAGCTGCTCCAGCATTTGGTGTCTACATTTCACTTTTGAAGTACACTCGAGCATGCTCTATATACGAAGGGAGCGGTCGGGTAGCCTAGTGGTTAAAGCGTTCGCTCGTCACGTCGAAGACCCGGGTTCGATTCCCGACATGGGTACAATGTGTGAAGCCCATTTCTGGTGTTCCCCGCCGTGATATTGCATGAATATTGCTAAACGCGGCGTAAAACCATACTCACTCACTCACTATATACGAAGTCATATGACTCTTATTCAAAGGGACTGCCTCCGTGGTCTAGTGGTAGAGCGTCCGCCCGGAGAGCGGAAGGTACGGGGTTCGATCCCCGGCCGCGTCGCTAAAAGATGGTACTTCTTGTTACCCTGTTTTGCGCTCGGCATTAAGGGGCTAAAACAAGGACTGGTCGGCTCGGAGTCAGTATACTGTGTCTGAGTGGGGTATTCATGTTAAACTGCGGCATAGTATCTCAGTGTGCTAGCACTATAAATCGGCATCAGTCCGGACTAGTACAAGCAGCCACACACGTGCATGCACGTCACTATATAAGTGCAATAATCTTGGACGCGACGTTAAACCCCATTTCACCTCACCACCTCACCTTACTCTTAGGGTGTTTGATCAGGGTTACAGCATCCAAGGCGGCCCGTGAAGATCCGGGGTAGAATAGGTCTTCAGCAACCAGTATAAGCGACTATGCTTGTCGTAAGAAACGCCTAACGGGATTAGGTGGTCAAGCTCGCTGACTTGGTTGATGCATGTCATCGATCCCAATTGCGTAGATCGATGCCTATGATGTCAATCACTGGATTCTCTGGCCCTGACTCGATTATTTACACACCACCGTTATCATTGTCAGGGCGAGTAGTTGAGAGAAAAAACAGTTACTCGGCCCACAAGCTCTTAACACCACTAGTAGTGTGTGAAGATCCGGGGGTAGAACAGGTCTTCAGCAATCCATGCTTGCCGTAAAAGGCGACTATGCCTGTCGTTAAAGGCGACTAACGGGATCGGGTGGTCAGGCTCGCTGACTTGGTTGATGCATGTCATCGGTCCCAATTTGCGTGGATCGATGCTCATGATATCAATCACTTGATTGTCTGGTCCAGACTCGATTATTTACAGACCGCCGTCATATAGCTGTAATATTGCTGAGTGCGGCGTAAAACAACAAACCAAACCAAACCAAAGTAGTGTAAACTAACGCGATGGGGTTCACGAGGCATACACTGTTAGGAGTTGTCATTAAATACCCCCCGGTCTAAATTGTGTTTGTCATTCGACTGTTATAGTTTGAGTGACCTGAGTCAACTGACTCAGATTCAACCCGTGTCAACCAGCGTTAATGAAGAATAACTCACGTAGTCTGTCACAGTGAATGAGTATGCTTTTACCACTATTCCAACAATATCACGGCGGGGGACACCAGAAATGTGCTTCACACATTGTACCCATGTTAGGAATCGAAACCTTGCCTTTGACGTGACGAGCAAACGCTTTAACCACTTGGCTTCCACATCGCCCACATAGTGTTATACAGTCGCACACACAAAAACACAAGTGTATTCAATGAGAATATTTGGTATTTGTTTATTGACAAATAAAATAATGGAGACAATGTGTTTATGTAAAATAATAGATCAAATAAAATGTCCATATAATACACTTAAAAAATAGATGATGGCAGTGGTTTATGCTTACGTTTCAACTCAGATTGAAAGCGTCGCGATGGATGACAAATAACTTTGATGCCAATCTCATTAAAATCAGACCTCAGTTCTCACTACCGCTAAACCACGATCTGAGGACATCCCATTAGGGGTCACGTCAGAACGACCTTCATCCGACCAATCAGAGCATCGCTTATCAGATTATGAAACTGACAGTTGGAATGTGATTTCTAGTCATGCAACCTCGAAAACTTTAACTCCGAACGATAGTTACGAGTTTAACAACTGAATCCATACAATCTAGACTATCTATTAGTCATTCCAGAATGTTCTTTTGTTTAGGTTTCAAATTTGTAATCGAGAATTTGTCAAAATATGTTTCGAAGCGTAGTCGCCAATTTGAAATTAGTGCCGTAAAGCACGAGAAAGCTGCCTTCTGATTGGTCATTCCATTGGTCGATCAAAGTTCGCGCAAGGTCGGTCTGACGTGACCCTTAATGGGATGTCCTCAGATCTTTTGTTTAGCGGTAGCGAGAGCTGAGATCTGATTTTAATGAGATTGCTTTGATGCAAGTGTGACGCACGGATTTGACATGTCTATGAAACAAAAGCTACATATTCCTGGACAAAAGTTGACTTATAGCAATAAGACAAAATGAAACATTCATTCATTCAAGCTCAATGCAGCCAGAATTAGCTGGAAAGTCTTCATAAAACTACTGATCTGTTGAAGGAATGACATTTTTCATCGATGACAATATCCTTCTTCTTTCTAACGACCTGTCGGTGCTTCTCAACATGTGAATGGCTGTCATTCATATATTTTTGGTTTAATGCCGCGTTCAGCAATATTCCAGCTATAGGATGGCGGTCTGGACCAGACGATCCAGTGTTTGACATAGTGGGCAAAGATCTACGCATTTGGTATTCGAGGACATGCCTCAACCAAGTCAGCGAGCTTCACCACCCGATCCCGTTAGTCGCCTCTTATGGCAAGCATGGGTTGCTGGGGATTAATTCGGACTGTCATTTACCTTTTAAAAGGAAACTGGTACCTCAGACGCGGAAAACGTATAGAAAAGTTGTTATACATAAACATTTCATGTCTTCATTCTCTACCGACTTCTAAACAATTAATTAAATTGTCACGTTCCGGTTTTCATGATCTTTCCTTACATTTTTGGCTGGGATTTTATCCATAAAAATTAATTACCCCGACATTTCTTTAAAAAGATATTTTACTTCAGTAAAATAATGTCTGCCACAAAAAAGTACATTGTTGCAATGTGTTTTCAGGAAAACAAATTTAGGCCCATAGTTTTAATTGTGTTTTTAAAAAGAAATCTGGTTTTGCAGCTGTAGTTGAAGAAAATGTTCTCCATTCAAAATCCCAGCTCTCCTCCTCTAGAATATCAAAATAGTCGGTTCATTAGACATTTTGCAAAATATGACCAATTTCATATGTAGATATTTGTAAAAGATACAAGGCAGTACAAGATACAACATAAAAGAAACGGGGTGGTGCTTCTCTGTATCCAGGTGTATATAATACATACCCCACACCCAGCCATGTCGGGAACTTGCGATGTTTGAACATGACTTAAAGGTGTAATTACAATCAAAGCTAACTCACAACCTCTTCATCCCGTAGCTCCGGAATGGCACGATGAGTTGGACTTGGATCTCACTCCCCTTTCTTCGGCTATTTCCGCTATGATAACTATATAGCTTGTGCTTGTGAACCACACATATTCTTTTTATCAAAATATACAGCACCGTATATAGTTTTCACTCTGGTCTCAACAAACATGTTATTACCTCATAGGGGAAAGTCAGGATTCGATCCCCAGCCGCGTCATGCCAAAATACGTTAAGATAGTGCTTGTTGTTTCCGTGCCTGGCGCTCGGCATTAAAGGGGGATAGAACATCTATGAACAAGGACTGGTCGGCTCGGAGTCAGTATCCTGTGTTTGAGTGGCGTATTCATGTTAAACTGCGGCATGGTATCTCAGTGAGATAGCACTATAAAACCAGCCTTTGTCCGCACTGGACAAGCACCCACCCACACACGTGCATGCACGTCGCTATATAGGTGCAATAATCTTGAACGCGACGTTAAACCCCATTTCACCTCAACATTACGTCACAATAATACATGCATAATACGATTGTAATATCATTACAGAAACGTGGTCATTTATAGTAAAACCTTCAAAAATATGAACAATTCATGTGAGAGTCTGACACAACAGCGGAGCATGTACGCATGGTTCAAAATACAAAATGTTTATATTACAAATATTTCAAATATATACATATAGGGAATAAAAGACACATTTGGCACAACTTCATGGTACAATGTGGTGACCAGATGTCCCACATTCCGGCATTAATGGATTCTGTGTGTTACTCAAGACATCGCAGAGTAAAACAGTCACAAGTCACGACTCATTTCACTAGCCGAGTAATATCCGGTTCTCGTAGAACACTCGTCTGGTTTAATTTATTTAAAATCTATATCCGGTTAAATTAGAATCTACATCCGGTTTTCTGCCCATCTTGTTTCAAAGGGAACTGCAGAATGGTTCCCGGAATAGGCTGCGCTTGCCCTACACAGAGCGCAAGCGCAGCCTAGCCATGAAACCAGGCTCGGGGAACTGCGCCCTAAGGTATTGGGTGGGCCCTTTCCCAGTCTAGGCCAAGTCCTTGTTGATATCAGTTTTACGCGTGGACCGGAGAAAGAGTCCCTGCGTAACTAGGCCAATCATTATCTTTAATTATACATACGTCATAAATTTGAAATCCAAGAGAAAGAAAGGATATCACCCAGACTTTCTATGAAGACCAGGACCCCGTTCCACAAAGCCATCTTAGCGGTAAAGTGATCGTGGCTCTCATACTTTAACACTGGTTTACGATGGTCGTAGCGCTAGGATCGCTTTGTGGAACGGGGCCCAGAGCCGGAGCCTAGTTCGCATTTTTTGGAGAGCTAGCCTAGTAAAGAGCTTCAGGTGAGGTCGTTGTTCTCATAATATTGAATCATAATTATCAATGCAAGAATGAGTCAAATCAGTACATTGTGTATCCACAATGGCTGTATAAGAATACTATTTAAAATTTATTTCGACCCCGCACTTTTGAGATCAGTACTATTAAGACTACCTGTATAGCAAGATTTAACATTGCAGCAGGAAAGTATCTATTAATATTCACATCACATCCATACACAATGAAACCTTGTATTCCTGACGTGACAGTTCCCAGTACAAGTGACCTCTAACAGTTATAACCTAGAGGCCTCTAAGAGTTATTGACCTAGACATCTCAACCAGTTATTGACCTAGACACCTCAACCAGTTATTGACCTGGACGTCTCAAACAGTTATTGACCTAGACGTATCTTACAGTTATTGACCAAAACGTCTCTAACAATTATTGCCGTAGACGCCTCTAACTGTTGTTGGCCTTGACGCCTATAACAGTTATTGACCTGGACGCCTCAACCAGTTATTGACCTAGACACCTCAACCAGTTATTGACCTGGACGTCTCAAACAGTTATTGACCTAGACGTATCTTACAGTTATTGACCAAAACGTCTCTAACAATTATTGCCGTAGACGCCTCTAACTGTTGTTGGCCTTGACGCCTACAACAGTTATTGACCTAGACGCCTCAACCAGTTATTGACCTAGACGCCTATAACAGTTATTGACCTAGACGCCTCTAACAGTTATTGACCTAGACGCCTCAACCAGTTAATTGACCTAGACGCCTCTAACAGTTATTGACCTAGACGCCTCTAACAGTTATAAACCGAGAAGCGAGAAAGGGGGTCCAGATTAACAAGGTTTCATTGTAAAAGAGTCGGCTAGACTGTTTTCTCTTGTTTCATGCGCAGGGCTAATATCCGTGTCAATGTTTGTTTCTTTAATACTTTCATTTCCGAAAGGAAGACTGATTTTACAAACGATAGATAGAATTAATCCGTATGTATCAATGTGTTCCGGATCGTCATTATGCAACATGATATAAATAAATAATAGCTCTTGAAACATCACCTCCATTCTCAGTCCTCATAAAGCATGGCATGTACAAATATACTTTCTGAATAACGTTCACACACTCGCTCAATTAAACATTCAAAGTCCCATATACCCATCATATAACATCCTCGAGTATACAGTGTACTATGTCTACATTCTATTATGATAAATAATACGTCCATCCATTTTATACCATAACATCGTTTTGAATCAGGTTTGATTGACTGGGCACTAAAAATAGCCGTCCAATCAAATCACACTTTTGAGCGAAAGAAACTCTTATTGGTGATAAGAGATGGTGACGCCACTTCCGAAGCAAAGCTATGGCGGCGAACAGCTTTAGGGTACTTATCGTAATGGAGATAAATACCCTGGTTAATGGAGGATGATCAAACAGTGATTTATGAAATAACAGCACGTATTATAAAACAACACAGCGAGGGACATGTCTTTGCTACTGACACAAAGCGTAGCAGGGTCGTCACGTGGTACATAGACATTTATACTTGAAACATCTTTAACTCGCGAAATCCGTAGTTGACACATGCATAGTGCCGATATTGGAGAATTAGAGAACGATCCGGATTCTGTCGGGTGAATACTGTTACTTCGTATTAAAGAATCTATTTCGACTTATCAATACTTTTGTGTTCATTTTGGTCGACTTAATCATTTCCCTGAATCAGTCCGTTATACATCCGGGTTACGTTCCACAAAGAGAGTGAGTGAGTTGGTTTAACACCGCTTTTAGCAATATTCCAGCAAAATCACGGCAGGGGACACCAGAAATGGGCTTCACACATTGTATCCATGTCGGGCATCGAACCCGGGTCGTCGGCGTGACGAGCGAAACCTATAACCAGGTGGCTACCCGACCGCCCCTTCCATAAAGTGTCGGACGTCAATGTTAAAGTATGGGAGTTAAGATCGTTTTATGGTTAGGATAGTTTTGTAGAACGGACCTTAGGTTAATAATTTCAAAGTTAACTGTTTGAAATTGCTATTTTATTCTAAAATCAGTATGCTTTTCTGCTTAATTTTGCATAACAATTTCAATCAAGTCGAAAGCATTTGAATTACAAGATGGTCGGGATTGTATATCCTTAAAATCAATTCAACTCCAAGATCTAAATAGATCCGAAGGTTGTATTTTACGATAATGTTGTGACTATGTACCTGAAATAAATAATAACCTGTATATGTCTAGATAACAAAGAAACCAATTAAAACAGTAGCTAAATACAATATGGACAAATAAAACAATACAATTAGATGACTGTCACAACTTTCGCACACAAAAATGTTTGAAAATAATTATTTCCGCAGTTATTCATTGTTTTCGAACTCAATACGGTGATATTTACAAGTGGTTTCGTTTAACCATGAAACCAGCTTCAGATGGACAATTAATGGAATCCTTCATCTCGGTATGTGGTAATGTTATATATTAGGGATCCCACGCAACAACGATGGACAGATGATTAATGGGTGGTGACGCTGGGAATTGTCGCACTGCCAGGATACCAATATTATTGAAGTACAAACATGTTTTCCGCATAAAAATGGATAATATATTCCTACGTATACACTAAATATATGTGTGAAATCTCCAAACACAAACTCTCGATATTATGAGTTTGTGAGTGAGGATTTTACGCCGCTTTTCGCAGTATCACGACGGAGACACCAGATTGCTTTCGCATATTGTACACATGAGGGGAATCGAATCCGGGTACATGGCGTGACAGGCGAATGCTTTAACTGTCAGACTACTTGACTCGAATTGACAGGAATTATAAATGTTTAAAAACATGCTATTTCACTTTGTCACATCAGCACATTGCCAAAAATACACCAAAAAACGAAAACACCCTGTCAGTGCTACACGTCCCTGGGGCCGATTGATAGAAAAATAAGTCTAAAAGTGTGAGCGATAATGTTTAAGGAATACCTCCAAATGCCCTATATATTATAATGACAAGACATGGTAATTCTGCATGGCATCATCTTCCCGAGGCAAGGGAGTTGTAAAAAGTCCAGTTTCCAACCATGCCGAGCTAGGCTGGATTTCTGGGCTTGATCGTGGCTATTACAAGTTATGTCCCTTCTATGTCCCTCCTTACTACGCGAAGTGCATCAAATCATGTGAACACCTTGATTAAAAACATGGACAGATTTGGAAAATAACTGTTGACTCTAAGTTAACGGTACACATGCTTTGCAAATCCTGCAATTTGACCGAAATATGCACGTCAGTTCACGAACCAGCTGTCGATTTCGTAACGCGATTTTGATCGGACTATGTATAGATCTTAGTCAAGCCAAAAATAACTTGTTAAGATATAATGTTTTCTTACTGTTTTGTATATAGTGAAACCTCTTTAGTCCAGACGCTACGAACGTAGAACTGTCCGGATTAACGATGTATAAGGACACACTAACGTTCCAACAATTTTTGTCATTTCTAACAGTACTCGCCCGGGCCGGAATTTTCGGACAACTCCAAATTACTATTCTGTTCATTTGTACATTTGTTCGAAGAGAATTAATTAATGGTCACCTCGATCTGGATAATAGTTTGTTGAATCTAAGTGAACAGGCAACAATTTCATATAGGCTCAATCTCATAAATAATTGCACTGGTGTCGCATTTTCACTTGGAACAAATACATCTGAATCAACGTGTAAGCTGGTTAACTTGTTTTGTGAAAGAAATCCTTCTAAAGCCACTCCAGCATTACGATTGTCAAGTCAATGGCAGAATAGTCACGTGGCTGTGACGTCATGACAAAAACGGACGCCATCAGAGACTCCTGCACTTTACACTTTACTCGTTCTTGTAGTCTAATTCGTTCCCGCTCTCGTCCCTTTGTGTGGAAGCGTTCAAAAGCACCATAAAGTCCTCCCCAACCGACGAACTCTTCCAAGATTGGACGGTCTCCGTTTTGCACCTATGAGCATTTCAAGATGACGTGATGCATTCAGTCCTGGTCCCCTATGACTTCATGTTGATGGGTTCTAAGTATGTGTCATTGCTGAACGCTGGGTGTGGCGGCGGCCAGTGGTTATTCAGATTATTGTTGAAATTTACATCTTCGTGCGCAGGGGTGAAATGATTATTCGCCGGAAGTACCATGACGTCATTAACGGGGTCATGACCCGGTAGGTTAACCGTGTTCAATGCCTCTTTTTCCGATTCCGACGTCTGGATAAGTTTTTGCAACTCCTCTCGTTTCCTTCTTCGGAAAAATCCACACTGCAAAAAAATAGAAAATAAATCCCTAATTTCAAGCATATCAACATATATTTCAAATGTGAAGTATGAAAATCAACGTCTGCCTCAACGTCACATTGCCCGTCCATGCTTGATGCGACGTAACAAATTCATCCGCTCCGAACGTCACCTCACCTCGGTGGGTTGATGGGGTGGTGGTGGTGTGTGTGTGTGTTGATGGGGTGGGGGGTGGGGGAGGTCACATACAGCCGCAAAAATTACCGTATAGTTTTAAATAACAAACTATCTGGTTTTACATACGGCCGCAAAAATTACCGTATAGTTTTAAATAACAAACTATCTGGTTTTACAGCTGTAGCTGATTAAAATATCTCGATAAAATGCATGGACTCATGCAAAGTTGGAAAACTGCGTTACTATTTGGATTCCCATATTGAAAAGTGACAGTCGCTAACACGTTAAATCACTCATCGCTCACTCACTCAAGCCCGCTACTAACCTTCCAGAGAATGATCCCCAGTAGATACAATAGAAGAAGACCGCTGACAATGCTGACGGCTAAAATCCAGATTTTGAATCCTTTTTTACCGACCCTCTCTGCGTTAATATATGTCGTAGCCTGAAAAGAAGTAATGAAATAGATTGTGTCAAGGCTGATATATGGATATTTTTAGTGATAAAATATAAATTCACAGGAACAAATAGCAATTATCATCGGAACACATGACTACGCAGACGGTCCTGTTGGTAGGGTTTTGTTAGTTTGTTGTTTAACGCTGCACTCAGGTATATTCCAGCTATATGATGGCGGTCTGTAAATAATCGAAATAATCTGGACCAGACAATCCAGTGATTGACATCATGAGCATCGATCCACGCAATTGTGGTAGGATGACATTCATCAAATAAGTCCTGACCATCCGATTCCGTTAGTCGCCTCTTAGGACAAGCATGGGTTGCCGAAGACCTATTCCAACCGGGATCTTGTATGTAAGTACATGTAAGTGTCCATGTTTTACTTACTGTAGCGTTCTTGTCCTTGCTGAGAGATATAAACTTGTCGGAATAGGGCTCGAACAGTTCAGCACTTGAGATGATGCGCAACTCCCTCTTCACCTGGAACACACATGTAATGAAAGCTTTTTGAAAAATAACTGGATTGGGATGAATAATGATTTCATGTTGTTTATTTGTTTTTGTAGGTTACACATATGTAAAAGTAAACTTGAATTAAATTTACCACATCACCTCTCTTGGCCATGTCCCTTAGTAAGAAGAGACGACACAAGGCCATGAGGTTGGGGGAGAGGGGGAGCAGAATGTGGGGGCAAGAGAGGGGAGAAAGAGAAATAGAGAGATAAGAAGTCAGGAGAGAGAGCGAGAGAGAGAGAGAGAGAGAGAGAGAGAGAGAGAGAGAGAGAGAGAGAGAGAGAGAAATGACAAAGTGCAACGTGTATATTCACCTCAAGGTCTTTCAGTATGGATACTTTGACCTTGTAGTTGATGGTGATAAAAAACTGTTCATCCACACCCAGAGACTTTATAGGGCAGGTGATGTTGATGCAGCCGCTCTCTGTACACACCTGCAAAGATAAAGATTACACTAATATCATACAAGAGTGAGTGAGTTGGGTTTAACGCTGCTTTTAACTATTCCAGTTATATCATGGCGTGCTTGCTAAATGTGGGAGGAAAGCCCGAAGTGATGCAGGTCTCCGACATTTACCACTATGGCGAAATCCGAGCACTGAAATATATTCGGAGCAAACCGGGATTCGAACCCGCAATCATAGGTTTCTGGGGTGCCTTAGGGACGTTACTCTGCACAACGAATTACAGACGACTGGACCACCCGTGCCCCGTATTAATACAAGAAGTAATGAATGTTGTTCAACGCAGTAAGCAATACTTCCGGGCCCTGTTCCACAAAGCAATCTTCACTAAGATGATCGTCCCATGCTTTAACATAAGCTCAGGACAGTCGTGGCGCTAAGATCGCATTGTGAAACGGGACACTTTTTAGTATATAATCTGGGCCCAGTTCCACAAAGCGATAGTACCCCCCCCCCCCCCCAACACTTCAATATTGGTCTACGGCAGTCGTGGCTCCAAGCTGCAACTTGCTTTGTACAATGAGGCCCTGTCATATTCTTTCCTCGTTTATTCAGAGGAGATTTTACATCTGGATAGATTTTTTTCAGCTATAGCTACAAAACAAGATCCCTATTTATTCAAAATAGAGCCGGAATTGTTTTTAAAGGAACACATCTTGCAACAATGTAATTTTGTGGTAGGCAATTTCTTTTTTCCCCCAACAGTCTAAAGCATACTAAATTCACTTATTTTTTTCAAGAAAGCTCAGGGACAATCTATTTTCTCTGGGTTTATAAGACTTGAACATAACTTGTTAGTACTGCCAAATGACCCACTATGATTGTTGAATGAGTATGGTTTTACGCCGCTTGACCAGATAATCCAGTGATTGACTTCATAAGCCTCCATCCATGCAATACAGATGTATGACATGTAAGTCAGTGAGCCTGACTGCCCTTTCCATTTAGTTGCCTCTTACGACCAGCATAGGTCACTCTAGACCTCTGACCAGAATCCCCTCAGGGTTTTTTAAGGCGACGTTACACCCAGTCAAACCGACTGAAGTATTCACAACTTAAATAATATTTGAATGTTTGACTGGTCCTAGGTATTTACTTCTGACCAGTATTGTTCGTTGATTAGCATTGTTTTAAGTCGGTATGTCTTCAAATTGTTGGCCCTTCCAAATGTTTCCTTAAAATATCGATTTCAATTACTTGTCCCGATTTCCATTCCTAAAAACAGCTTTAATGTACTGAATGCCGTCCTCGCGGCGTCCAGCTCTTGATGTCCAGTCTGTCAACTCACCAGCTCGACCGCACGGTAGCTTTCCCTCTCATTGGCTGCGAACAGCGTGGGTCCAGCTGTTGTCCTGGACCCACCGGAAGAGATGGAGGTGTAGGTCCATCTGCATCTGCTCATAGGGGGGTCCACCTGGGAAATAGGGTATGGTCTCTTGAAAGGCCTACTGATTGTATTGTGACATCGGTGATATAAAATCCCAATCACTCATCGCTAAAAAAATAACGTCACTTGACAATACAATGACGTCACTTTGCAATACAATGAGTTCACTTGACAATACGATAATGTCACTTTGCAATACAATGAGGTCACTTGATAATACAATAACGTCGCTTTAAATACAATAACGTCACTTGACAATACAATAACGTCATTTTGCAATACAATGAGGTCACTTGACAATACAATAATGTCGCTTTAAATACAATAACGTCACTTGACAATACAATAAAGTCACTTGACGAATACAATGACATTTTAGAAGGCATACCTCTACGACAGCCGTCAAATAGAAAGTATGCGTTACGACAGTCGTAGCGCTCGGATCTTGGGCCACACTGTTTCTGTTTCTTTCACTCGATGATAATGGACATCCTCATCCTACCGAGACAAGCGTGTCCACTAGCCTATATCAAAGCCCAGTTTCTACCCTTGCCACATCAACATCATATTTGGCACAGGAAAGTGGGCGTGGTGTGGCAAGGGTTGAAACAAGACTTTCACAAAAAGGCTGGTGGACGCTCTTGCCTCGGGAAGGACTATCCTCCACATATTGAACAGTTCCTCCAGGATTATTAATGTGAGACGACCAAGGACCAGAAGAAAGTCACAGTGATAAGATTACTTACTCAGCGTGTAACTGACGTGCATTATCCTAATGACTATTCCTCACTCATTGTAAGAATTAGGTACACTTGTTAACGACCCCTTGCCCCACTCACCGTATGATTGACGTACGCGATGTAGGCGGACATGGGGAAGAGGATGACGATCTGTCCCCGGGGGTAGAGGCTGGGTCCGAAGTTCTTGACGCCGTACACATGCTTGACGTACTGCCATTCAGGCTCCGTGATCTTGGGGTCAAGAGAGAACAGCATCTGGGCTGGCAGGGAAGCGCTAGGAGACAGGGAGAGGGCAGGTATTGGAAGGGGCTATATCATGGCACATACCTTGAGGCGTTCACGAACACACATTCACACACATTTATCTGATATGTTACTCTTCCTCATCACGGCAACCATGGCGTTCACGAACACACATTTACACACATTTATCTGATATCTTACTCTTCTGCATCACGACAACCAATGCGTTCACGAACACACATTCACACACATTTATCTGATATCTTACTCTTCCGCATCACGCAACCATGGCGTTCACGAACACACATTTACACACATTTATCTGATATCTAACTCTTCCTCATCACGGCAACCATGGCGTTCACGAACACACATTCACACACATTTATCTGATATCTTACTCTTCCGCATCACGCAACCATGGCGTTCACGAACACACATTTACACACATTCACTCTGATATCTTGACTTGCTCTCTCCCATGACGCGCACCACGAACTTCACACAATACAAACATTCACACAAATAGGTCCCCAGTATATCTAATATGCTTATCGGAAGATCTTATGGTCGGGTTCTAACATGGCTGATTGTTCGTCATCGTATCCCAGTTGTGTGGATCGATGCTGGAGTTGCTAATCAATGGATCGTCTGGTCCAGACTCGATTATTTACAGACAGCTTTCACATAGATGGTATACAGCTGAGTGCGGTGTTAAACAAACTAACATACTCACTCTGATATCTTGACCTTGCTCTCCATCCTGACAGGGACCATGACATTGACCCGGTTGTTCTCCCAGTCCTCGTCCTCGCTGGCTGTCGTCGCAACGACGGTGAAGTTGTAGTTCTCAAGGTCGTCGTGATGGAACATAGGCGAATAGAACCTGATACTAAAGATCACCTCTTCGTTCTTCTCCAGAGGGCTCTCAATATCACACTCTATTCTGGCGGTGTCATTCACGGTATCAGCCTCGTTCTGAGAGAGGCACGTGACGTCATTCTTTCCCATTACCCTATAGCAATGACAAACCAGATGAAAACGTCCGTCATTACAATTGAACACATGCTTTGGACTTAAACGAACACTTAATAAATTGTTTTGGGGCTGAGAATTTTGGAAATATTATTTTAGGTTTCGTTTTGACATAAAATAGGAATCAAACATGTCTAGTGTCTTGTGATTTCGGTAAGGAAGAAAAACCTCGATGTCAAATTACTTTGTCCTCATCACTTTTGGGAAGAGATTATGAAAAAAGAAAAGAAGGCCCAATTCTCTTCCCCTCCCCTGCCCGCCACACCTCACCGGATATCAAAAGGACGGCCCCTTACTCGTCACTGAGGCTAAAACAGACTGAACTGGTTCCGTGGTAACTAGACCACACCTCACCTCCTGACTCGGCTGAAGCTGATACTGTCGGGGAAGGTCAAGGTCACGACTGTGAGATACGCTGTCTCGCCGGTGTTATAGAGGTCAACCTCGATCTCAAACACGGGCGAGTCGTCCATCACCAGGTAGCGGTCGTTCTGCGAGTACCTGGCCACAGCCATCAGGTTAATGTCGGAGTTGCACACATTATTAGATCCACAGCTTCTGTCATACATCGCCTGAAACAAAAATTGGTAGGATAAATTGCAACAAGTGCCCGTTTATAATAAATAGATGGACAGGCGCTTTTTCCAAATACCAATTGATAATGTATGTTTTGATGGAACTCCCTTCTCTTTCTGTCAACATAGAGAACTAGCCTCCTTGGTCTAGAGGTAGAGCGTCTATCGGAGAGAGGAAGGTCGGTGGTTCGATTCCCGATCGCATGATGACAAAACACGTAGAAAAATGGTACTTGTTGGTACCCTGCCTGGGGCTAAAACAGGACTGGTCGAGCGGAGTCAGCGTACTGTGTCTGAGGGACCCATACTGTCCTTGTTCTGGTGAGGTGAGGTGAGGTGAGGTGAGGTGAAATGGGGTTTAACGTCGCGTCCAAGATTATTGCACTCATATAGCGACGTGCATGCACGTGTATGTGTGTGTGTGTGGCTGCTTGTACTAGTCCGGACTGATGCCGATTTATAGTGCTAGCTCACTGAGATACCATGCCGCAGTTTTAACATGAATACCCCACTCAGACACAGTAAACTGACTCCGAGCCGAATAGTCCTTGTTTTAGCCCTTTAATGCCGAGCGCCGGACAGGGTAACAACAAGTACCATCTTTTAACGTCTTTTGGTATGACGCGGCTGGGGATCGAACCCCGAACCTCCCGCTATCCGGGCGGACGCTCTACCACTAGACCACGGATGCGGTCTTTCTTGTTCTGGAAGCCTGTCCTTCTTGAACCTGCAACAACAACTTGTTTTGCCTACCTGTGTTTTAAATGTCTGGGGGTGATATATGTTGAGCACAGCACAAATATCACAGTGCCTGTCCACACCAGTTGTACCCGGTTTGATCACGTGATCTAGTTCCATCTGCAATGGGGTGATGACGTCACGACTTTTCTGTGAACCAACAACAAAGAAACTATTTACATAATATTTTGTCTCATAAGAACACAGATAGTCAGAGGGAAGTATTGTATGCGGGGAAACACGCCTGTTGGTGTGTCGATTTACAACCGCAATAGCAACATGAGGGTGGCAGACCCGACCCTCCCCTGATTACCGAATACCATCTAATTTTACTCTCTGGGTCTCATTGCTCACACATGAATCCCAAATACAACTTAACACTCGAAAGCCTTGAGAAAAAGGTGTAATTTCCAGTTCAAATAGTGGAATAATGAGTAAAATGTCATAGTCTAATCAAAATCGCGTAACGAAATCGACATCCGGTTCATAAATAATCGACACCACGGCGATTGTGGTCGACTGCAGGATTTACAAAGTATGTGTACCATCATCTGATCATCAACAGATGTTTTCCAAATATAGTCATGTTTCTTCACAAGGTGCTCAAATGATTGGATGCACTTCGCGATGTAAGACCCGTTTTATTGCAATATAGATCTTGATTATTGACGAGACCGTCTGACTGGGCGCCGCCATTTTGTTTCATGCTAATGCAAGTGATATGAGAGGTGGAAAGTGGACTCCCTTACCTTGGGAAAATGATGACATGATTAATTGAAATGTTTAGGAAAATTATTTGTTCGAAATGTCGAATCTGCGGACCAAACACGATCGGTTTGAGGATCGGCGCCCTAGAAAACGTGGCATGGATATTCTAGATTTACCCGTTGAAACACAAGGACCATTGTCACCAGGGTTCGGGTCTGCGAATCTTACCCGTGTGAAGATGGCAATCTCTGGCATGCAGTCCATATCGCGTCCAGCTGACAGTCTCATGGGGATGTTCATTGACACCCGTTCCTGGCTACTTCCGGGGTCCTGCAGGAACAGCCTCCTTCTGACATTGCGGTGCCTCTCCAGCGTGTCCACCTTCAGGATGACGTCGATCTCTGCAGCAGGGAGTAATAGTACAGATACAATATTTTCTCGGCCAGTGGTTCGAGACATTTTTGTTATTCTGATAGGATCACCTGTACAATTATACGTAATTATACGCTTTCAACATTTGTTTTCAGGACGATCAATAAATCAGGCATATAATCAAACAATACTTCTTGAGGAAAATGTTTTTCCGGCTCACACGCACCCCTGGCCACCATCTCTCTCCACCTCATCCCTACCCCCCCCCCCCCCCCCCCCCCCCTCCCCAACACACACACAATCACATCTCGAGCCATCAGCGTTCTTTAACTGAAACTACTCAAGTGAAGTATCGCAAGAGCAAGTTCTGCATCACCCCCCGCAATATAAATTCTTGCGAATCTGTTCTTCGAGGATGTCAACACTTTCACAGCGAAGACAATATTCCTGAGGAATTTATTGTTATTTCATGTTTTATCCTACTTTGTACAATTTAAACTGCCCCTCTCTAACTTGATTCAACATCATCAGTGGGTATGAGTGAGGGAGAGTGAGTGAGTGAGGCATTCCAGTTACATCACGGCATGTCAGCTTACTGTGGGAGGAAAGCCCGAAGTGATGCAGGTCGCGGACGTTTACCAAGCATCAACAGTGTGGCAGCCTCCAGGCTATACATACCGAGTGTCTCCGGGACGTTGATGCCGTCGTACTGCGCACAGATCCGCGCCGTGATGCAGATAGCAGGTGCCCCCCTGTACAGACAGTTCGCTTGTCCATCCGGGCGGATGACACGTGGTCTGATCTCCATGGTAACCTGAAGGTTTATGACAGGCTGTGTGCGAAGAAGAACTGCACTGTCTGACGAGAAGGCTCCGATGAGAACGTCTGGAACAAAATTATAAAATAAATAACTTAAATATCAAACATATCTTCCATTCATAGGTAATAATAATAACAACAACAACAACCACAACAACAATAATGATAATAATAAAGCGCCAAATTCCACTCAAATGAATGTTAATGGCGCCACATTATTATCCGGGTCAATGGATCAGTGTGCACTCGATTTATTCTCAGCTCCATGGAGGGTATACAACCTGTCTGTGATATATAATCGTCAGAGCAAGGATGGTCCAGTCCAGTCCAAACAGAGTTGTGTTCCGCGGCTGTATGTCTGTTAGAAATAACCCTCTGATCCTGGGTTTGAATCCCAGATTCGCTCCGATATCAGTGTCCGGTTTTACAGCACCATATCCGTGATCGTGGATTTCAGCACAATCATTACTGGCTCATATCAAGCTGACACACCGTGACATAACTGTAACCTTGTTCAATGCGGCTTGAAACTAATCTCACACAATCTGAATAACTCCCATGAAGATCCGGGGTAGAATAGGTCTTCATCAACACATGCTTGCCGTAAAAGGCGACTATGCTTGTCGTAAGAGGCGACTAACCGGATCGGGTGGTCAGGCTCGCTGACTTTGTTGATACATGTCGTCGATCCCAATTGCTCGTGGATCGATGCTCATGATATTAATCACTGGATTGTCTGGTCCAGACTCGATTATTTACAGACCTCCGTGATATAGCTGGAATATTGCTGAATGTGGCGTTAAACAACAAACAAACAAACAAACAAACACTCTGAATAAATACACATTGATCCGAGAATGTTCTTGGTTTCACTGACCAACATGCTGTGACCAACATTTGTGGCGTGTTTCAAGGGAGAATTCAGTTATAAGCATACTGGTCGCGACATATATTTCCGGCGAGTGTATCAAGACATGAGACAGAATTCACTGACCAAGATGTTGGTTACGACATAAATCGTTCGTTCATGAGTTAGCGTGTCTGGATTTGTGGATAGTTGGGAGCGTGCGTCGGTGAGTGATTGAGTGAGTGCGTGTGTCTTGATGTCTGGATAGTTGGGAGCGTGCGTAGGTGGTTGGGCGTTTTGAGTGAGTGAGTGAGCGAGTGAGTGAGGGAAGAGAGAGAGACATACCGACATATTGGTTCTTGTCAACGTCGACGGGTCGGGAGATGCTCCAGCCAAAGCTGGACAGTCGGGACGAGAGGTCCCTTGCGGCGACACGCTGGGAGAATTTCTTGTGTAGTCCACTCTTTGCTCCGTTGTAGATGTACACCACGCCCCTGCCGCCGTCCTCGAACGGCGCTCCCACCGCGATATCTGACACACACACAAACAATAACGCTGCAGTCATGATATCTGTAGAAACACGTTAATGTATTTGCAAAACAAAACATGAGTATTGAGCAAAGGAATATATTCTCATAGTTTTAATTTTGAGTTTTAGAAACAATTCTTTTTCATTTGTTCTCCCTTGGTATGTACTCATGAAAACAACATGTTGAATTTAGTAAATACCTTTGACCGAGACGGGCCACAGCATGGAGAGTTTGTGGACAAATGGTTTTCCAGAATCAAAATGGGACGTGTTTACTATTACACCCCCGGAATGAACAGTCGCGGGATACAGAAAAGAAACGAAGAAAGGAACTCAGGGAAATAAAGAATGTTTTGCCAAATAATATTTGACTTAACTCTGATATGTTTGTTGAACCAAACTGATACATAAAATATATCACCGTGTAATATCTTCATTGTCAAATAATGCATCAGCTTTGGGGTATACGTGCATGTTCGAATTCTCATGCCCCAAACATGAGTCCCGTTATTGTTGTTCCCTTATTTCCAGCCACCAGTATACCTTTCCCAGTTGCATATATACTGAGGATCAAAACAAACTGTACTCCTCAGTTGATATTATCATATGATTGAGTTTCAAATGAACATATAAATATGCGATATATACTATTAAAACACGAAGTGAACTAGCGCTTTGTCAGCACTCAAAGAATACTTCCATGGTTATACTTTTTTTAAAAATAATTTGATTTAAAACTATTAAAAATAAAAAAGGTTCGCATAATATACAACCGCTGATGGGAGATATTATCTTTGAAGATCAATACGTTTCCTTTTCTCGGCAAAAATGTATATTTCAAAAATGGTTGGGGTGCTTTGGTGGCATATTCATTTCTTATCACAATCTTCACTGAACCAATTTATTTGTACACAGAATTACGAAACCACTGAAAAATGACGTGTGAAGACACTTTATGACAAGAGGGATGACTTCAACTTGCCAAAAGTAAACTTCCCTTAAATATTCCAGCACCTCCAGCCTTTGTCTACATGTCACAACTTTGGAGGTACAATCAAGCATGCCGTTTCGATTCACGATTTCAAAGAGCGTCATACGGCGTTTGCTTAAAAGTTGTTTGATCAAAGTGACAACAGTCCTTAGTAATTTAAGAGGTTTTTTTACATGTGGAGAACATTTCCAAATTTGACGCATCTGTGACAAAAATAATGCCCAATGCATTTCCCTATTTTAACTTGAACCTTTTGTTCCTGTTCAGGTAGACACTTGACTTGCCTTTGCATGTGTTTGTGATGGGTGCCACCGCTCACCCTATTATCATCACTTATGATATGGTCAGCATCGTACAATGGTCTGCGCTTATCGTATGGATGATTATAGAAAGAGTTTTGTGGCTTCAAAAGTTTTCATATTTATTTAATTTAAAGTCGTAAGGACCATGGAAAGTCGCTCGAGTCGTCCGTAGTTCAAGACAAGCGTAACAATGATATAACACAATATTGTCCTTGGAGTTACGACATAACGAATTGATGGGATTCGAGTTTGCGAGATTTCTGTTTTGATTTGTCTTCGCATTATCCTGTTCTCTTAACATTCATGGTCAATTCTTCACGGGTATATATGTATACACTATACGTCATGCCATCACCCGTGAATACAAACGGCCGCTATTAATAATCAACGAATCACACGACGGTCTGGTTCCAACGACAGGGAAACCAGCGAGCACTCGACCAATCAGCGCTCGTTTTACAAACGGTTCAGACGGGAATGGTATTTCGATTGACATCACACTCCACACATTGCTTCAATGGTAGGGTTCGCTCAAAGTTCATACATGGAGAAAGGTTCATTCATCTTCCTGAGGCAAGGGCGTTAACTTACTTTAAAAATCCATTTTCCACCCTTGCGGAACAAGGCTGGTATTCCGGAATTACATTTTGAGTCTATACACAGTCCTATCAAACTCGCGTGACGAACTAGACATCCGGTTCGTAAACAACATGGATTTCAACGTGCCGATTTCAGTCGACTGCAGGGTTTGCAAAACATGTTTACCGCCAACTGGGCCAACAGATATTCTGCTAACCTTTTCATGTTTTTTATCAAGGTGCTCAAGTGATTTGATGAACATAGAAGGGACATAACTCGAAATAGCCAATGGTGGCGCTACGACCGAGGATGGAAATTCCAGTCAAGCTCGGCAAGGGTGGAAACTGGACTTTTACAGCCCGTTAACTCCCTTGCCTCGGGAAGATGGGCTCATTTGACTTCGACGAGTTATACATGGTTTCATTCATCAACTGCCTTAAACAGACACACGTTTCTACACTATGTGGGCAGCAGTTTGTCTCACCCTGATATCCGTCTCTGTTGACGTCTCCGATGTTACCTACAGTCGTCCCAAACCGGGAGGCGGGGGTGTTCGAGCCCGACAACTCGGCTTCCAGTTCCAGGTTGAACTGTAAGACATCAAAGATGGATTTGAATGAAAGGAGGTGAGATGGAATGGGGTTTAACACCGCGTTCAAGATAACTGCACATATATAGTGACGTTGCATGCACGTGTACGTGTGTGTGTGTGTGCGCGTGTGTGTGTGGCTGTTTGTACTAGTTGAACTAATGCCGACTAATGCTCGCCCACTGAGACACCATACCGTAGTTTTAACATGAATACCCCACTCAGACACTGTGTACTGACCCCAAGCCGACCAGTCCTTGTTTTAGCCCCTTATTGCCGAGCGCCAGGTAGGGTAACAACAAGTGCCATCTTTTAACGTCTTTTGGTATGACGCGACCGGGGATCGAATCCCCGACCTTCCGCTCTCCGTAGGACAAAAAACAAATATATGATGAACCAGTTTTGGTGAAAATCCAATGCAGGGACATGGTGATGAGAGACTTAGGATGATTATGTGGTCATCAGTACGAATCTGGGATTCGAACGATAAATCTAAGGGACGCAGCAAATCGCGAATGGAGACGACTGAGAGAACTTGTCCACCGTGCCCCAATAAACATTGATGAAAAATACATCACAACAATGTTTGTGTAGTTGGGCTAATTTAATTTGTTTACGTACTTCCCTCGATTGTCGTCAACCTCGGAAATGTCGAAAAGAAGAGGCAGCGATCCAATGATATAATGTACCGTTATGTACTCCGTCCTGACTGCTTTACCATGCATTATTATATAAAAATTCTCATCTTTTTCCTGGCAAAGGGGCGGTGGGGTAGCCTAGTGGTTAAAGCATTCGCTGGTCACGCCGAAGACCCTGGTTCGATTCCCGACATGCGTACAATGTGTGAAGCCCATTTCTGGTGTCCCCCGCCGTGATATTGCTGGAATATTGCTAAAAGCGGCGTAAAATCAAACTCACTCACTCCTGGCAAAGAGACATAAAAGTCAAGATATTCTTAAGTGAGCATTTAATATAATGGATATTGATACTGTTCACAGGAAAGTAAGGTGTACGTACCAGAAAACATAACGATGGAAGACTTTCAGAACAAATAATTTTCTACAATTATTTTATGATATATCATGATGACAATTCGACAAATTTCTGGTCGTCAAAGGCTTTGTGTCAACGCCGCCGATAGCAAACAGCAGAGAAGGGTAGGGTTGGATCATGTGATGAGTATTTTTTCTGCATACGGATGGACTATACCTATCCTAGAACTACTTTTAATTTGAGATAACCAATCAAGATTTTTTTGATGAGAACACTTACAAACTCCTTATTGATGTAGACATAAACTTGACCTTCGTCCGTGACCTCTGAGAATAAAGGCGCGCCAACAATAAGGTCATCAAGGCCGTCGCCATTTAAATCGGCTGCGCATAAAGATGCGCCGAAGTAACTGCCAAACTGAAATCGAATAAATAATACAAGTGTCACATTTTTGTTCTTAAACCACAATATTTATAATTCAAAATAACATGTCTGTAGGATTGCATGCTTGTCGTAAGAGGCGTCTAACGGTGTCAGGTGGCCAGGCATGCTGACTTGTCATCGTCTTAATTGCACAAATCGGTGCTCGTGATGTCAATCATTGGATTGTCTAGCCCAGATTCGTTTTTATGCACACCACCGTGAGATAGATGTGTTATTGCTGATTGCGGCGTTAAACAACAAACAAACCAACTTGCTTGATATTTCATGATATCCGAGTTTTCGGACAAAACCAACAAAGTGGACTTTGTACGTTTTTTATCAAACTTAGAAATACCAACTGGTCAAAGCCCATTGCCCCATTTGTAGTCATATTTTTGATTACTTTATTCAAGATGCTTTCAGTAGGACGGTTTGTTGAAATTAAAATACACATCCATTTAAAAAAACAAACGCTTTTTTATATTGATATGTTAATCGATATTTTAAGTAGTTGTTTTGAAATGATTACTTTTCATTCATGAAAGCAATAAACAGACTTTCCAGAAATTTATATCTGCATCTTACTTGTTGGTCGGCGGATGCGTAAACCAAATAATTAATAAGACCCACTGATAATGGCTCCTGTTTACTCCTTAGGCTTACGTCTGACGCGGACGGCACAATTTTGTGGAGGTAAAGAAGCTTTCTGCAGCGCCACCTACCTGATGTCCCTCCAGCACCAACATCACGTCGAAGTTGTAGTCGTAAATAAACACCTGCAACACAGTGAGATATGTGTCATGAGTCTCAATCTCAGCGATGTATAGGAATACAAAATATAAAAATAAATTGGACAACAACAGAATAAAAGCAAAAACTGGTTGTTGTATTTGACGGCTAATTGTGTGTTATTGGTTTGTGACGCAAACTTAGCGATTTTATCCAACAGGCGGCAGCAACAATGTGGTACAAATCTATACCATATCCGGACAATATGGCGGACTCTGTGGCACTTCGTATTTTCTGATCATTTGATTGGCAGGAGGAAATAGTGTTTGATTGACAATAGGTTCATTCTATGCCGTCGACGTTACCTTACGTCCAATACCATCTTCTCGAGGCAAGTGAGTTAACTGACTATAAAAGTCCAGTTTCCACCCTTGCCCAACTAGGCTGGTATTATGGAGTTACAGTTTGGCTGGACTAACGAGTCTATGCATCGTCCAATCAAAATAGCTCAACAGAATCGAAATCCGGTTCGTGAACTGTAATGCAGATTTCGTTCGATTGCAGGATTTGCAAAGCATGTGCACCGCCGACTCGTTGTCAACAGGTATTTTCCAAATCTTTTAATGTTGTTAATCATGGTGCTCACGTGATTTGATGCACTTCTAGATGTAAGACCCGTTTTATCACAATATAGATCTTGATTCTCGATCAGATCGTCTTGACTGGGCGCCGCCATTTTGCTTGAAGCAAATGCAAGTGATTTCGAGAGGTGAAATCTGATTGGTCCATATGAGAGGCTTAGAAGGGACATAACTCGTAATAGCCTCTGGTGGCGCTACGATCGAGCCCGGGAATTCCAGCCTAGCTCGGCAAGGGTGGAAACTTGACTTTTATTGTCAGTTAACTCCCTTGCCTCGAGAAGATGGTCCAACACGTAACAATACTTATTTCCGGTGCATTATAAATACCGACGATAACAATTTAATGAGTATGCTCAAGCGTCTATCGCGGATGCAGCTCTTTGTGATTTAGCAATATTCCCGTTCAGTAAGGGTGTAATTCTGTATCACCAAATGAGTTATAGTGTTGTTATACCTTAACCTTTGGCATACTCATCAAACTATTCCCGAATGAATAAATGTTAAGTATGGTTAAAAAAGGGTTTCCGGCCCGCGTCAGGACGTTTCAAGAATGGTACTTGTTGTTACCCTGCCGGGCGCTCGGCACTTAGGGCATAAAACAAGGACTGTTCGGCTCGGAGTCAGTGTACTGTATCTGAGTGGGGATATTCATGTTAAACTGTGGCATCTCAATCGGCTGGCACTATAAATCGTCTGGCACTATAAAACCGGACTAGTTCAAGCATGCGCGCACGCATGCACACACACACACACACTTACACACACACACACGCACGCACGCACGCACGCACGCACGCAAGCACGCACACAGACAGAGAAACGTAAATTGCGTTGATCTTTAAATTAGTTAATTGATATGATTGGTTCTGTATTATTTTGTTGTTTTTGTTTAGTTGTTTATATAGAAATAAGTATTCAATTCCTCTACTCATTTTTTATTTACTATCGGTTCTTACAGTAATCTGCAGATATTGAAAACTAATTTAAACTTTTACCCTGAGGCTGATCTCTTAGCAAAACTAAGTCAATCAATAGTGGTTCAGTCCATTTACATAAATAGGGATGAAACTGAAAGTACACTGTAAATGTACCAACAGTAACTTCTGTAGGCAAATTGCATTGAACCCTAGAACGTTATGACCGTTATCACTCATGCATATACATCGGGATCAACAGTCAGGCCAGTCTATATTAAAGGTTGTTTCTTGCTGTGTTCACCAGAAGCAGTTTTACAGTATAGTAGCGTAATATAACACACCTAACCTTGCCTTTGTTCTCGGCACGTGGACCCCCTGCGATGATGAAAACTGCGTCAGAGGACAAATGGGCCGTCGTTATTGCGTAACCTGAAAATACCAGTTTAAACCTGAATTAAGCAGATTTAAATGTGCAACAAGAACGAGTTATGGTTTGTTTCTGACTTACAGATCCCGACGGTACGACACATGCGGTACATCTTAATAGATTATATACGATATACGCATATCATTGGCCCACGGACGTACATACAAAGGATAGGAAGCCTGCAGCGATAGCCTTTGGCGATGTGCGCCGCGCAATCGGGCCAAGCCAATCGACAACACATGTGAAAGACCCCCAGCCGTGAGGTGCGAGTGGTCGAACGTTGGTACGTCTTTGATTGGCCTAAACAAACTGTGGATATACTTGGGTCTTGGATTTCGTAAATCCTACATACCTTTAAAGACCACCCGATTTTTTCATATTAGCACAGTTAATCTGTCATGCCAGTTGTCCAACACTGCCATTTTAGTCGCCTTGTGCGAAAAAACATACTTTGCTAGGGACCTATCCTAACCCGTTACCGGGGCGGTGGAGTAGCCTAGTGGTCAAAGCGTTCGCTCATCACGCCGAAGACCCGGGTTCGACTCCCCACATGCGTACATCTGGTTATCCCCCGGGGCGCTGTCGATGTTAACTGTTCTGACGGGTAGTGACAACAACATCGGATTATGTCATATAGTCAAGATTCCTGCGTCAGAGCAGAAGCCATACAATAACATAATGAGTCAGCTAAACTAAACTGGTTTGTTTGTTTGTTTGCTTAACGCCGCACTCAGCAATATTCCAGCTATATTAAGTCGGTCTGGAAATAATCGAGTCTGGACCAGGCAATCCTGTGATTGACATCGTGAGCATCGAGCTATGCAATTGGGATACGATGACATGCATCAACCAAGTCAGCGAGCCTAACACCCCGATCCCGTTAGTCGCCTCTTACGACAAGCAAAGTCGCCTCTTACGGCAAGCATGGGTTGCTGTAGACCTTTTCTTACCCGGATCTTCACGGGTCGCTAAACTATGGTGATGTCATTTCAAGCATTACTGGGCTGTGTCCAAGATGCACGTAATTTATACTTACCAATGTAAGAGTTATTAAATATCCTCCGAGATGGTTCGAATATCTTTGGCCTGGATTGATGGCCACCGCTCACACGAATAACTCCACCTTAAGAAATAAAATGAGGAACAGCAAGGTTACCACTTGTATGACATAATGTGTGTGTCCTGGGCTGTATTCGTTAACCTGACCTGGTGCTTAGTACGGTCAGGAGACACGTGTGGTTGGTTTGTTTGTTGTTTAACGCCGCAATCAGCACTATTCCTGCTACATGACGGCGATCTGTAAATAATCGAGTCTGGACCAGACAATCAAGTGATTAATATCATGAGCATCGATCCACGAGCAATTGGGATCGATGACATGCATCAACCAAGTCAGCGAGTCTGACCACCCGATCCCCTTAGTCTTCTCTTACGACAAGCATAGGTTGCTGAAGACCTATTCTACCCCGGATCTTCACGGGTCAAGACACGCGTGGGACACATCGTATGCATTTACTGATGAAATACTGTATTTATGTGAAAATATTTTATCAATGTCACATTCGGGACTTTCTGTCCGCCTCAATGGCACTATGGTTTTCAGAGAAAGATCGCGAAGATCAGCAAAAAATATATTTAATAAATAACATTTGCCGTTCTTGTCAAATCACATATTTGTCTTATCGAGTGACCTGACAAAGTTGATAATTTCATGAGTGGCGCATCCACGAGCGACAATGTCATCGTTGTCATGTTTTTTGACAAGAAAATGCAAATATCCTTTCAATAAATACATGCAACTGAACGAAGCAGTGAACACGGAATCCGTATTTCGGTTTTGCTTATGACGAAATTAGTGATCCCATCAGATTCCAGGACGAGTAAAAAAACAACAACATATTAATAATCAATCCTGACGCACGGTTATGGTGAATCCATCGTAACCTCGACATGGTGTATAATTTCTTTCTTTGTGTTTTGTTAAACACCGCACTCAGCAACATATATTCCAGCTATATGACAGAGGCCTGTCAACAATCGACAACGACCGTACAAACCAGAGGTCGATACCATGAGCAACGCCCCTAGCAGTCAGGTGAGGTGAAATGGGGTTTAACGTCGCGTCCAAGATTATTGCACTTATATAACGACTGGCATGCACGTGTGTGTGTGGCTGCTTGAACAAGACCGGACTGATGCCGATTTATCGTGCTAGCTCACTGAGATACTATGCCGCAGTTTATCATGAATACCCCACTCAAGACACAGTATAGTGACTCCGAGCCGACCAGTCCTTGTTATAGCCCCTTAATGCTGAGCGTCAAACAGAGTAACAATAAGTACCATCTTTTAACGTCTTTTGGTATGACGCGGCCGGGCATCGAACTCCGGACCTTCCGCTCTCCTCGATGGCGCTCTGTCAGTAGACCACGGAGGCGGTCCCCTAGCAGTCAGAGTACGATGAAACACAATTAACTAGGTCATCGGGTCTGACCACCCGACCAAGCATCTCGCCAAGCGCCGGTTGCTGTGGACCTGTTCTAACCCGGAATCCACATATTATTAGTGCTTAGTGGATTACTGGGTACCCTCCAGTGGAACCTCGTCAATCGAGACGGTTTCAGTTCACACCAAACCAGTCCAGACTAACGACCTGTTTGCAATATGGAAGAAGCACTTGGCCAAATGATACTTATGGAATAATTTTCTTCTGAAAAATGAAGAATCTAACGAGTGTCCGGATAAAGAAGGTTCCGGTGTTTAAGGGTGTAGCTACCTGTCCAGTCGTTAAGTCCTGGGGATCCCATCACTAGAAACTCCCCGTCCTGCAACATTAGAATCATTGCCATGCTACAGTGAATCGTCATCAAGTAGGAATAAATAAGAATGATTAAGATGCGATTGGTATGATATACAGTTAAACCCCGTTAATCCGGACGGTACCGACCCCAATGAAATCGGCCGCATTAACAAATATCCGGATGAACGAATAATGAGTATTGTCCTTAGTGTCACGGTAGACGTTTCTGACAGCGATCGTCCTGACAACAGGGCTTCCGGAATAACGAGGTCCAGACTAACGGAGTTTCACTGTATGCGAGTTGCGATATCTTTATATATTGTGCCGTTACAAGTAACAGTGATTTTTTATTCCACTGGTTCTCAATCATGCGCTTCGGTTAGGACCGGAAGTGCTAGTTTTAGAACGTTCGTCGGTCGCAACAGTGACATTGGTCAGTGGGTTCCCCACATTGGTTTTTGGCATTGCATGCTATATCAAGTCGAACTTCAGCCATCCATAGTGTAAGTTTATTAATTATATTGTTAAGAACCTTTTAGATAAGTTTTTGGATGTAACTTATGTTATATTTTGTGTGTATTCAGTATGTGAAAAGTCTAGTGTAATGTAGCATCAGGAACCACGTGTAAATTTTATGATGCGCACTTAAAATCACCAGATAGTTTTTTATAGATGTTTATTGAAGCCTAATGATTTCTCTGGCGCTTCTTTCAGTATTAATGCTATGCCAGGCTGATTCGGACTTATATGAAGTCCACCACAAGGTAGTATAAGTACCCACGTACATGTGTGTTTTCCTTATTGCATAAGGGGTAATTCTTTTGTTTTGTTGTTGTAGCCTTTTACCAAATGCATCCATGCACACTGGCGTGCGCAGAAGTAATAAACTTATAAATCTTGGATCTCAATTTTGTCCAATATTTTACAAGACTGTGCCTCAGTGTTGGATCGGTAAACTGATGACTGCTAGAACCTAAACCACGTTTGGGGAAGACAGTACATATATTTTAAATAATTTTGACATGTGGAGAGTGAGTGAGTGTGAGTGGAGAGCCACGGATGTACACGGAGTCAGTATCTATAATCAGTCCCAGGAGCAATACGGTGACAGACAGACAAACAGACAGACTATGGGAGCGTATTCGTGCCACAGTCTAAGAAATATCATCTACATAGATGATTAAACATAAATCAGACACGAATTGTGGCACGAATACGCTTCCATAACAGACAGAGTAAATCTCATTGAAATCAGATGTTTTGATGTGCTGTGTGAAGTAATGAAGAAAAAGAATTGGATCAAGAAAAAAAAAGATCATTTGTTTCCAGGTTTGTTTGTTGGTCATGTCGAGTGTTCTGAAAAAAGATTGTTGTGAATAAAATGTTCGACTCTTCCCATCCCGGACAAAGCGGCGTTGAACCAAACTTACAATACACACACTGTTTAATTCGACCAATGGTTTGAACGAATAATCAAACCGTGCTTACCTTGGAGTACTCCGCAGAAAACCCCATTGCTCCCATGCCGTACATATAATGTCCTTGCGTATGAATCTGCTTCCTGAATGACTCCAGCACAGGCCAGGAACTACTTTCGTTAAACAACAGTTGACCGGTGCCTTCGTAACACAGTCCATTCATGAACTCATGACCTTGAACAAAAAACTCCCTGTCCCTCCATCTCGGGGCGCAAACCTGCGAAAAACATAATAGCAATCAGAAAATAACAGTCCCACAGGTAAAGGTTCGTGACGAAATAGTGAACGTTTTTTTACACGTGAGGTTTCACAAATGGTCTTTAAAGCTAAGTCACAATTATTACTGCGCTGAGCAACACTAAAATATTACCCTTTTAGCAAAAACAGCACTAGCACTAAATAAAGTATTGAATGGTGGTTAAGTCCGTTAACACTATATCGTCAGATGAGGACTCTCACCTGTCTACGAAAGAACAAACTATAAGAAATTCTTTATCTTCCTAAACAGAAAAGTCACATAAAAATAATAGTCCTTTTATTTCTTTTTCGGTAACGAGCCCATCCATTAGTCAAAGTCAAAACTATATCGGTTCATTGCAAGAAACCGTTTAATCATTGGTTCCATGAGTGAAGACCACCTCCACAGGAATTTCAAACGACAGAAAGGAACTGTAGAGAAGATGTAATTTAATGAAGCTGGTGCCATAGAATAAAGGGAAAAAATGTCCACCATCACTGTCGACCATGATGCCTTAACAACCTCGAATCTTCTTGTAGATATCATCATCGAAACATTTTTTGCGCATTAAGGCTCTTGAGAATATAATTATAAAACATTTCTGTAAACCTACAAATTAAAAAGAGCAATGATTTGAAGATATAAGAACTCGCATGTCAACATTACTGTCAACTTCCCCAGTCAAGCAGCATCCGCGGAGAACATGCTTAGAAGCATAGTGAAAGTGCAACGACCTTTTCCAGTTTTGCACCAACTTCGATTTTTATTGCCCATGACATCATTATCACTTTGATGACATCAACTATTACGCTGTTAGGTGTAAAGGTTGACCAGTGTCAAAATTCATAATATCGCAAAACAAAACTTCGGAACATATATTTTAGGCCTCACTACAATGTACAGAAATGTCAATTTTAATAAATGTTTGAAAAGGTAAAATATCGTGGTTGGATCATAAAATATGTCAAGAAACGTGTTGTATGCGAACCACATAATTAATGAATATCAAGTTTCAAAATGCTACATGTGGAAACTGGTCAAGGATTACATTTTCAACATGGCAGCCGCGGCGGCCATGTTTACAATCAGATCGGAATTCTTTGCGGTCATTACAGAGACACCATGGGGGTCGTTCCTGAAAGTTTCAGCTTCATACGCCTTGTAGTTTCGATAATGAACAGGTCTGCGAAGGAGGGACGGACGACAGACAACGCACCCCGACATAGCTCCCTTGAATTTCTGTGAGCTAAAATAGCGATACACAGGGAACTAGAGAAACTAGTGAAATTAGTGAAATTAGTGAATCGAATATGGTTTCTCCCAATGCTGACAGCGAGAATATATGTGACTGAGGTGGGTCGAGTTATAAAACAGTGTGACCAGCTCACCACGACACCGTTGTCGCCGTCCATGTTGATGTCTAACGTCGCCCCAAGCCACTGCTTGTTCTTACTGTGGTGTAGCGTGACGTTCTTCCACTTGGGCACGATCTGGCGAATATTTCCTGAATAAATAGAAATGATAAGAAAATTCATCCAGTTTCACTGTCAGTGATTTCATCAGGGCCTATGAAATAGATCATTTCAACCCCTTAAGTCAGGATTGACCTATATATTTCAACTTCTTTTATTTTTTCAATGCCACGTTTTGGTACAGGTACTTGTACACAGTGACTCTCTCTGTGTTGAATGATCCACGTTGAGTCTCACCTGAATCAGCCACAGTGACTCTCTCACCTGAACCATCCACAGTGACTCTCACCTGAATCATGCAGTGACTCTCTCACTTGAATCATCCACAGTGACTCTCTCAACTGAATCATCCACAGTGACTCTCTCACCTGAATCATCCACAGTGACTCTCTCATCTGAATCACACACAGTGAGTCTCTCACCTGTATCATCCACAGTGACTCTCTCACCTGTATCATCCACAGTGACTCTCTCATCTGAATCATGCAGTGACTCTCTCAACTGAATCATCCACAGTGACCCTCTCACCTGAATCATCCACAGTGAGTCTCTCATCTGAATCACACACAGTAAGTCTCTCACCTGTATCATCCACAGTGACTCTCTCAACTGAATCATCCACAGTGACTCTCTCACCTGAATCATCCACAGTGACTCTCTCATCTGAATCATGCAGTGACTCTCTCAACTGAATCATCCACAGTGACTCTTTCACCTGAACCATCCACAGTGACTCTCTCACCTGAATCATGCAGTGACTCTCTCAACTGAATCATCCACAGTGACCCTCTCACCTGAATCATCCACAGTGACTCTCTCATCTGAATCACACACAGTGACTCTCTCACCTGTATCATCCACAGTGACTCTCTCACCTGAATCATCCACAGTGACTCTCTCACCTGAATCATCCACAGTGACTCTCTCATCTGAATCATCCAGTGACTCTCTCACCTGTATCATCCACAGTGACTCTCTCATCTGAATCATCCAGTGACTCTCTCACCTGAATCATCAACAGTGACTCTCTCATCTGAATCATCCACAGTGAGTCTCGCACCTGATTCATCCCAAGGGGGTCTCTCACCTGAACCATCCACAGTGACTCTTTCACCTGAATGATCCACACTGACTCTCACCTGAATCATCCACAGTGAGTCTCTCTGAATCATCCACAGTGACTCTCTCACCTGAACCATCCACAGTGACTCTCATCGGAATCATCCACAGTGACTCTCTCATCTGAATCATGCAGTGACTCTCTCAACTGAATCATCCACAGTGACTCTTTCACCTGAACCATCCACAGTGACTCTCTCACCTGAATCATGCAGTGACTCTCTCAACTGAATCATCCACAGTGACTCTCTCACCTGAATCATCCACAGTGACTCTCTCATCTGAATCACACACAGTGACTCTCTCACCTGTATCATCCACAGTGACTCTCTCACCTGAATCATCCACAGTGACTCTCTCACCTGAATCATCCACAGTGACTCTCTCATCTGAATCATCCAGTGACTCTCTCACCTGTATCATCCACAGTGACTCTCTCACCTGAATCATCCACAGTGATTCTCTCATCTGAATCATCCACAGTGACTCTCTCATCTGAATCATCCACAGTGAGTCTCGCACCTGATTCAACCCAAGGGGGTCTCTCACCTGAACCATCCACAGTGACTCTTTCACCTGAATGATCCACACTGACTCTCACCTGAATCATCCACAGTGAGTCTCTCTGAATCATCCACAGTGACTCTCTCACCTGAACCATCCACAGTGACTCTCATCTGAATCATTCACAGTGACTCTCATCTGAATCATCCACAGTGACTCTCTCATCTGAATCATCCACAGTGACTCTCTCACCTGAACCATCCACAGTGACTCTCATCTGAATCATTCACAGTGACTCTCATCGGAATCATCCACAGTGACTCTCTCATCTGAATCATCCACAGTAACTCTCTCACCTGAATCATCCACAGTGACTCTCATCTGAATCATCCACAGTGACTCTTACCTGATTTACACACAACGAGTCTCTCACCTGAATCACACACAGTGACTCTCTCACCTGAAATACTAACAGTGACTCTCACCTGAATCATCAAGTGATTCTCTCACTGTATCTCTTCTCATAGTATCATTTATATTGATTCTCTCACCTGAATCATCCACATTGACTCTCTCACACGAGTTGTATGCCCAGGAACACTTGTACAACACTCCCGGGCGGTCAAGTTCAGGAAGGTCTGCGTCGTCGGCTAAAGGAGCCCCAATCAACATCCTGCAACACAAACAGGACTCTGTACCCCGCTGTACTAGACACACCATGTCCCTTTAACTTAGTGTTAAATGGCTTCATTTAGGTAACTTAGTGTTACATGGCTTCATTTAAGCCTACACAAAGCTATAACATTGATCCGAGTGGTGTTAAACAATGTCCCCCTACAGAAGCTAATGCTAAACAAAATGTATCGTTGAAAGCTGCTTCAGTCAAATCAAGAATCGTTGAGGGCTGCATCAGTTAGGCAAGTCTTTATTCAGTATATCGTTGAGAGCTGCATCAGTCAAGGGAAGTCTTTATTCAGTACATCGTTGAGAGTTGCATAAGTCAAGGGAAGTCTTTATTCAGTATATCGTTGAGAGCTGCATCAGTTAGGCAGTCTTTATTCAGTATATCGTTGAGAGCTGCATCAGTCAAGGGAAGTCTTTATTCAGTATATCGCTGAGAGTTGCATAAGTCAAGGCAAGTCTTTATTTGGTATATGAAACATTTATCAGTGGGTAAGGGACTGGTCATTTATTACAGCGCGGGATGGGCCGGGGTAATCGGGGGGAGCACCCAAAATATGACAATCGCTAGGGGAGTGTCGTACACATATTTGGGGAGGGTCTTGAAATAATTTGACATTTTCTAATAAATATAATGGGCTTTTCTATTTTGTCTTTTCATGGAGGATCATGAAAAAATCTACAAGGACATTGGGAGGGTCATCTAAAAATAAGACAACCATAGGGGAGGGTAATGTATTTGAGTACATTAATGCATCATAAACAGCGGATGCTGTGTGTGGTAGATTAGTTGTGTGCTGTTTGTACAGTATGACAGTAGAATGCGTTTAACGTCCTGTGCAATTTCAAGTTATGTGTTCAACATCGTAACCTGCACAATATAATTGTTAGATTATTACTTTTGAAACTGTACATCTATCTTTCTATCTATCTATCTATCTATCTATCTATCTATCTATCTATCTATCTATCCTCACAAGTGTCGGCTGACGTGGGTGCTTTCTTTATTTTACGTGTGCTTCAAACACTTTAGTACAAGGTACGCAACTCTTGTTTATGCTATAACGAGAAGATAGAGTAAGTTCCCTTTGTTGCCACTTCCGCTTTCAGTCATCAACACAAAACATGTGTTCTCATAGTATGCGTGGATGTAGACGAAACAGCTGAATCTAACGAGACGGGGCGAGAGGCAGAAAATGGCACAGGTCGCAGGGATGTTCCGGCAAGCCTTCACGTTGCCCAGTAAGGATGTGTTACGCTGGTTCCCAGGCCACATGTACAAAGGCATGGAGAGAATACAAGCCACATTGAAAGACGTGGACTGTGTTATCGAGGTGCACGACTCTCGCATACCGTTTTCAGGTCGTAACTCTCGTTTTAGAGACGTTTTAAGACTCAGACCACACGTGCTTTTATTAAACAAATTAGATCTCGCCGACCTCGACACATCTCGTCAATCTCTCGTGAAAACCCGTTTGCGTTCTGAAGGCATCGACCATGTTTATTTCACAGATCTCCGACAGTTTCAACAGAGCAAATTTCTCAAGAGCGAAATCCTTCCCGCTATCATCAGCCTGACAGAATCCAGACCCCGTTTCAGTCGACAGGGATTGAATGAATACAGTATCATGGTGATAGGAGTGCCTAATGTTGGAAAGTCGACCTTTATAAACACTGTGCGATGGGCGAACATCAAGCGGAAGGGACGGGCCGCTGCTGTAGGCGCTGAGGCAGGAATTACCAAAAGTGTAGCCTCTAAGATCAAAGTGAATGCCGACCCTCCAGTCTACATCATAGACACGCCAGGAATATTTACACCACAAATCCCGGATGTCGAAACTGGCATGAGACTTGCCCTTTGCGCATGTCTACCAGATTGTTTAGTTGAAGAGGAAACAATAGCTGACTACCTCTTATACAGGATGAACAAGATGCGGAATTTTGCATATACCGATGTGTTCGGGATCCCCAAAGCTACAGACAATATCCTAGATGTGCTAGCTCATATCGCCATCAAAAATAAGAAGGTTTTAAAAGTTCGTGATTTTTCTAACAATTCCTACAAATTAAGACCCGACTTCAAAGAGGCAGGCAAACTAATGATTCGTGCGTACAGAGACGGAATATTTGGCAGGACATTCCTTGATGACGATAGATTGAAGTAAAGTATCCCTGAGCTAATAGTTTGTTTCGTTGTTTCTTGATCTTCTTTGGCTTACATTTGCTCATAAACAATTTCTTTCCAACAGAACAGGCGGATTCATTCACAGACGGCAAATGTCAAGCTCAAGTCTTTTTTAATGACACCACATTGATCTGGATGTTTTGATAGAGCTTGTGAAAGGAGCTGTGTTTGCTGTACCCTGTTTCCTTCACGTTCAAGGCATTGGCATTCAACTGAAACATGGGTACAATGTGTGAAGCCCATTTCTGGTGTCCCCCGCCGTGATATTGCTGGAATATTGCTAAAAGCGGCGTAAAACCATACTCACTCACTCAACTGAAACACCTTTTCACAACTTCCTACAATGAATTTGTATACAACCTTTTTTCCCCCGGATAGACAACACACTGGTTCCGAAAGAACTCTAAGAATGCGAGCTACGATTTCTGCAACTTTCTGAAGATCTTTAACATATTTAAGGTGTGGGTCTTAATTTTGCTATCTGGTCAATCTTGACTTAGTCTGAGCAGACCAGTATACTATACAGTGGAGACTTTGTAGATGTAGACGGTGGTGAATAGAAGACAGGTGGTGAGTACTTAGTACTTACTTGAGTAGACTTAGAGATTGTAGACATATGTTGTGGACTCGTAGTGAATAGTACAGTAGATGATGGGGTTCAGTAGAATTAGACTGGAAGATCGTAGATAGATGATGGGACTAGAAGACTAGACGGTGGAGTATAGTAGACATGATGGGGCCTCGTAGATTTAGACTGGCGGATAGTAGATGATGGGACTAGTAGACTAGACGGTGGAGTATAGTAGACATGATGGGGCCTCGTAGATTTAGACTGGCGGATAGTAGATGATGGGACTAGTAGACTAGACGGTGGAGGATAGTAGGCAAAATGGGGCCTCGTAGATTTAGACGGTGGAGTCCACTTGTATGGCGCCAAACTCCATACCAGCTCGTGTGCCCATGGCGCTTACATTATTACCCCAGTCAATAAATCCGTGAGCACTCGATTTTCATTCTCAGCTCCCCGGGGAGTATACAAGCCAAGCTGCCTGTGAGGCGCTAGAAGGTTAACAGCCACATTACCATCTCATAGTTTAAACTAATACTAGTAGACTAGGTTAGACGGATAAACGTGTTTGAGCAACCTTGTTGAAAAAAGGACTGGTCATGTTTCTCCCTGATGTGTGTAATACTGTGTATTAGAGAAATAATAATCCGGCTCCTAGGTTAGTGTATCTGTCGGCATCTCACAGCTGTATTGTAACATAAGCCCACATCCTTGAAAAGTTGACAGCCCTTAATGAGCGAGCAAAGCTAATACTGTACATCTGTCGGAAGTTGGGAAGTCAAATTGGTGATGATACCTAGCTCTGTGTTACGGTCAGTGGATCAGATTCATACATACGGGGGCATAAATAGCGCGTCTGACCTTTGCAAAGGTCACAACATTTACTAACAGGGTGTGGAACGGCTTTGTGGCGCGCTGTTCATGAACAACACTCTCCACGTGGACGCTCGTTGAACGGGCACTGTAGACCACATATGCATACTGCAGCGAAAGGCAGGCTTTTTATTTCTCCTAGGTCATATATTAATGTCAGCAGATTTAGACAGTAGAGCTAGGTCAGGGTAATGCAACCGATTTACATGATTAATAACGTGTGTAGCGTGGCAGTCGATATCCAGAGACGTATATGCATAGTGAGTAAGATTAATGCAGTGCAAGTGTACATGTGGTTTGTTAAGCAAGCTTGGTAAAATATAAGTATTGTTCTTCTCGTTCGTCCGTTCATAAACTGACCCAGCCCCTAATAGGTTTTATATTTCTTTACGAATTTTCTTTTCAACTCAAATTCCGTTTTGGCGGCTCAAGCTGATGGACAAGTTGCCTTAAGTGTGTGAGTGAGTGAGTATGGTTTTATGCCGCTTTTAGCAATATTCCAGCAATATCATGGCGGGGGACACCAGAAATGGGCTTCACACATTGTACCCATGTCGGGAATCGAACCCGGGTCTTCGGCGGGACGAGCGAACGCTTTAACCACTAGGCTACCAAGAGGTCACATAGTTATTGGAATAAAGTTTACTTTTATAGATTTTTTTCATACTGATTATAGTCTTTTAAAGTACAAATTAATCCTCCCTCTTCAATTTGAAAAAAGGCATGAGGCGACTAAATGGACCGGGTGGGTGGTCATCGAATCCCGGCGGCATAATGGTTTGTCATCTTATACTTTGCCGTCTTTACGTTGGACCATTTGATTTGTAGTGATTTCTTTGACATGAGCCCGCCAGGATTGCGTGTAATCGTACCCCGACGCAATGGGACGTTGTTCACAATATGAACCGACCCGTGAAGATCCGGGTCAGAATAGGTCTTTAGCAGCCCATGCTTGCGGTAAAAGGCAACTGTGTTTGTGGTAAGAGGCGACTAACGGGATCGGGTGGTCAGGCTCGCTGACTTGCTTGATGCATGTCATCGTATACCAATTGCGTGGATCGATGCTCATGATGTCAATCACTGGATTGTCTGGTCCACACTGGATTATTTACAGCCCGCCGTCATATAGCTGGAATATTGCTAAACGTGGCGTTAAACAACAAACAAACGCAATATGAACCACTAGCGCCTTTGCCCCAAACTCGAATATCTACAGACCACCGTCATATCACGCTAGTATTGAGTCTCAAACTACAAACGCCAACAAATAAAAGCCAAGTTAGATCAAACACATGGACACATAGGGTATTGGGGCTTTCGTTGTAAAACGCCTATTGGAAGGCGGAGTGCATTTCGGCTGCAGCAAGGTCTCGCACTTCATCCGCAGAGCATCACACAAATACTCATGATGAATCGTCGTATTTGCTGCAGACGTTTCAGACATACAGTCGACCGATTGAAGGAAAGTTCGACATTTTTCTTGTTTGCTTTTTTGTTTCACCTTCAAACGGTGATAATGGAATACACTGTGAAAGTCAGTTACTTTTTGAACGTTCCGCGCACAAGGGACGTGAAGCCAGAGATTACATTCCTTGATTGATATAAGATCTTTTTTTACAAGACTGTATTCAGTGAGAGACTGATCAGTACAGCTGAATCTTCATAGAACAGAGACTGTCAGCTGACTTGGCATGAGTCAAATAGAACATTTCTCAGCGCTCCGTACAGCAGTGTAGTTTGTGACATTTGCAACGCAAACGAGATCAGTTTTAAAGTGTCACAGTCGGATTTTTCATGTTCTGTATGTTTTGTTTGATGTTTAACGCCAAACTCAGCAATATTCCAGCTATATGACGGCAGGCTGTAAATAATCGAGTCTGGACCAGACAATCCTGTGATTGACATCATGAGCATCGATCCACGCAATTGGTATACGATGACATGCACCAAGCAAGTCAGCGAGCCTGACCGCCCGATTCCGTTAGTGTTCTGTATGAAGTTATGGATTATGTAATTATTATTAGCTGGAGTCGGTAGGGAGGCGCGGTGGTTAAAGGTTTGGCTCGTCAATGTAGATACTTGGTTCGATTCCTCACATGTGCAAAGCTGTTGTGTCTAATATTGGTAGGGTTGAGATATTTCTCAAAGCGGCGTTATGTGCCCCATATTGATATGGTTGAGATATTTCTCAAAGCGGCGTAATGTGCTCTATATAATGACATGGTTGGAATATTTCACAAAGTGGCGTAATGTGCTCTATATTGATATGGTTGGAATATTTCACAAAGCGGCGTAATGTGCCCCATATTGGTAGGGTTGAGATATTTCTCAAAGCGGCGTAATGTGCCCCATATTGGTAGGGTTGAGATATTTCTCAAAGCGGCGTAATGTGCCCCATATTGGTAGGGTTGAGATATTTCTCAAAGCGGCGTAATGTGCTCTATATATTGACATGGTTGGAATATTTTCCAAAAGCGGCGTAATGTGCTCTATATAATGACATGGTTGGAATATTTCTCAAAGTGGCGTAATGTGCTCTATATAATGACATGATTGGAATATTTCTCAAAGTGGCGTAATGTGCTCTATATAATGACATGGTTGGAATATTTCTCAAAGTGGCGTAATGTGCTCTATATAATGACATGGTTGGAATATTTCTCAAAGCGGCGTAATGTGCTCTATATAATGACATGGTTGGAATATTTCTCAAAGTGGCGTAATGTGCTCTATATAATGACATGGTTGGAATATTTCTCAAAGTGGCGTAATGTGCTCTATATAATGACATGGTTGGAATATTTCTCAAAGTGGCGTAATGTGCTCCATATAATGACATGGTTGGAATATTTCTCAAAGCGGCGTAATGTGCTCTATATAATGACATGGTTGGAATATTTCTCAAAGTGGCGTAATGTGCTCCATATAATGACATGGTTGGAATATTTCTCAAAGCGGCGTAATGTGCTCTATATAATGACATGGTTGGAATATTTCTCAAAGTGGCGTAATGTGCTCTATATAATGACATGGTTGGAATATTTCTCAAAGTGGCGTAATGTGCTCTATATAATGACATGGTTGGAATATTTCTCAAAGTGGCGTAATGTGCTCTATATAATGACATGGTTGGAATATTTCTCAAAGTGGCGTAATGTGCTCCATATATTGACATGGTTGGAATATTTCTCAAAGTGGCGTAATGTGCTCTATATAATGACATGGTTGGAATATTTCTCAAAGTGGCGTAATGTGCTCTATATAATGACATGGTTGGAATATTTCTCAAAGTGGCGTAATGTGCTCTATATAATGACATGGTTGGAATATTTCTCAAAGTGGCGTAATGTGCTCTATATAATGACATGGTTGGAATATTTCTCAAAGTGGCGTAATGTGCTCCATATAATGACATGGTTGGAATATTTCTCAAAGCGGCGTAATGTGCTCTATATAATGACATGGTTGGAATATTTCTCAAAGTGGCGTAATGTGCTCTATATAATGACATGGTTGGAATATTTCTCAAAGTGGCGTAATGTGCTCTATATAATG